ATGAAGGATTGATGTAATGACAGGCATATGTGTGAAATGTGACAATAGACATATTTTTACAAAGTCGCATTTATAGATGATTCAGGCCAAAGATTTCATTAAAAATATGTAGGATAGATTGTAAACTACCTAAGGAACCCATACTGCCTACTGCCTTGAGGGTAGGGGGTGGGTGGAAGGGATATAGTGAAAACATCAGTTGACTCAGCATTAAAGTCCTATTATTGCTTCACTGACCATTTTTGATGCTTTGGGTCTTTGAAGTTTCCCACACTCCATTTCTTATCTATTTCACTTCCTCAGTACTCAATTCTTGGTGGATTTGTCTGTAAATTTACGTCTATGATACTTAATATATTTTAAATGTACTCCAGGTTTCTGATCATGAAGATTCAATGTTTTGAAGGTATGGGCCCCTTATCAGGAGAAATGGCAAGTATGCACACTAGCTCACAAACTCCAGCCTATTGTGAGCTGATCTTGGTCATAAGAGGCAATAATATAAGCTATGCTCATTATATATTAAAAGGTTGAATCATGGATGCAAGGGCAAGATACTGAAAATCGTGAAAAATGTCAAAAGTGCAATGGTCTATGCTTACATGTAATAACACTGTCTGTAATATTCAATAATGGGAAACAAGTAAATATGCACCAGTGGGGATAGATATGACTAGACAGGACATAGGAAGGATGAGTCCGATGCAAAACATTGGGTCTGAAACTTTCAGGTCAGGGTCAGGTGTCGGGATCAGGATCGGAATGTCAGGGATGTGTCGGACAAATACTATTTAATGTGAGTAATTCTCGCCGTTGTTTCAGATTTCTTTAGCTTATATCTTGGTCAAATGATAACCGATGGACAAGAAAAGACTACCAATACACTCACCTAGACTCGGACAACAACTTCCATTTTTTCATTATCTTTGCCTATTGCACACCAGGTTTTGAGTTTCAGATTTTGGCACTCAACACTCGGTGATTTGTGCAATGAGTGAAAAATGGAAATATTGCATACATGTTTTTGGGTTTTGGGCTTCAGAATTTGGGCTTCAGATGTTGGGTTTTGGGCCTTGGCACTTGGCACTCTGCACTTGGTGATTTGTGTACTGGGTCTCAAGTTTCGGGTTTTGGTACTCAACACTCAGTGAGTTGTGCAATGAGGGAAAAATGGATATGTTGCATACATATTATCAGGTTTCAGGCTTCAGGTTTTGGGCTTCGGACGTCAAGTTTTGGGCCTCAGCACTCAGCACTTGGTGATTTGTGTACCGGGTGTCGAGTTTTGGGTTTCGGTACTTGACACTCCATGATTTGTGCAATGAGGGAAATATGGATATGTTGTATACATATTTTCTGGTTTCAGGCTTCGGGTTTCGGGCTTTGTATGTTGGGTTTCGGGCATCAGCATTCGGCACTCAGCACTTGGTGATTTGTGTACTGTATCTCAAGTTTTGGGTTTTGGCACTCGACACTCGGTGATTTGTGCAATGACTGAAAATGGATATGTTATATACATGTTTTCGGGTTTTGAACATTGGGTTTCGGGCCTTGGACTTTGGGGTTCGGCCCTCAGCACTCGGTACTTGGTGATTTGTGTACTGGGTCTTGAGTTTCGGATTTCAGCACTTGACACTTAGTGATTTGTGCAATGAATGAAAAATGGACATTTTGCATACATGTTTTTGGGTTCCAGGCTTCAGATTTTGGGTCTCAGGCTTTAGGTTTATCAGCACTTGGCACTTGGTAATTTGATAAATGGACTTTCAAGCTTCAGGCTTTGGGTGTTCAGGTGTTCATGTGTTTGCTGTCAGGAAATAGAAATTTCACACATTTTCACAAGTTTCCAGTTTCCAGTCTCGAGTTTGGGGTGTTGGGGTGTCCGGTGTAACAATGGTCGTGGCGCTGGGCTCGGAACCAGCTATTTTGATACTGATGTCAAACAGTATTTGTCTGACACACTTCCAACTACCCCGACCCGAGTCCAACAGTCCGATCCTGACCCAATGCACTTTCCGACAGTCCAACGCATGTCCGATCCCGACCCGACATTCCCGCCCATCGGACCAGTCCTCCCTATGTCCTGTCCAGTCTCATCTATCCCCACTAGGTGCGCATTTACTCCTTTTGACTTGCTAAGCATTGTATACAGTGTTATTACATGTTTTCTCATGGTCCACAGTACCACATGTCCTATTACATAGGATTTCGGACCCGAAATATTGCTACTACTCTCGCCTATAGCAGTCCGAATTTCTACATAGTCACTATTTAATATCTAGTACTTCCTACCTATTGCATTACTTACTTTTCCCTACTCAGTAGTAGGATGGAAGTCATTGGATATTAGTAGTACTTGATTGTATTGCAAAATATCTATCCGCTCTTTTCCTCCAAAACATTCCGACACATCCAACATTCATTTGACCGACAATCCGACACACTTCCGACACATTCCTTTATTGTCCAACGCATTCCCGACAGTCCAACGCATAGTCCGATGCCCGACCCGACTCCAATATTTTCAGACCCGACAGTTTCCCTTCAGACAAGTAGTTCTTAGCTTCGGATTATCTTCCTATTATTGATAACTAACTATAAAAACTAATACCAAACAGCTTCCCCTATAGGATCGAACGCACTTGCTCTGCAAGTATAGCAGACTAGGTCGTGCTAAGATCTACCTAAATATTTGTTGTCTAGGTAGTACGATTTCTGCTGAGCCCAGCGGGAATCAGCTTTCTACACTAGAATGGATGTTGCACAATGGGATTCAGTTTTTGGGCATCTAGGACTCGGTAATCCATGAATGTCAGACAGATATCTCACTACCTCGGCCCACCCATCTATATAACATCCCCCTCCATTGGCCAACCCATCTATATAATATCCCCCTCCATCGGCCCACCCATCTATATAATGAATATTCCACCACTCCCTTGGCTCATCCATCTACAAAATAATTCCAGTATGTCAGCCCACCCATCTATACAATAAACCCTTACATCAGCCCACCTGTCTATGTTACGACTTGGATGGTATCTGTTGGCGACGCTCAAACAGAGCGTGTGTCGTCAACGGTCGTGGACGTCCTTGGGCTAGCCCAAGGTTAGGGGTCTTACTTGGCGAGGCTTCGGCAAGTAAGATTTGATGCCTATGTCTGAATCGGGTAGCTTACGTCAAGCGGATGCTAGACGATGAGCTGTATCTGCCAAGGCTTACGACACCCGAAGGTTAATCGTAAGATTGTCATTAATTAGAAGGACGGAAGTCCGACTAGTTAACAGGGGCTTTGCTCGTCGACGAAGTCGATGAGTAAAGATTGAGACTATAGGCTTATCCGCGAAGAGGAGATAAGAAGATAGAATATAGACTGCTGGCTAGGCAGAAAGGATCACTCTGGTGAGAGTAGGAGGTCAAGAACCAAGTAGATTCAAGTTAGGGAATACAGTACATGGTAGCGAGTTTATATAGAGGACAGGAGACGTATTAGTGGGTGATAACTCGTACTACCAAGAGAGGCAATTGGTAAAGGGTATAACCATAAAAGGAAGGCATGTTCGCGTTGAGACACGGGCGAGGTAGAACGTGCTGGATAAGAAAGTGAGTCAAAGATCGAAAATAAGAAGTGAAACGCGCAGGGGCACGATCGTGCAGCTGCGGAGCTAAGTATAAGTCGCATGTGCAACTGCGCACTGAGTCAGAGATCAAGAAAGGGAATAGGGCAAAGGGGATGCGTCGTGCATCATATCATAGGTTACCGTCCGGACGGTAAGGGCAAGGGGACTGTCCACAGGATCAGTCAGGTGGTGAAACAGAGCATGGGTATGCTTCGTCAGCGAAAGGGTCCGGCCAGATGTACTGGCTTTGCTGAAGCAACAGGTAGAGGGCGAACGGGAATGCGAGGATGACAAGGATGACAAGGGTAAGGTCGGGGTAAGGGTATGACGCGAGGGCTGATATGAGGAGGATTAGGAGAAAAATGGTAGGGGCCCAAGCATCTAGATGTTCTTGTAACACTGGATATTATGTAGGTCGGTGTAGAAAGCTGATTCCTGCTGGGCTCAGCAGAAATCGTACTACCTAGACAACAAATATTTAGGTAGATCTTAGCATGACCTAGTCTGCTATACTTGCAGAGCAAGTGCGTTCGATCCTATAGGGGTAGCTGTTTGGTATTAGTTTTTATAGTTAGTTATCAATAATAGGAAGATAATCCGAAGCTAAGAACTACTTGTCCGAAGGGAAACTGTCGGGTCTGAAAATATTGGAGTCGGGTCGGGCATCGGACTATGCGTCGGACTGTCAGGAATGCGTCGGATGGAGAAGGAATGTGTCAGAAGTGTGTCGGACTGTCGGTCAAATGAATGTCGGATGTGTCGGAATGTTTCAGAGAAAAAGAGTGGATAGATATTTCACAATACAATAAAGTACTACTAATATCCAATGACTTCCATCCTACTACTGAGTAGGGAAAAGTAAGTAATGCAATAGGTAGGAAGTACTAGATATTAAATAGTGTCTATGTAGGATTTTGGAGTGCATTAGGCGAAAACAGTAGCACAAAATCGGGTCCGAATGTATGTAAAAGAGCATGTGTACTGCACCTTTTTGTAGATAACATGTAATAACGCTGTCTGTAATGTTCAGTGATGCAAAACGAGTAAATACGCACCAGTGGGGGTAGATACGACTGGACAGGACATAGGGAGGACGAGTCCGATGCGAAAACATCGGGTCTGAAACTTTCAGGTCAGGATCGGGCATCAGGATTGGGATCAGAATGTCAGGGATGCGTCGGATGAATACTGTTTAACATGAGTATCAAAAACATGGGTTTTGAGCCCAGCACCGCGACTATCATTACATCGGGTGACCCGTATAATATGGAAATATGTCACTGTAATATGTGGCTGTCATGAGGCACTGAGATCACTTCTTTTGTGAACTGCGCTTTGAACAAGGTCAGATTCTGATTTCACAGTGGTAAATGACACCACCTTCGTGATCTGATGAGACGCCACTTCCCACTTGCTATGAATATCTTTATGGTTCCTAAATGTGAATTTATCCTTGCCAACAGAACTGTGAAGGCAAATTTTGATGAGGCGGTCTGTTTGTTCATTGTTCAATCCAGCCTTGAGAGCGAGCTCAGCAATGTCGAATTCAAGCCGGGATTGGAACAGACACCAAGGCTAGTCATCAGGAGGGGTATGAACTGAAGAGGCCGCTGGACAACAATGGAAACTATTGAATGGGTGGACTTTTGTCTCAATACCACTATTTGGGTGGTGTTCGACCTTTATGTCGTCACACAAATAGGTAGGGAGTGCTGCAGCGTCCATGAGTTCAGGTTCAAGAGAGTCTGAAAATTTACAGTGTTATCTATAATAACAACTATAGCAAGATCACAACTCACTGATTAGGCTGAAGTCTACATTGAGACCATGTGCAAAGTCATGCTGGTGATCTCTCGTCTCAACTGGGAGACAAAATAGTGAGAAATACAGACATCAAGATAGTATAACACATACTTGGTCCAGGTGTGTTAGCACGATTGGGTCAGGCCATCCATTGTTCATCTAAATCAAGCACAGAGTTCACTACTGAACGCTGATCTTTGGCTTTAAGATCCAACTCAAAGTCAACATACCTTTGTCTTTCCAAATTGCATCTACAATGACCTGATCGCGACGTCACTTTTCTGCATTCGTCTCGCAAGCTTTCCGGTGAGTCGTCCAGCCTTGTGGCTTGATATCTTGGTTGCATATATCACAGAACCTTGTGCGATCTGCGGCCATTTTGGGATAGAATTACAAGGTAAATACAGGTTTGTAATACAGAGGCTTGAAGGATTGAGGAAGTGCAAAGAGTTTGCTGTTGGGCATTGATGGAATGATGAGGGGAAGAGTATATGCATTACATTATGGCTTACAATTGGTTGAAACTCAGCAATCAGTATTACATTATCATTTCAGGACGCGACAAGTATTACCTTATCATTTCAGGCGACATTTCAATGACATCTAAATGAGGGGTCATTGCAACCGCTTTCGCAAATTTCCGACAGGTGCGGCAAAATACCTGAGCCCGGGTGACTCGGATGAGTGACTTGTAAAAGGACCCCTGATAATGCCTATAGAACCCAGTCAGCGATCCGGACAGAAATTGACCCAAATGATCATTTGTCCCAGGTTACGATCCGGACATCCATGGCTGATTTTAGGGTCAACCTGGGTGCCCCATCCGGACATCAATGAAGATATGTGGGAGCCAGGTCGTCATCCGGACATGGTGTTCTCGACAATGGTGTAGTGGTTACAATATGTGTATGATATTGATCAATGCTTGACTGCACAAGTTCGAACCACGCTTTTTACTACTGTCTGTTCAAAAATTTGTGAACCAGAGCCTGATTTCTGATGAAGGCTGACATATTCATCTGACGTGCGGGTCAAGCAAAAAAACAAAATTAAACGAAGGTTCTCTTTGTTCAACTCACTCCGGCAGGCTCTAGCTCGCTCCTAACATGAACAATATTATTGATCTCATACAACCTCCCACCTTCCTTCCCTCTACTGCCTTCCTCTGTATTCTCACTCCTGCACCTCAGACGACACCCTCAGGACTTGAACTGGCGCCCGCTGATGTCTCCGTGTTCGAAACCCTACGTCACACTTTGCCTCGACTGATCGAAGCAGCAAAACTTTTCCGCAAGCGAGTGGGCCAGACCGGAGTGGATGAGGATGCTGAATAGCGATAATTGTATGCTCGTATATCACCCTAGCTACTCTTGAAAAAAAAAACGTGTTTTTGAGAATTTTTGAGCACCCAGGTTCGAATCCGGACAAAATTTGCGCTCATGGGCCAACCCAGGACGGGATCCGGACAAAATTGGCCAGAATCCATCCGGACAAGTTGGGGCCTCCGCCAACCTGGGTTCCAAAGGCATTATCAGGGGTCCTCTTGTAAAGCGAGTCATATATTGACTTAAACTAACACTCAATTCATACCCTCAGGTCACAGGTATGGCGTCGACGTTGGACGTGGAGGCGAAGTATGACTTGATAACGCGGAGACTGCAAGAGGTTCTGGGCGGTGACTCAATCAAGGCTATTCTCGCGGAAGGTAGATCACCGAAGGCTTACTGGGGTATGCTCGCTCACATCTGATCAAGTATTTGAGCTGACCTCATGCATTGACTAGGTACCGCACCGACTGGAAGGCGTACGTATGAGATGTTTGCCAGGCTAAATAAAGTCGACAACTAAGATGTCTTCTAGCACACATCGGTTACTTCGTCGCATTAACCAAAATCGCTGATTTCTTGAGAGCTGGTGTGGAGGTCAAGATCTTACTTGCTGGTACGCCAAAAAACATCCCTATATACAAGAAATAGTTACTGAACAAGATCAATAGATGTACATGCCTTCCTCGACAACCTAAAGGCTCCTTTAGAACTTGTCGCACACCGGACAAAATACTACGAATTTATCCTTCGCACCGTCTTCACCTCATTAGGGATACCCACATCGAAATTAATATTCGTTCAAGGCTCAGATTACCAGCTTACTCGCGAGTACAACCTCGACAACTACAGATTATGCGCAACCGTGACAGAGCATGATGCGAAGAAGGCTGGTGCAGAGGTCGTAAAACAAGTCGAGAGCCCACTTCTTAGTGGTCTGCTTTACCCTGGATTGCAGGCTCTTGATGAGCAGTACCTCGATGTTGACTTCCAATTTGGTGGGGTCGATCAGGTGTGTGCATCTGCCAATCAGATAATGGTACCACTGATCGACATCTCCTGGCCGCAGCGTAAAATTTTCACATTCGCAGAACTCTATCTTCCTCGATTGGGCTATGCCAAACGTGCCCACCTCATGAACCGCATGGTTCCAGGTCTCATGGGGGGTAAGATGTCATCTTCGGATCCGGATTCGAAGATAGACTTCCTTGACCCTCCCGAAGCTGTCAAGCGCAAGATCAAGAAAGCTTTCTGCGAGGAGGGAAATATTACAGAGAATGGACTTCTCGCGTTCATCAAAAATGTGCTCATACCGATAAGTCAACTTCGCATCGAGCGTCAGAAAGGAGAGACAGGTGTAGACAGTGAAGAAGGCCAGGGTGCCATTGGCAACCAAAATCCATTTATAGACGATGACGCACCGGATGGCGCGGTGTTTACCATCAAACGAGAGGGGAAATTCGGTGGTCCTCCAAGTCATTACAAGGATTACCAGGAGCTGGAGGATGATTTTTAGCGAAAAAGGTTCACCCTGGTGATCTCAAGGCAGCTGTAAACAAGGCGATTGATAGCTTGTTGGCACCGATTCGGAAGGCCTTTTCTGAGTCTCCAGAGTGGCAACAAATAGAGAAATTGGCGTACCCAGATCCAAATGCGAAAACGGAACTTAAGAAGAAAAAGGTTGGTCGTTTCTCTCGATTTATTACTCATACTGAGCGTTTATGTTAGGAAAAGGTGTACCATCCGCCTCCGCCAGGGAAAGGCAAGAATGTTCAGGTAACCAAAGCCTCCACCGAATCTAGTGAACCGCCGCCACCTATCAGCGAAAATACTCAACCGGGTGCTGCTGGCGAGCTCTAGGATGATCTTAATTAGACAGGAATGTGAGAAGTACGGCATATGGAATATATGATTGACATGGACATGCTCGAAGTGAGAGGAGTGATTAGATGAGTGCGGACAAGTAAGCTACGGGTAAGATGCATTGTTTGGTATAGCGAAACGAACATAGAGGCAGATCAAGAACGTTGGCGGTCTTTTTCTCGACTGCTCTTTGTGTCTATCCTCACGTACTCGCTTTCGTCTGGATGTCCATCTGCGTCCTTTTTGATGGCCACGTATGATTCTCCAAGAATCTGCATTGCAACAGCCCGCATCTGGGCTTTAGGGCGGGATATTGTCGGGTCCTCGAGCACGCGATCACAAGTTTCGCGCAAGACAGACTCGATTTCAAGTTTCGTGCCCTAACAGTGTTGTCAAACGTGTCAATGGCTTCAAATAGAAAATTAAGAACCTTGAAAAGGGCCTGAATGCCTTTCTCAGCAGCCTGCTCTTCTAATTTCTTCCTTTCCTCTGGAGTAAGGTTTCCAGCTTTCTCCGCTGCTGCGATTTGATCAAAGACGCTTTTCAATTCGATCGCCGATCGCAGTGTTGACACACTACCTCATGTCAGTTCAAGACAGTGTTAACATTTCTTGGTACTCACGTTTCACTGAATACGTGGTATTTCCCTTGGACGTTATGGAACCAACCACCGACTCCAAACAACGTCTGATTCGTAGCAAGATAATGCTTTGCTTTCGAGACATACACGAAGCCTATGGCTTGCAAAAGCTCGACACCATAAGACTCTTTCTTGAGATCCCTGGAAAGCTAATTTCAGCGAGTGCAACTTGTATGTCCACTATGTACGCACTCTGCTTCAAGCTGGCAAATAGTGCGCCAGCTATTTGTGACCTCAGGGTCATATGGACCTGTCGCGGACTCAGTAAATATGCTAAGCTTCCGCTTAAGGTTCTCCACGCTGCAAAAGCCGTCAATCGCATAGAGTCACAGATCATGAAATCTTACAGTTTCTGGACTCGTTCTGCACGAGCTGCTGCTTTCTAAGAACACTATTGTGAGATTTTTGTGGAAAGAAAAAGAAAGGAAGTACCTCTGCAGCCACTTTCTTCTCTTTCTCCTCTTTTCGAGCCTTCTCTTCTTCACTCAGGATCTCCTTACCCTTTGCATCACGTTTCACATCCTTATTGTCTTCGCCCTCGGTTTCTTCTACCTCTTGTAGTGCAGCTTTCATATCCTTTGCAAGACTGATCTGGCCAATTATTGGTGCAAACCTCTCTCCACCAAACATCGCCCCAAAGATTTCCTCCGGGTCGACGAAACCTCCTTCCGGCTGACTCTCCTTGGGACCGAACTCGTTATATTTCTTGCGGAGCTCTGGGTCAGATAGTGTCTGATACGCAATGGCAATCTCCTTGAACCTTTCCTCTGCGTGCGGGTCATCGCGATTCTTGTCAGGATGATGCTTTATTGCGAGCCGTCCTTGATAAAGCAGGTAAGTGAGAAGCCTATAATTATCAATCGAGGAATGCCATACGGTAAGATTTCTTGATATCATCTGTACTTGCATCTATGGGAACACCTAGAAGGTCATAGTACCCTGTTTCCAAAGGTTTCTCCTGCGTGCCGATCTTACGACTTTTCTTGGCATTTGAAGGTGGAGCACTTCCAGAACCTATCGGGTTGTGTGGAGACGTTGAGCTCGACGTAGTGGAGTAGCCTAGTGGTAGCTGCGTAGGATAGAACGCATGTGTATAGGTTGATTGGCACTTAAAGCAACGGACGCGCAACAATGTACCTTGTGCCGGAGTAGGGGACGGCACTGGAAACTCAACCTGAACATTACAATGCTCGCATTGAGAGCGTATGTGGGGGATATACTGTCGTGACGACTGGATTGGATATGCAGAACTCATTGTCGTCGTTCAGAGACTGGCGAAAGGGTCGAAGGCCGCAGTTGCGTCTGCTGGCTGAAAGTAGTAACCAAGTACTGGCCCTGAAAGGAAATTTCAGTCACCCGTTTTCATCCAACCAACCATGTTCGGCGTCAAATCCTATCTGTGATGTACATCAATCGTATGTCTCTCACATATGTGCAATACAGTCTGCTAATATGCTCATGTTTAGATAGGTGATACCTATGCAACAAAATACAGTATGATGTCTACCCTGCGGCCTCGTATAATGAAATAAAAAAACACATCTACCCTGCAGGTCGTATAGTCGTTAAAGGGAAAACAGTGAAGAAGAAATGTGTCATAAACGGAAATGGTCGTCTAAAGGGACAGTCATCAAAAGAAAGAACCTACACCTGTAGATCTGCTAGCTCAGCTTTTTCGGTCATGGTCACCTTCACATCATCAAGCTTTTCGTCAAAGTGCGTGCTCCGTCGTGAAGGATTTTTAGGGTTGCCGTGTTCTGGTTGAGGTATGTGGTCCGTACTGCGGTCATAGAATATCGATACTGAAATGAATTCAATAGAGACAAGTGTAAAGAGGAACCAAAATGCTGCGGCTCGTCCGTGATACTCGTGTGAGCCCCCGTGGGTGGCCTCCACGGACGTCTCTATCGAGCTGACACCCGCGAGGCCAATAGCTGATCCAAATTGAAGAGCGCCATTAAAGATGGCACCAACCGTGCCTGCCATGGAGGAAGGTGCAGCTTGAAAGATAGCAATGCTGTAATTACAGCAATTAGAACGTGTTCGTGTTCATAAAACCACGAGAATCTGAATTTACTTTGTGTGTGTATATGTCAGCATGGCCCCTGCGCTTCCTATAGAAAAAGCAGGGAATATATATGGCCAATAATCCTGAGGGCCCCCACCAAGCGCCAGCAATGCGGTCGAGACCATGCAAAGTGACAGACCAGCGAGAATAATCCATTTCGGACTAAAGATGCGAGAAAGCGGTCCAGTGAAACTCATAGCGAAGGCTGTGACACCGATCGGGAACCTGGTAAGTAAAACAGTCTTGATGACGGGCAATATGGAGTGACAGTGAAGACCTACATGTGTATAGCCGATGAAATTGCCGACCATTCAAATACGTTCTGCCATAGGGTGGTAAAAATCGTGAAGACTGTGCTCCACCAAAAGAATGGCAAGAGGGCAACGGCAAAAAGAACGGAAAAATTGTGGTAAAACCATGTTCGGGGTGGTCTGGTATAAGATCAGCCAACGATCGGTGGTTGGTGCAAGCATCCCATACATTGCTGCTGTTTCCACAGGTATGATTGTTTCCCAGTAGAAAAACCCGATCACCCCCAAGATTGATATGATAAGCGGGACCAGTACTATTGCGGATGCCCAGCCATCAGTGGAGCCGGATGTTACAGCGAAGATGAACAAAATCAAGGCAGCTATCAGAGTTGGTCAGCGATGCGAAGCGGAGTCTGCTGAAAATCCATACCAGTCAGGATACTTACGCCGACTATGTCAAGACTTTTCCATTTCGCTGCTGTAGGCTCAAGACTGTTTGTGGTGTTGGAAATTTCTGGTGGTATGATAGTAACACAGGCCAGAGCCGCTGGCACAGCCACGATGGCTACAAACCAGAACACCCAATGGTAAGATGTCCATTGGACGAACATTGCACCAATTGTGAGACCGAGGACTATGTGGTGGGGGAATCATGAAGCTAGTCATGAATAATAAGGTAGGCAGGATTCTCACCGTTAGCGACGCAGCCGCAGCCTCCAAATAGTCCTATTGCGCGAGCTTGTTCAAGTGGATCGGGAAATACGTTGACCAGGAGTGTCAGCGCAGAGGGGATTGTCATCGCAGCAGCTGAGAAGCGATCTTCGTCAGCCAAAACCTTCAGACTGGCAGGAATGTTTACCTATTCCGATCAACGCTCTCAGAGTGATGATTGGAATGGTTTTATTAACAAATCCAGCGCACAGCGAGATGACACCAAGGCCCGATACACCCGCAATGAACGCAGTTTCTGTGAGCCCATTAATGACACTATCTGACAGCTACCGCATAGTACTAACTTGGGTTGTATACGTCGCTGATGCGGCCGCTCTAAACAATGCATTGAAGCACAAGAACAGAATTTATGGGGTGAGCACGCACGATAAGCAGGAAAGATGCAAAGGTCAATTGGAATGCACTGATGATCCAAGTGGACTGACTTTCAGTCATACCCATGGATACCTCGAGTGCAGGGATTGCGGAGAAGAGAGCTGAATTATTGAAGGAATCTAAGAACTGAGCGAGACAGAACATGAACAGTAAAATTATTCTGCGAGCACGAGAAAGTGCTTTGGGTTCATGATCGACCGACGTTTCAGCTGGGGAGAGAGGTGGAGGTGGCAGCATCGGATCCGAAAATTATAAACAATATCTCAATACTGCAATTTGTCAGTTCAGGAGTGACCGACCGGCTGACGAAGGGGATGTTAGAACTGTTAGAATGGATGAATGGCTTCACATCATACTTATAAGAGGCCTGCGTCTCCATATGAATTAAACACATGACGCATCTCAACACCAGCGAAGATCTCGATTGTGCTGTAGTACTCGTGCATGTGAGCACATGAATGTGTAAGCTTATGTAGACTATTTTTGGCCTTTGTTCTATATGCGCAAGGAAGGATGTGCGACTCGAATTCGCATCCTTACGCGGGTTTCCTGTCAATCCTTGCAACATCACGGGGAACTCATGGTAGCTTGTGATGGCTATGTGGGTTCAGCTACACTCATGTACAGATTTATCGCATTGTTCACTGCAATGATTATGACTTTTGAATGAGTCGTTGTACCGTTGTCTTTGGCCCAAGCCTTTTGTTTCCTCCTCGCACTATCGATGTCACAGAAACAAGCGCAAAAACTTCGCCTCAACACAATAAATTCAACGTGAAGCCCGGATTCTTGATCACATCGCCACTTCGTATGTACAGAAAACCCTGCATGTCAAACCGCGCGGCCACCGCGATGAGCCCTGTGGCGGAGGGAACATCACTCTGCTACTCAGTCATCGAGTCAGGCCTTAGGGGCGAACACGAGTTTGGGAACTTGCACTTTGACCTACACCTTGACAGAAGCTACTTAGAAGAAGTTAAAACTTAAATCCCCTTTACCGTGACTACTGTGGTAAAGGCGCAGACCAATGGGACATACGGAACCTCAGTTCCGTTTGAAATGAAATAACAGCAATATCCTAATTATCGGTAGTGCTGGGGGCAAAATTATTTGCAGGCCTTCGGTCCACATACTCCAACTCCGTGAAATCAATCTAACACTTCATTTCCGTTAATCGGCAGATGCAAGGCTAGGTCAGGGGATAGGAGATGTCTGGGGCCCGTGAGAGGTGTCAGAGGTCCGGTTAGGTCTTACTAAGCACATGTGGCAGTCTTCAGTCTGGCACGTTTCGTGTGTTGCTAGTCATTCCTCGTGCACCGACTCACCATCCTGGCATGGCTTCTGGATCAGCGGCTACATCGACATTGATGCTTCAAGTCGTGTTTTGCACTTGTGAATAAGGTAGTTTTGGAGTTGGTTCCCGGTACTTTCTCGCCACAGATTGAATGTGTTGGTTATGAAAGATGAGATAGGGCGTCCGGCGAGTGCAGCGGCAGGCATTGTGCAGTCATTATTGTGTGCAACATAGGATTCATGACCCCAAAGGGCCCCACTCTGAGGTAAAAGGTAAGTACGTGCTATGAACACTCATGAACATAAAAATCCTCGTAATGCCTTCAGCCGAGAATGCTGCAATCACGAGGATGGCCTTCTTCTCGGGGCCTAAGTTGTTTTTTCCAAAGTATACATACTATTGACATCTACGGTCTAGCACCATATCGAGGGAAGGGAACTTTGCGGCCGCCGCCATGAGTTTGCGAAGCTGGAGAACTCCTAATCATGTGTTCACAACTCGTCGCCACTGATGCAAATGCCACCGGCGACCGGGACGGACTCTGATTCATTGGCCTCGTGCACGATGAACGCGTCAACATATCGCGTGAGTGTTTTAGATCCAAATGTCATTGTCTGGTGCAGACGCGTTGTGCTGACGACAGTGTTAGCAGCCCGTAGCCAAATCGGACGATCGAAATTGTTCTGTACGATTTTTATTCTATAGATCACCTCCTTTTTATGCATCATGTTAAAACAGTAAATCGTTGCTATGAGTAATTGGCCGCTGCATGGTTTTGACATCATTTCAGGTCACATTATCCGACGACTTCTTTACGCGGGCCCCCGTTTTTGATACTCTTCTATTCTACGAGCACCAAAAATAATCACTGGCACAAGTTCATGCCATACTGATGCATTTAACAGTGCAACTGTAGCGCTTCAGTGGTACATCATCGGTGGAATTTTACCTCCGTTTGCTGATGCATCCCACCCTCGTTTTCTGGTACCCTCTTGCAGTCTGGTACCCTCTTGCAGTCTCTCGTTATCATACCCACCTAACTGTTGCTCAAACGATGCAGCAACTCTAGCGGCAGGTTATGATACCAACCCTCGCTACATATGTAGTGTGTGTGTATCTACCAATATTATAACAAAGGTTCATGCATTCAAAGTCCATGTCTTGCTGAGCGACGAGTGAGTGGTAGTTGGCATGCGTATCTGTCCTTCGCATTTGTCTTCATTCACGTCCAGTAATGTGTTTTGCAGGCCCCAGTGGGAAATGAGCACCTATCAATATATATGTCTCTCGTACATGTGCAATACAGTCTACTCGGATACCCATAGCCAGACCGGTAGCGGGGATAGCAAAAAATACAATATGAAGTCTACCCTACCTCTAACAACGAAATTAAAAAAAAACATATACCCTGCAAGGCATATAGTCGTGGACGAGATAGTAGTAAAAAGAAATATATCACCAACGGAAACGGTCTTCCAAAGGAACAGTCATCAAAAGCAAAAACTTACACCAGCAGATCTACCAGCTCAGCTTTTCCGATCACAATCACCTTCGCATCGTTTAGCTTTGTGTCAAAGTGCGTTTTCGGTTGAGCGGGATTTGCGGAGTTGCCGTGTTCTGGTTGAGGTATGTGGTCCGTACTGCGGTCGTAGAATATTGAGACTGAAATGAATTGAATGGAGATTACTGTAAAGAGGAACCAAAATGCTGCGGCTCGTCCGCGATACTCGTATGGGCCCCCATGGATGGCCTCCACGGACGTCTCTATCGAGCTGACACCAGCGAGGCCAATAGCTGATCCAAATTGAAGAGCGCCGTTAAAGATGGCACCAACCGTGCCTGCCATGGAGGAAGGTGCAGCTTGAAAGATAGCAATGCTGTAATTACAGCAATTAGAACGTGTTCGTGTTCATAAAACCACGAGAATTTGAACTTACTTTGTGTGTGTATATGTCAGCATGGCCCCTGCGCTTCCTATAGTAAAAGCTGGGAATATATATTGCCAATAATCCCGAGGACTTCCCCCACCAAGCGCCAGCAATACGGTCGAGACCATGCAAAATGACAGGCCAGTGAGAATAATCCATTTCGGACTGAAGATTCGAGAAAGCGATCCGGTGAAACTCATCATGAAGGATATGACACCCATCGGAAGCCTAGTAAGCAAAAACAATTTAATGATTGGTAACATGGAGTAACAATGAAGACTCCACATGTATACAGCCGATGATATCGCCGACCACCCCTGTACGTTTTGCCACAGGGTGGTAAAAATTAGGAAGACTGTGCTCCACCAAAGGAATGGCAAGAGCGCTACGACGAAAAGAATGGAGAAATTGTGATAAAACCATGTCCGTGGTGGTCTGGTATAAGATCAGCCAACGACCGATGGTTGGTGCAAGCATCCCTGGTAACAGGTAACATACATTGCAGCTATATCCAGAGGTATGCGTGTTTCCCAGTAGAAAAAGCCAATCACCATCAAGATTGATGTGATCAGCGGGACCAGCACCATTACGGATGCCCAGCCACCAGTAGAGCCGGATGTCACAGCGAAGATGAACAAAATTAGGGCAGCTATCAGAGCTCGTGAGCGATGCGAAGCGGAGTCTGCTGAAAATTTATACCAGTTAGGATGCTTACGCCGAGTATGTCAAGGCTTTTCCATTTCGCTGCTGCAGGTTTAAGGTTGTTTGTGGTGTTAGAAATTTCTGGTGGTATGATGACGATACAGGCTAGAGCCGCTGGCATTGCCACGACGGCTACAAACCAGAATACCCAGTGGTAAGATGCCCATTGGACGAACATTGCCCCAATCATGAGACCGAGGACTATAGAGGGGAGCCATGAAGCTAGTCATGAATAATGTAGGCAGAATTCTCACCGTTAGCGAGGGATGCGGAGCCTCCATATATCCCTATTGCGCGAGCTTGGTCAAGTGGATCGGGAAATACTTTGACCAGGAGTGTCAGCGCAGAGGGGATTGTCATCGCAGAAGCTGAGAAGCGGTCTTCATCAGCCTAAGCCGTCAGACCGGTGGGAATGTTTACCTATTCCCATCAACGCTCTGAGAACAATGATCGGGATGGTTTCATTAACAAATCCAGCGCACAGCGAGATGACACCAAGGCCCGATACACCCGCAATGAACGTAGTTTCTGTGAGCCCATTAATGCCACTATCTGACAGCTACCGCATAGTACTAACTTGGGTTGTATACGTCGCTGATGCGGCCGCTCTAAACAATGCATTGAAGTACAAGGACAGAATTAATGGGGTGAGCACGCACGATAAGCAGGAAAGATGCAAAGGTCAACTGGAATGCACTCATGATCCAAGTGGACTGAATTTCAGTCATACCCATGGATACCTCGAGTGCAGGGATTGCGGAGAAGAGAGCTGAGTTGTTCATGGTATCTAAGAACTGAGCGAGACAGAACATGAACAGTAAAATTAGTCTGCGAGCAAGAGAAAGTTTTTTGGGTTCATGTTCGACCGACGTTTCAGCCGGGGAGAGAGACGGGAGTGGCAGCATCGGACTCGAAAACTATAAAACAAAATGCTGCGGTTTGTCAGTTCAGGAGCGACCACCCTATGAGAGGGAAGTTGGAAACTTTACCTGTCACCACAGATGGATGCAAACTTATAAGAGTTATCTTCGTGACTAACGTGAATTGATGACGCCCCTCGACGGCATATATTGGCAATGCATCATCTCAACACCTACGAAGATCTCGATTATGTGCAGAGATTCATTACCGGCCAATTTACGCGTGGGTTTGTGAAAGCCCTTGGAGTAAATCTGACCCAAAGAAACTCAATTTTTCACCATTGGTTTCGTGATCTGTATGCCCGTTCCACGCTCCCTGTACGACATCAATACAAAGGGAACGGGAATTGAGTCACTTGCGGCACAGTCGGACGAATGTAATAATGTATGTGAGCGTTACCTGATACCTCTCAGATGGAAGAATTATACAATGGATAAAATTTGACGATCCAAACTCTCCAGACAGACGGCTAGGGTAACGAGAGTGCTCTGATCTGTCAAATCACAAACATTCTGGTCAGGTCCAATCCCTTTTGATGCAAACGACCATCTGCACAAGGTAAAACCACTTACTCTATGCTATTAGTGACATTCACAATAGTAATGCGAGAACGATATCACGGTTACGTAGTGGGCAGAAAATATCGGATATTTGTGCCCGAAGTTATGGCGGCAGAAGTGGCAAAATCACTACTTCCCGCAAGATTCGGATTTAACTGGCTGAATATTCGTGCACTCTACTAATCGTTACATCTGTGTGACACTTAGTACACCGTGACAAGTGTTTTAACAAATTGTTGGAGTACGTCCTAGAACACAAAATGTAATGTTTCAACCAAGAATGCTGCAGCAATGAGGACGGCCTTCTTCCCGGCGCACAAGGTGTTTTTAAAGTTTGTACATAGAAAAGGGTATAGGTCTGAGAAATTGAATGTCTGTCTGTGACGCGACTCATCGAAGCATTCGCAATCAGGAAGGTCTCTTCCAAGGCCATGAGCCCGCAGTCGACAGACTCAATAGGTGAATATCACGTCAAAAGTCCGAGGACTGCAGACATACCGAGGAAAGCAACGTGCTGTGCTGTATGCCACCAACGCAAGGCGCAGCGCACATAGTTACAGTGTCCTTGCGCGATGGCGGATCTAAATGAAATCATCTTAGCAATCTTGAAGTTACGCACTGGGTGGACCAGCTCGGGCCAGACTTCCTTACCTCGTTGCCTGCACAGTTTTGCACAGTTCCAGAAAACGTGTAACGTGTTTCCCAAGAGTCCGGTTCTTGTGCACGACTGCGGGTACACACCAAGTATCCGAAGGTGTACAGTCCACACAACGCCTTGATATGTGAGCTCGCAGTTATTACAAGCAACGAAATGGACAAAACCGGAAACGCCAAACACGTTTGAGAAAAGAAGTGCACAGTTATCGATTACACAGAGGAAGACATCCCATGCATTAGAGGTGTTTCTGGACCCGAGGATTCCTTCGAAACGCAAGATAGGTCGGGTGATCAGGCAGACAATATGCCGCGCAACATGTAACAATTTACAGTCCGATGAACCCCAAATTTGTTTAGTTAGTCTCTCTTCTTTTCTTTGCGAGGCCTGGGCTATTCACATCTACTTGATTTTAGTGTTCACTCACTGGAACTGCGCAATTACGCCCTTCTACAATTCTGCACCACAGACATGATGAACTACAACACTGCATGATCCATTGTGTGCTTGTACCCGCGATGGACAGCTGGGAACATGGGCTCCACCAATCTGTGACTGTATCTCAAAGCCAGGACCAATATCTGTACGGCGTATGTGGAGAGTCGGATGGACGATCCGGACCGTGGCATTTATTCGGTCAGGCTACAGAAAAATTAGTACTTCAGGTACGCCAGTGTGATGTGAGTTGTAGACCTGTGTGGAGACGAAATAGTTCTTCTTAGTGGCGTCTCATGAGTCAAGGGAGGGATACATAAAACATCTGAGGCAGTGTGTGCAGTGGCTGAGTGGTCACGCTGCACAGAGGTCAGAAGATAGACTATTATATAACATTTTCTACTTGATAAATATGAGATCGCAAGGAGAATCAGTCGAGTGGCGTACCTGAACGATCATAGCAGGGACAAGGTCCCCAACACTCAGCAGCAATCTGGATGACTTGATTCTCTTTCGTTGGGATACTAGAAAAGTTGAATATGTACTTGATTGATTCCTAAAGGATGGAAATGACAAGTGCACTCTGTATCTCAAAGTACTCACAAAAGCCATAGTGTTGATATGACAGATTACGCAGCATTGACAAGGCGTGTGCTATGGCACTGACGCAGCATGCAAGTGGGCCTTGAGGCGGCATAGGCATGGGTAGGCGTGGAGGTTGACATTAGTACAGAGACTGGAAAGATGTTTGGGAGAGCTTGTCGTGATATGAGTGGTACATGACCCATCCTGAATGAAGCTTAACATGGCATGCCTGAGGATGGACATGGTAGTACAGAGCATGGGAGACAATACTTGACGCTGCGTCTGAAAACTAACATTAGATCAATGAATCGAACAATACACCATTAACGAGAATTCAAAAAGTCTTTGGAATTTAGTTTGAGAGACTGGAAATTTGAACATGATAGTCAGTACCAATGTCAATTTTACCACATCCCAGCGACAACTTGAAGCGGGTTCGTCCGGCAAGCTGCCTGCATTATGTAAGTTATTGCATTGAAACCACCACCAACATCGTTATGGCGTACACTCTTGACTTTAGTACACCCGTCAATACAGCTCTCCTCATTTACATTCTCTACTCTGTGCAGAAGATTGTTTTCCCTCCCACATCCACACCTAAAACCATCCCAAGCGAATTCAGTCATGGTTACTCGTGGATGCCTAAGGAACACCCTCCCACAGTGTTGTTCAAGACATACACCCCAAAAACACTGGAACCATTCAACGGCAAGAACGGAGGTAGAATTTTACTCGCCATAAACAGCATCGTGTTCGACGTAACGGCTGGGAGGAACTTCTACGGGCCAGGTACCTCCGCGTGCTTCGTCAATTCATTAAATCAGGACTGATGCACGTTATACAGATGGCATGTATGGTAATTTTGCGGGTCGTGATGCATCTCGTGGTATGGCCAAGCAGTCCTTCGATATGGGTGGGTGAATCACTGAACACTCCTTACACGACACCTAATTTATACGCCGTCAGAGATGTTAACGCCGGTTGACCAACCTCTTGACAAGCTCCAGGATCTCAAACCAGATGAAATGTAAGAATTTATATGCCTCCATCTTTGCATTGCTTATAGCATTATCAATTGCTTAGTGAGAACATGAAAGGTGAGGTCAAATTAGTTGCTTGAACCGGCAATAACTCATTGAATATACACAGGGTGGATTGAGCACTTCTCGAATAAATATATCATTTGTGGGAAGCTTGTTGAGAATGATGCTGTGTGATTGAATTCCGCAGCTGCATCATGTCATGGGCATCTCTTGCGTTGAATCCGTTTGAACTGCATCATGAGCTTGCAGCGTCGACGAGTCCATGTCATTTCCCGCTTTCGTGACTCTACATTGCACAACTATGTACCATAGTGTCGAGCTTGTTTATGTTTACATATGTATAGATTTTGATAGCGACATCAACCCGAAACGCGATCGGATAGTTGACTGTTACTTTGCGAACGACGCATGCGGCTAGCGACCCTTCCAGAACCCAGAACTAAGATCCCATAACACCTAGGATTCATGGACATCGACGACGACGATTTTTTCACGAACCTCGACCGACCTAGCCGTGCTGCTACCAGTAATGCCTTTCAGGAGCGACTTCGACAAGCCTCACGAGATGACGACGGTGCAGAAATACCAGATGCACCTCCCTTCATGCTCGAGGAAGAGGAAGAAACGCCACTACAACAACTTATAAGACATTGGATGAATGAGCGGCACTCGCCTGATATTCTCCCAAACGAAGGAGAGCTATTAGCGGGACTGCTTGACCACATCAGGAGTCAGGTTGGTGAGCTATGTCGTGACCTTGAAATGACCAGAAGACAAATCTGACTTGATGATTGATACAGTCTGAGACTGTGCAGCTCCTTCGCACAGATCCTTCGTCCTCTGAGGAGGAGCACTTTCGCATCGTGCTCGTTCAGACCGAGGTAGAACGAGTCAAATTTATAGTGAGGTCATATCTCCGCACCCGTCTATTCAAGGTCATTTCCTCCATTCTACTCTTATTTTCAGATACTATCTCATGTATTACAGATCGAGAAATTTGCTCGGTATATCATGACCAGCCCTCAAGTCCAGCAGCAGCTCTCAGAAAGCGAAGTCGAGCACGCGCGTCGGTATGTTGGTCTTCACGGGAAGTAGCATGTTGGTTAACGATGTCCCCATGTCGCCAGGTTTGCCCGTTTGACTGATCAACATTTCTATCATTCAGTTCTGCAGAGTTTGCCAGAGACCCAGCAGACCCTTGATGATCAACCTCCTTTTGTACCTTCCATGGGTACGGACGTCAGCATTTCACCAAGAGTGGTACTTACGATCGTATCTAGTTACTGAGCCAGACAAGGGTCGTGCAGTCTTTGTACATGCTCGACAAGACTGTCCACCAGTGCGGCTGCCAGAGTATGTTACCGAATATCGACCGATGTTAATTTCTCTAATCAGACCTACAGTGGGACCGCATTAGATATGCGGAAAGGGCATATATCGTTAACCCTGTATTCGGTAGTGGAGCAACTGATTGCTCGAGGGGAGGCAGAACTTGTGTAGGTCCTAGATTATGCTGTACAGTACAACTGGTCAGATATGATGGACGAAGGGATATGGGATATGATGAAAACGATAAATATCACAAAGCTGTTACAGCGCACACTTTACATCCAACACCATTCGCGTTGTTATCGCGGTACGTATGGCATGTCATCTTCGCCATCATCACTTCGTCGGTGCCGGGGACGAGACGATGACTCTTCAGGTGCATCATCATCGTCTTCCATTTGAGGTTCTCCTTCTTCAGACTTTACTTCTCCCATAGTCTCTTCTGGCACACCCTCCATGTCAACATCCTCTTTCTTTTTCCGCCGCCTCTTTGGGGCATCACCAGATGCCGCCCCATTTTTCTTCGCCTTGCTCCTCTTTCGCTTCGCGTTTTCTGCCGCCTCAGCTTGCAGGTCGATGGTGCCACCCGCTGAAGGGTCAGGTACAGATTCAACGATTTCCTTTAGGAAATCTAACATTTCTGTTGTTTCGATCGCATGCTTTCTGTGTTGTATATATTCACAATAAGATCGCGGTCAAGGTAGCGATGAACGCACAGATGATAAGCTTCAACCTTCTTTGCTCCCCGTTCGACCGTGACTTTGGTCGCCTCGTCCACAATCATAGCCAGGAATAACTCCAATGCTTTTGCTATAGGGCAGAAGAATTTCAAAAAACGTTCAAGAAATTAAAGGATAAATGAGTGTGCGAAGACGTACAAATAACCACTGGCGTAGCTTGCGCAACCTTCCCAACTTCCTCATCTTTCTGCATGATCTTCTTGATTCGTGCCTATCCTCAAACAAATGAGCTACGACTGATTAGATGAGCGCTTAATCATAGAAGCTCACAACGGGGAACTTTGTCTGTTTGTTCTTGGTCTTCATCTTGGATATTTTGATAAACTATGGTCCAAGATGTGTTCATTGTTCACCGCCAACTCTAAGTTAACTTATGACCGAAAGAAGATCACGTGCACAGAGGGCAGTATCACGTGTGCTCAACACGCCATGAAGTCACCCATTAACGGCTTGCCTCATAATAGACGGACTGGTCAGCATCAGTCTAACCTGATGGTAATCTTGTGTGACAAAGTTAAAGCTGCGATTTTGGTAAGCACAGCCAGCACAAGTACTCAAGCACTCAAGTACGTCCATTGTTCACATGGTACGATGAGATAAAAATAAGGCGTCACTCCCCACGCACATGATGTTAAGCAGACGATAACACGTGCATCAATTAGGAAAGGTGGTGGCTCCAACACCGTTTGTGGTTCGCTCCGCGACAAACCAGATATTCACGCGGCGTTTACCTCACAAAGGCAGTGGTCCAGTATCTTATTCGAACTTTTAAGAAATCGTGTCCAAGAATAGTTCGTGCATGATCAAACAAGTGGTAACTTACAATGATATCGTATTTGGAAGAACGTAGTATGTATCGTGAGAGAACCGCTGAATTGAAGTGATGATCACTCAAAGAGTGGTGTCGTGACAAAACGGATGGATGTCGTAGAATGTGCGTCATAACAACTATATTCAGGCTGGCGGGGATAGTTTTCGCTGCCTAGAGCAGGTCGTCAGCCGTAGCCTGAGTGACGCAAACACAACAAGAACCTACCCATCAGCGTTTCCAAGAAGTTCTTCGAATCTTTTTCTGAGATGGTCTAACTGAGCATCTAGCTCAGGTGTACCATACTCGTGCCCCTTGTCCATATCGAAAGCTGAACAGTCTCTCAAGAAATGATCTAGGTCCTTAACGCGAGTTATGGATAGTTCTGGTTCGTTTGATCCCCGTGTGCGAGCGAGATAGGAAGCGACCAATGTCGTCAAGCCGCCTGAAGTGTGTTAAACTTCAGAATCTGATTTGGATGACCGTAATACTCACCAAGAATAGATATGCCGATCGAAATCTAGTTCAATGACCTCATGGTCAATTTGACATAAATCCCAATGGAGTTTTTTGAACTAACCTGTTTACCCGATAAAGATGCCGATATACCAGTGGTGAGTGCACCAAGCAGTACTTGCATGCCTATCGCGATGTTCAATGCGAGGCCCGTGGCTCGCGCTTCAAAAGAAAGGAACATTATCAGCAAACAAGGAGACCTGCAAGCCAGAATACCGAACTGAAAGCGAATCATTTAACTTTTTCGACTAACCTTTTGCGGCGTATCGATCCCTTTCAATCTTCGCATTAGCAATAGTTGGAGCGAGTCGGTATCCGATTGTATGCCGCTATCAGGTCAGGATCAGGGTTAATCCGACACAAAAGTGCTAGCAAGACAAACATGAGGTTTATCCTCAACTTCGGGCACTATCCAGCCTATGCCTGATGAATTGGGACGAACAAGTGAACGACGCGATGTTCCACGCGTGATGCGTTCGTCCCTCTGGCTATTTCTTGCAACCGGAGGAGGTCGAGAAGGCTCAACTGGAAATTCTGGATATCGACCACGGATTGGTGTATATTCCTCTGAAGTGCCGAGGAGGGGCTTTTCGGTCACCGACTCTGACTGACTCTGCGGACTATCTCCTTTGTCAACATGTTCGGGTTCCACGAACGGCGAGGTCTCTTGGACTTGGGGTTGAGAAGGCTGTCGCTGAGACTGGGAGGACTGTCCAGTAGAAATGGGAGGGAGGTTGTGGTCGGGATCCATGGTGCTTCCACGACGCGGATGTGAGGGGGTCCAGTGACCTGGCCAAAGCCTGTTCCCCGAACTCCAGTTGGAAAGCTTTATACCGAGGATTGAATAGAACCGAGAACCCACGCCTCATCCCTGCAGTTACCAAAACCATCCTCCTTTCGATAAGTGTTCGATCCGCGTATTACATGTAATAATGGTTGTTCGGTACGGCCGCTGTAGTGTCTATTAAAATGGCAAGGCACAGTAGTATACCGATCGTTGTCAGGGATTTCTCGGCGTCAAATTTAAAGTTCTTGAGGTGCCACAGCTTGAAGGTGCCAGATAATGTTATGAGTTAAGTTATACTTGGCCGAAATTTAGGAAGCAAGACTCCTTGTCAAAAAGTCCTTCACGCACCTTTTGAATTATAAGGCTTTAGTGCCATCGCACAGCAGGAATACCGTCGGATTCAGAAGTATCCGGGACATGAGTCTAGAGGAAAGCAGTTCGTAATTAAAAGGGCAACAGCTGAACAAAGTTTGTGATCACCATCAGTCTTCAATTGATATGTCATGGCGAATCATCGGACGCGTTGTCTATCTACACAAGCAAGCGCCTGCTGACACTGAATACTTGGTAAATCAAAGCCCACTGGCTTCCTGGATGTGTCTGAGATACTGAAGCGTGAGCTTTTATCGCTGCTTTTTGGCGTAACGGTTGAGCCTGCTGAGCCAGTCGGCATTTCCAGATCCTGGCAGGCCGATACAATGTACGCTCCGGTACAGTGTCCAGCCCAGCATTGCTGTTTGCATTTGGTGGTTTTTGGACATTCAAGTTCTGCTGGAACTATCTGATCTGCGAATTCTCAGTTCGTTCTGTTTTGGTCTGTTATTCTTGGGTACCGAAGAAGATCCGGACGCATGACCACCAGTCACATGACTTACACGTTCAAAGTGAAAACACCAAATATTACTAGCTCAGCCGATGCAGCGACAGACCACAGATCCATCCACGGGTCCATGTGATTATTTTCATGTATCGAGCCTTAAATTAGCTCCGGTATGGTTCCAGTATATACCCAAGTCATGCCTAAGCCTCGTGTGCAAAAAGCTCACCATTACTATCACAGTCACGGTGGTCTTCTCAGGCTGAGTTGGAACTCGTTGTCTGATCCTCCCGTCTCATTCTTGGTCGTGCAGCCTAAATAAAATCTCCGCACATGCAGGGGGGCACTGGCTAGGCAGGCTCACATCGACTTCCTGAGCCTTGTCGGAAGATAGGTATGAAGCCCAGATAGCAACGCCCGGAAGAAGAAAGTCCGTTACCTTAGGGTACCGAAAATCTGATCTACGCGATAGCAGGAATCCTTACGAAAATTTGTCACACTTTACCCTTTCAGACACGAGACAATCGAGACGCGAATGTACGTTGAAGAGAACTTGGCTGTGGGTGAGCTTTTTGTTTGATAATAATAGGGCTGTGCCCAACATGATCTAGCTTTAGCACATAAAATTAGGGAACTTATTGTTTCTACCATCGGAGCAACACTAAAGCGGAGAAATACAGGCATACGATTAGAGTTGAGATTGCCGATGTCAGTGAGCAAATAGACTGATTTATTTTGCAGCTACTTGAGTAGAGTAAGTGGACAGACCGCTTCTCACTCCTGGATCCCGGTACTCCAACTGAACACAACGTTGTGAGGTGCTGCAGCAAGTTTGTGCCCCGTGGCAGAAGGTAGTAGTGTCTGACCGAATGCTATCTTTCTTCTATTTGGTTTGCCTGCGAACACTAGTCCGACGCTACAACTTGTTTCTTTTAATAAAAGTTACAGAACAATCAAGGTTTCTGGTAACACAGTCGGGCATCTCCCAGTCGGTCGATCCTCAATAAAGCTAGTCGGAGTGTGGAGATGGGATGTGAAACTCCCCGCTTCGCAGGAGAGCAACGAGATACGATGACCCTGGCGAGATAACGAACGTCATGATGTCATAGTGGGCTGTCGTCAAAAATATATTTACCAAAATATCAACGTAAAGGAGTGAATTGTCTTTCTTCTACTCGCATACTGAAGACCTTGCAGGCAGTGGGCCCATCAGTGCGGATACGGACTCGATTTGCCTGAGGGACTGAGAGGGGTGCAATGCATTTGCACCAGGGCCAATCAGCCAGCCGCAGATACAGTAATAAGCACAGGTATCAATTGGGATTGTGATTGTCTACGAGTTGCTCAGCTACACGCGGATAGCAATACATAGTTTGTTCCGACAGTTCATTTCTAATCGCAGATTATTCATTATACAACATTTTTATTGACTTTCAGCCCATCACACTGGCGAGAAGAGCCATCCGAACCTAGAAGAAGAAAGTCAGAGCGAGCTACTCGAAAAGAAAGATGACCGACGAAGAGTCCGTAACGCATTTGACGGAAGTAGGCGGCACGTCGGAAGTCGAAATCGACTTCAGGATCGATTTCTGTGGACGTAGGTGCTTAGCTCAAGGATTACGAAAGGCGCAGAAAATGAAAATCTTACCATTCATTCTAGGCAACGGGTGCATTACAATCATATCTTCTTTGGCCCGAGAAAGAAGGGCGTGATCAATCCTATAAGAGTCCTTGACCGCTTGCCACTCAGATTCATCCTTGAATCTCTCTCGTTGCACTCTGGTTACGTAGAGAACGTCCGTCTCGGGCAAGACCTCCTCCAGCGATTCCAGCTGCTGCATAAATACACCCGTCTTCCGCGCAGTAGCGATTACCTTTGCGGGCGTTGCAAGCGCTGGAGGCGAGACGAAGTTCAGGCGGACTGAGTAGTGACAGAGTAAAGTGACCAGGCTATGAACTGTGCGCCCATTCTTGAGATCTCCTATGATGGTGATCGTTTTGCCATTGACAGTCCCCAGCTCGGATCGAATGGTATATATATCGAGAAGAGCCTATGACGGGTTAAAATTAGGACTAATCCAAACTTCGAACCCTTACCTGACTAGGATGCTCTCCTATGCCATCGCCAGCATTCAAAACAGGTACAGGGGAATATTTAGCGGCGAGCTGGGCACTGCCGACGTCGGGATGCCTAATCACAATAGCATCGGCATAAGACCCTACTGTGCGAACGGTATCCGCCAGTGTCTCTCCTTTCTTCACTGATGAAGTGTCTACGTTGACTTGAACCACTTCGCCTCCACAACGTTTCATGGCCGCATCGAAAGAAGTGCTTGTACGGGTGGACGGTTCGTAGAAAAGGGTACAAAGGACCTTGCCCTTCAAGATGTCTAATGTCCCATTGCGTTCGACCTGAAGTTGCATTTCATGAGCCAAGGAAAAGAGGTCATACATATCGCGTTGGGTGAATTGTTTCACAGAAAGTATATGACGACGATGGAATGCCGGATGACGACCGTGAACAATCGGCGGTACATTGATGCTTGAGCCAGCAGGACCACTGGCAGACGGTGCCAAAGCCGTCTGATGAGGAAGGGTAGAGCCATCAGGCGCCCTGGCGGCAGAAGGCCCAGAAACAAGCTGTGGTTTCGCTGGAGGCACGCCTGCGTGCCGTTCTCCGGCGGCATGCACAATCGTCGCACTTGACACATCTTTCCCTAACGGTAAAACAGAGAGTTCACCGTCAAGGAATAAGGTTTTGCCATGCACAACTACTCTGTGCAGTGACCCAGTGACAGAACTGTTCTGCAAAGGAGACCAACACGTGCTGTGGCTCTGATGCTGAGCTCGCCGTCCTAGGACGACTTCCACGTGAGTTGTCGTTTGTTCAGGAAGACCGAATATGCGAATCGGATTATCGTGAAGGCGCACACGAATGTCCTCAAGCGTGAGTCGGCCACTGGTAACAGCGGTAAGCAACAAGGGTAGTGTTTCTTCCGCTCCGGACCACGCAGGAAGCCGACTCCTGAAGTTCTGTCGCAAGTTGATGAGGAAGCATCCCGACCGAGAATGCATCGATTACATCAAGGTTCTTCCACAGTGCCTCCTGATCTTCAGCCGATGGCAGCGAGGTGGGTTTGGAATATTGTTCCCGTGTGAAGAATAAGGCGAAGACTGAAACAGTCGCAGGTAACCTTGAGATGCTTTTCCTTGCTGAGTGAGATGAGAAGCAGATCATCTTTGTTCCTGACGTCGGTGATATGAACGCTGCGGTTATGAAGAGATGCTAGTAGGAGCACTGATGCAAGGTTTGAGCCACGGGCATCGGTCACAATTGTTTTATTTTGGGGCCACGAGGCGAAGTAGGCAGCGACAGTGGAAATCTGAGGAGAGGCGAAGTTTCCATGGAATGAGACGTACAACGACTTCACGTCCGTTCTAACTTCCTCGTCAAGAGCCTGGACATTACTATCTTTCCCAGTAATGCTGAGGGCGTAGTTGCAGCGTGCACTCTTTGCAGCTGTGACATGGGCCTGCTCAAGTAAAGAGGCATCGGTGATGGCGCTGTCAAGACCGACTGGTAAGATGAGTGAAGTAGTGAAGCCTGAACTGATAGAAGCCCGAGTAGCTTGCTCGAAGTCATCGGCTCCCGACGAAGTGAGGCGGGGTAGGAACGCGGAAACATTAACAAACCCGGGGAACGAATGCGTTAGATACGAGGATTTAGAATCGATACTCGATACATCCAACGGAAGCTTGCGAACAAGTGCTTCCGCAAGCAATTTCGCGTTTTTAACGTTCGTTATGAGCGGAATTGCAAAATCAACGGCCATGCGCCGCGTGCGGTACCCTTTGCTGGCGTAGCTTGCAGGGCGGCGATAATTGTTCTTCGATGGGAGGTTGATGTACATGTCGATAAGATTGTTGGCCAGGTGCTGTGTGAGCGAATATTCGGACTTCTGTTTGTCGTTGCTATCTTCAGGGAGGCTTTCCAGGTACTATGCAAGATATGATAGAACTTTAGAAAAACTCCGAAACCTGATCGAACTTACTTTACAAGGAACATTATGTTCGGTCAAGAAGTCAGCAGTACCGGATGTTGCGAAAATGTTGTATCCAGCGGCATGGAGCTTCTGCACCGAGGGCAGAATTTCCAATTTTTCCCGATAGCTCCCAATAGAGAGCAAGATATTCTTCTTTGGTGGCACAATGCCGGTGGAGATCAAAGCCTTTAGATACGCCTCATACTTATCACGGCCGAAGCAAGCGACTTCTCCGGTAGACGCCATTTCCACACCAAGTACAGGGTCTGCTCCAGAGAGCCGACTGAAGCTAAACTGGGGGACCTTGACTCCAACATAGTCTGGAGGAAGACCAGGATCCGGGTAGCTCTCTACCGGCAATCCAAGCATAACCTTGGTGGCCATCTCGATAGCGTCAATGCCGGTGACTTTGGAAACGAAGGGGAAAGATCGTGCTGCTCGTAGATTGCATTCAATCACCTTGATCTCGTTGTCCTTAGCTATGAACTGGATGTTGAAGGGTCCAGTCACATTGAGAGCGTTTCCGATCTTGGCAGTGGCTTCCTCGATCTGACGAACAGTAGCGGGATCAAGATCTTGTGGTGGGTGAATGAGAGTGGCGTCACCAGAGTGCACACCAGCATTCTCAACGTGCTCTGAGATGAAATGCATGACCATCTGACCGTCCTTTGCTACAGCATCCATCTCTATCTCCTTCGCTTGCTCGATGTACTTCGTGATGACGACGGGGTGTTCACGAGAGACAGCGGTTGCTTGTGTTAAATAGTTGGCCAAGTCGTCACCAGTTGAAACGACATTCATAGCAGCCCCTGAAAGGACGTAGGAAGGACGGACGAGGACAGGGTACCCCACTGAATCGCAAAAGGCGAGAGCCTCCTGGAAACTAGTCAGCTCCTTCCAAAGAGGCTGGTCAACGCCAATCTCATCGAGTAACCTAGAGAATTTGAAGCGATTCTCTGCTGTGTCTATCATCTCAGGAGAAGTCCCGTATATTTTCACGTTCTGACGATAGAGGGGAAGGGCAATATTGTTCGGGGTCTGGCCACCCATAGATAAGATGACGCCACGCGAACGCTCTGTATCATAGATATCAAGAATGGTCTCCAAGCTGATATTCTCGAAGTAAAGGCGATCAGCTTCGTCGTAGTCAGTACTGACTGTTTCTGGGTTGTAGTTGACCATGATTGTCGGGAGGCCTTGTTCACGAAGCGTCCTGATAGCCCTGACAGCGCACCAATCGAATTCGACTGAGGATCCAATGCGGTAGACGCCCGAGCCAATGACCACGACACCGCGATCATCAAACTTGACGTCGTGTTCGATAGCGTTATACGTAGTGTAGAGGTAATTCGTTACTGCGGGGAACTCGGCTGCGACGGTGTCTATTTGCTTGACGAATGGGGCAATGCCAATTTCTTGACGAAGCCTTCGGACAGCTAACTCCGATGAACCCAAACAACTGGCTAATAGGCGATCGGAGAAGCCAAGCTGTTTCGCTTGGAGGACGATTCTGTTACTGACAGAACCAATAGATTGCTCTCTGTGGTTGTAGCGCATTCGTTAGAAAAACTTCGAAGATCAAAGGGAGTCCACGCACGACAAGCGCTTCTCCATGCGATAAATGTGTTGAAGTTTCGTTAGGAACCATTTATCGATGTTAGTCATCTGCCAGATCTTGTCCACACTATAGCCCCGGTGGAATGCATTTGAGATGGCGAATATCCGCTTGTCAGTGGGATTGACCAATTCCTCGTCAATGTCGTCCACAAAGTTATTCTTACGAAACAGGAATGTTAATCTCACTGGGATGACGAAGGCTGCTCGTACATACCTTCGCAAATCCAAGGAACTGATCGTCGATCGCCCGTATCGCCTTCTGGATAGTCTCTTCGAAAGTTCTGCCGATGCTCATAACTTCACCGACGCTCTTCATACTACTGCTAAGGAGCCGGCTGACCCGGTTGAATTTTTTGAGGTCCCAACGTGGTATCTTGACGACAACGTAGTCTAAGCTTGGCTCAAAGCAGGCGCTAGTTACTTTCGTCACCGAGTTCTTGATTTCGTTCAACGGGATACCCAGACCGAGCTTAGCGGCAATAAATGCAAGCGGATAACCTGTGGCTTTTGAAGCCAGCGCTGACGATCGCGACAGACGTGCGTTAACCTATTTAAGTATGAGCACAAATGCATGTCATGTCCGCCAATGTCAAACCAACCTCAATGATACAGTACTCCTTCGAGGTTGGATTCAGAGCGTACTGGATATTGCACTCGCCAACAACACCAAGATGGCGAATGACATTGATCGCAGTTGTTCGAAGCATGTTGTAGTCGGCGTCAGACAGTGTTTGGGAGGGAGCGACTACAATGGAGTCTCCGGTGTGTATACCAAGGGGATCAAAATTCTAGCATGGAACAATGAGATGATGCACGCGCGATTTAGCGAAAAGCGATGCTTACCTCCATATTACAAACGGTTATGCAATTGTCGCGACAATCGCGGACAACCTCGTACTCGATCTCTTTCCAACCTTTCATGCTCTTTTCCACGAGCACCTGAGGGCTAGTCGCAAATGCCTTGCTACATAGAGCGCGAAGTTGGGCTTCATCCTGCGCGAAACCAGATCCCAAACCACCCAGAGCGTATGCAGCACGAATAATAACCGGGAAGCCGATCTCGCGCGCTGCGGCAGCTGCTTCATCTGGAGTGGTGGCTGTGGCAGACTGAGCACAACGCTCCCCGATGTCCTCCATTGCTTGGGCAAATAATTGCCTATCCTCCGTCGTGATAATAGTCTCGATGGGGGTACCAAGAACCTGTACTCCAAGAGCCGCAAACTCATCTTTGAGTTTAATGCCGACATTGAGGGCGGTCTGTCCACCGAACGTCACGTAGATGCCATCCGGTTTCTCGTACTTGATGATTTTGCGCACGAAATCGGGTGTTACCGGAAGGAAATATACCTTGTCCGCGAGACCCTTGGAGGTAGCAATGGTGGCAATGTTAGGGTTGACGAGAATGGTGTAAATGCCTTCCCCCTTAAGCGCCTTGATAGCCTGCGAGCCTGAGTAATCGAACTCGCCTGCCTGCCCAATGGACAGTCCACCGGAGCCAAGGATAAGAACCTTTTGAACATTGGCGCGAGGGAACATTCGATCATTGTCTTCCTTGCGCCTGCCCGGAAACGATATGGGGACCAGGGTGTTCGTGTTGACGCAATCCGTGACAATCTGGATGAAGTCGTCAAAAAGAAATTCTGTGTCACGAGGGCCAGGAGTAGATTCCGGATGGAATTGTACGGAGAAAAATGGTTTGTCTTCGCAATAGATGCCTTCGTTACTACCGTCATTGGCATTGCGGAAAAGCTCTTTCCATCCTTGAGGGAGCGTATTTGTGTCGACTTGGAAACCATGGTTTTGAGAAGTTATGTAGCACCTTCCGGTCAGTGCATGAGTACACGGGATGTTATGTCCACGGTTGCCGTATTTCATTTTTGAGGTGGTAGCTCCTGCGGCAAGAGCAAGCAACTGGTGCCCAAGGCAGATACCGAAGATTGGACGGTCGCCTTTTTCCATTGCCTGAGCAATTCGCTTGACGGTAGTCATGATTGTCACAGGATCACCTGGACCATTTGAGATGAACAATCCGTCATATGGCTCGGCTTCGTTGACGAAGTCATAATCCCAAGGGACAACCTTGAGTTCCACTCCACGCTTAGTGAAGCATCGAATCTGATTGTACTTCATGCCAACATCCACAGCGACAACGCGAAGGACACGTCCGTTTGGGTGAAGACGGGGCTGGCCTGTAGGTTTAAAAAGTCGGGGAGCGGATAATGATACTGCAGCGACGAGATTGTCGGAGTTGGGATCGTGCCATGGGATATCAATGTAGTCTTCCGAAGGTGGCGGCGAGGATGAACGTGAGACTGAGCGTGACTCTGGAATAGGAAGTTGCAAGCGGCGGGGAGGGGCATCTGACTTTCGCGCCAACACTCTGGCTAGCATGGAACCTTTTTCCCGTATCTTCTTAGTGAGGGCGCGTGTGTCCACACCACAAATGGCAGGAATATTGTTTTCTTTCAACCAAACTCCAAGCGAAGAACTTGCCAAGAAATGGCTATAATCCTCGGTATATGAGCCAACTACGAGGGCGGCAATATGAATGCGTGATGACTCGAACTCGGAAGGGAGATCAACATCGTTTTTGGGGCGTGCGGGCACGCCATAATTTCCGATTAACGGATAGGTGAGAACAAGGATCTGGCCCTCGTATGAAGGATCGGTCAAGGATTCTGTGTACCCGACCATGCCTGGAATACAATAGATTAACAACATGAAATTAGACGACGGAAGTAACCTCCACCGGTCTGAAAGACGCATTCGCCTGCAACGCTTTTTTCTTCCGCTCCGAAGCTGATACCTCTGAACGCAGAGCCATCGTTGAGTTCCAAGATGGCCTCGTTAGAAGAACACATAACATCATCGTCACTTAATGGCGAGAAGGTGACCGGAGGAGCTGGACAGATAGAACTGCTCTGACAACGAGTGAAAATGGGTCGGAAGCCGTCTGCAGGCATCCCGTGAAAATGCAAACAGATATAGACAGTAAGTGAGTGATAGATTTGGGAGACAAGAGACCTTAGCAATCTCTTCTTTTCTCTTCACCCAAAGACTTTTGAGGGGTGTTTTTGGGTGGAGAGAGAAGAAGAGAAGAAAAAGATTGGGATATGCTGCTCGATCATCAAAAGTTTGAATCCGAAACCCATATATGGCAAGCGACCCAAACTCGACCAATCCTACCAGGGCACATCCAGCGCCAGCACAGCCTAGTCTCTGAGCTTTCGTGTTCCAACCATAATAGAGATCAATGGCCCAGCCTGTAGGTCGAGCTTTCCATAAACGATCGTGAAGGTGATTTCTTTTTCAAAGTGCGGGTATTTGATCATTTTCAAAGTGCAAGCATTTGATCAGGTGTTGGGGACAGAATTTTAGTATTTGCAATGGCAAGCGTCACTTCTGCAAACTTTTAAAGTGAAGACTATATGTATGACAATAATATATAGTAAGTGTCACTAGGAAATATCATCAGAAAACTTCCACACCCCACTGTCCGTCGGTGTGATTAACTACCATGATCTCCGAGTCGTCGTCAGGTCTCAGGCTTCTAGATGGGCAGCTGCATTGATGTTCAAACGTTCATGCCTGGCTAAGCCTCATCGGTATACACGTACACATGCTGTCGACGAATTGGCTTTTCATCAGTCTTGGCCTTCTAATGACTATGGTAACGAAGATTCGAATTTTGCCAGTGCTTCGAACGTGTCTGCCTGCATGCTATCCAAAAGGCGCTGAACATCGGCGGCATCGAAAACAATGTGTAAGAGGGTGGTTGCAGTGAAGAACGTTGTTGAAACATATTTCGCTGTGATCCCCGTTCGGATTCTGCCCAGTGCGACTACTCGCGCACTGATACACTCACTACACGCTGGACAACCATGAATATTTGAATGCCAGTCACATCTCACCTAACAACCGTGACGGTGAAGTAACTGTTTCCTTTCTTCTACAGCAGATTTATCTGCCGCATCTGCCACCGGTCGGGAACTGCCACGCAGCTCATTCCCGCTGTGCCACATCCTGAAGCTCCTTTCAGCGCGAATGCCTCGGACGGCTCGTGGACAAATAGTCAACATTATCATCGTGACGCACCGTATTTATGGGCATAATCTTCAGTGGCATTCAGACTCTGGGCTAAGTGGTCATCCTCTTAGCGCCGCTATCCCTGCTGGCATCTGCCTGCACAAGAAGCACGGCGGGACTAAAGATGCAGACAACACCTTTTTATAGTGCCAACGGTGTAAACGCAAGATAAAATTTAGCTCTATTTGAGCTTTGGAAAATCAACGAGCCACTTTGTAGACGCTGGCCAGCCTATGAGATATTGGTTTATATTCCCTTGTTGCCGCTGAGGTCCCGTGATGCTGCAAGCTTTTCAAAAAATAAAAAAGTCAGCCAAAATTTTGGAAAAGAAACTCAAGACTATCGAGTTCGTCAGCGAGGATGAAACCTCCTATGACAGCACATACGGCATGTCCATGTCGAGTTTAATTAGAGTGTTGGTTGCAAAAAAGGAAATCATACCTCGAATCTTCGAGCCTAGAACAGGATCAGTCGGGAGTCGGGACTAGGCGATCCAGTGGCTTGTTCGAATAGAACTTCATTGTCCAAACTGTAGCATAAATATTTACGGTACAATCAAGATGGCGAGATGACATTGTGGCATTTTTGCCTCCTCATCATTAGGACTCTCTCCCGCTGGATATCTCGGCGCGGGTTTCTAAAGGTCTTTGAATGATCATCGGCGTTGGTTGCAGCATAGATCCCCAGGATTCTATCACATACGAAACCCGGTGGACTCGAGCATGCGAACCCGAACCTGCAAGCTCGGACATCGATTACAGACCTCCTCAGGCAGGAAGTGAAGTGTTCCGGCCGAAGAGTAGGTTCCAGTCAGGTTGCAGCCAGTTGGGGTCAGGACTGTTCAGGTTTCGGCCCGTTGCGGATTAATGTAGACCTGACAGTGCGATTACATAACGTTCCAGTTCACCTTCAACCTACGAGAGCCAAGAGCAAAGGCTCTCACAGGTCACAACTAATAAGGGTAGGGTATACTGCAGTTTCCGATGAAATGTATTGCTCCGGCGGTGTACGACAGAAAAGAAAAATGAGATGAACGTGATGCTGGCTAGGGTAGCGATAAAGTGGAATTAACAGAAGGGACAAGGGCCCAAGACAACACCAATAGAGGAATACCTAAGTTTTGGTCGTAAAGGGGAATATAGGTGACGTAGGAATCATAACAGTGAGTCACCATGATTTTGATCTACGATTCCTCATCAGCTGGAACCTCCTCCTCGTACTCGGCCTCTTCCTCGACCGTTGCGTCTTGGTATTGTTGGTATTCAGCGATCAAGTCCTGCATGTTCGACTCGGCCTCGGTGAACTAAAAGATATCATTCAATCAGATCAGCCAATCGCAAGATAAAGACTGCATGTACACACCTCCATTTCGTCCATACCCTCTTGTGTGTACCAATGCAAGAAGGCCTTGCGCTTGAACATAGCAGTAAAGTGGTCACTGACACGCTTGAACAGTTCTTGGATAGCTGTCGAGTTGCCCAAGAAGGTAACCGCCATCTTAACTCCGCGGGGAGGGATGTCACACTGTGCAGAAAGCACATTGTTAGGAATCCACTCCACGAAATATGCCGAGTTCTTGTTCTGAACGTTTTGCATCTGTTCCTCGACCTCCTTCATCGAGACCTTACCGCGGAACACAGCGGCAACCTGATTGTAAGATAGTATCAGCATAAGTCCCCTAGACACACACATACATACGGTGAGGTAGCGACCATGTCTTGGGTCTGACGCAGCCATCATGTTCTTTGCATCGAACATTTGTTGAGTAAGCTCAGGGACGGTGACAGCGCGGTATTGCTGACTGCCACGAGCGGTCAATGGAGCGAATCCGGTCATGAAGAAGTGAAGACGAGGGAAAGGAACTGCAAATGAAAATATTGAGCGAGACCAAAGAATATTGAAGACAGCGACGAACCCATGTTCACAGCAAGTTTACGCAGGTCAGAGTTGAGTTGACCAGGGAAACGCAAGCAAGTAGTGATACCAGACATGACAAAGGAAACCAAGTGATTCAGGTCACCATAAGTAGGCGTAGAGAGCTTGAGCGTTCTAAAGCAGATGTCGTAAAGGGCCTCGTTATCGATGCAGAAGGTCTCGTCTGAGTTCTCTACAAGTTGGTGAACAGAGAGCGTTGCATTATAAGGCTATATGGTTGTAAAACTTAAGAAACGCATGGAACTTGGGGAAAGAGACTGACCTCAACAACCGTGTCCGAGACAGCAGGACTTGGCACGACAGAGTACGTGCACATCATCCGATCGGGGTACTCTTCTCTGATCTTGGACATCAAGAGCGTTCCCATACCAGCACCAGTTCCACCACCGAGTGAGTGGGTGATCTGGAAACCTGCACGTGTGTTAACGGGAAGCGGTGATAAAATAAGCAAAAATTACTTGCCCTGTAGGCAATCAGTGCCCTCAGCTTCCTTACGGACGACGTCAAGAACAGAGTCAACCAACTCCGCACCCTCCGTGTAGTCTGTGTTATTGAGACAAAGTTAAAATTACGATTGGTTGAACACGGCAGAAGACTTACGTCCTTTGGCCCAGTTATTACCAGCACCGCTCTGTCCAAAGATGAAGTTGTCGGGTCGGAAAAGACCACCTAGAGGCCCCGAGCGGACGGAGTCCATGGTTCCTGGCTCAAGATCAACCAAGACTGCACGAGGAACGTATTTGTTTGACCCGATTTCATTGTAGTAAACCGAGATACGCTCAAGTTGCATATCATTGGTTCCCTTGTAGAGACCGTCCCGCTCAATACCATGCTCATCAGAAACCACCTCCCAGAACTTAGCACCTGCATATCAAATCACGATGCGATGAGAATATTGGATAATCGCGCAAGCCTTGTAGTCGTACCAATTTGGTTACCGCACTAATATCAAAGTGATGTTAACACGAAAGGATTGTAGTGAAACTAGAAACACTGAAACATACCTGGCCGGTCTGGATGTGGACGATTTCACGCATGCTGAAACATGACAAGTTAGCGATGAATAAACACGAGATTGGTTGATTCAGAAAACGCGAAGATCGCGACAGACGCGCCCAAGCACGAACAGACGCGAACCCAATAAACTGAAAGATACAGAAAGTATATAGACACGTACATTAGGGATTAGGGCAAAAAGTCGTTGAAAGGATGGACACGAATGAGTGGTGCAGTCAAAAACGAGGCCTTGGAAAGTCGGGTCAAGGGTTGCACGCTTATTTTTCAAGCGGCGACAAATTTCGGTGGCGGGTCCTCGATAACACCACGTTCGACCCACAAATTTTTGCCTTCTCACTGATGTTGAACCAGGGCTTGTTCGATACGCTCCAGCGTGTTTTTGTAATCAGCTTGTTGAGCCAGGTGAGGAGCGCTTCGCATATGTGTATGGTACGTTGGATAGGCTGTAGCTCATCGTTGAATTATCGGCAGGCGAATTTAATGACGTATTTCAGTATTATCGTGTACGATATAGGCCTTTAGCGTGCAGCGTGTACATGCCATGATGCGATTTTACCATCAGCCTGCTTGCAGGCGTTGTACTTAAGAGGTGGCATAATTATGTATACCTTTTGAGGCAAGCTTCAAGCGGTACCAGTTTGGCTTGGCTTGAGCCGGCGCAAGATGCCCAGCCTTCTGATGGACTCCGCTGAGCCACTAATCCTGGCATGTCACCCGGTCTATCACGCAGAAACGTGTCGCTGAAAGCACTCCACGAGGCCACTCTTCCTTCCCCATGCGTAAGGAATCCAGGATGCCTAATCACTTTTCCTATCATATCACCAAACTTTTGTGATTCTGTGAAGCACACAAGTTGCTTGATGGTCCACGAGCCTGCATCGAGGCTAGGACCAATTACCTGTGCCAGCAATTTAATGAGTCCGTAAAGAAATTACAGGAAAGATTTCTTAAATGAGCGCTCCTTTTTGGGAGCGACCCAACTGATGCTACTGAGTCCAGGAACATGTCATTTCTTCTACTCACAGCCACGAATTTCACCGAATGAAATTCTCTTCAAAAGGGCTCTGAAGTCGTCAAGTATCCGCCTCTCACTACGCTAGAGGAAGCTGTGTCTTAGACAGGTCAGTAGTAACGACCCGAAAGCTATGCCGGAATAAGTACGCATAGCCACTACGCATATTGATTTGACTGACAGACGGTGACGCTTTGTGATCTTTCTTGCTTTCCCCAAGACATGAGTGGCTCCACAACCCCAATATCAGACGCCATTTCTCCACGTTCGCAACGTTTCCGAGACTCTGTTCACAACATCCCGACACCTGGTACAGAAGTGCACCGGCCCAAACGCTATGTCAGTAACACTCCTTTGTTACGAATTTCCCTTTGACAGATATGAATGGAACCTAGGAGCCTATTGTTTTGAACATCTACATCGTTGGAAGCATTGCTCTGCTCATGTTATGTTTGGGTATTGCACTTGAAATAGCTCTGCGAATATCAGATAGAAGCAATGGTAAGCGCCTGTTGCTTCCTCACAGACTACAGTGCGCCGGTAACATTTTTCCAGGCTTCTCAGTACCTGAGAAGAACGTGATCACTTTCGTATCAACTCAATTCCTGACGGTGACGCCCATTATATCATCACCAACACATCTTTATTCATCCTCTCGCAATAGTCGTTTGTTCCGACCTTATTGGTAGTCCCACTCGCGTATTTTTGGGCTGTGGCAGACTGGATGCTCAGATGGTACCAGGTCAGCATGACCGTCTATATCACTTGCCTTCCATGCTCATTGCAAGGGCCTTAGCCATATGTCACGCTATCCGAGGGCAACGCATCTGCAGCACGCAGTATTCTGCTAGACTATGTAAGCATTTCATAAGTTATAAATCAAGGGTCATAACGTGTGTGACCATCTCACAATAGATCGCACTCAAGTAAGAATCAGTCACTCACAAATCAAGCTTATGATCTAAGATAACTCATCGCCCAGTCGCTTAACCACTTTATACCATTCCCTCAAGCACCGGCATTGGTTGATCAATGTATCAACACTCACTGCCCTTTCTGCCGTCTTCATGCAGCCGCTAGCTGGATCCCTATTTCAGGTACGACAAGTACCCTACACAGCAGGTAATGTTATTCAGCTAGTTCCTTCTTGCTGCCCGCTTGAACTGAACATGTCGATGTAAAGCTGCCAGCGCAACAAGCATGCGCAGCGTCGGGCTTTCGCCTACTATTAGTCAACTCACTTCATTTCTCGCTTCTGCAGGGGTAAGGCGTTCGAGATCAATCGCGATACTTTGCTGACATATTAAATAGTATGCAGATGCTGCAGGTAGGGATACCTGTCTAACAGCATGTGCTGAACTGAGTTAGGCCAAACTCCCTAGTATACAATAATCTCCAAGATCCACCATTCGTCAATGGCGCATGGTCTGCTGCTCCATTCGCTGTATGTTGTTCGCTTCTTTAGGGTGGCATAAAATAATTTACTTTGTTTGCTCTGCAGGCCCCTGCAGGTTCGATTTTGAATGGAACCCTAGCCGTAAACACCACTGCTATTCAAACGCATGTCAACTGCATAAAACCAACCTCTTTCACGACTACCAATCTCTCCAGCTCGGATTTTGTATTATCGGCTACCTTTTCGCCTAGCTGTAACGCCACTCTCGGTCTTAACCCTAACGATGGTCCCGACCAATTCTCTGTGACAGCAGCATCGACATGTGCGCCCTCATATCAGGATCAAAACTTTCAGCCTGTCCTTTTCTGGTATTATCATTTGTCTGATAACGGAGACGCACTAGGGACTGCCGTTTTATGCCAACCAAGTATCGCCATTTTCGTAGTCACAACTACGATGGATCTTAATGATGGATCTATGGGAGACTGTGCAATTGTGGAGCCCTTCGAGGATACCAATAACGTTACAGGTAACCCTTTGAACGGCGAAGCTTTCAATGGGTGAGTGTGTTGCTCTTTTTACTGTCGACTGCCTTGACGAGTGTTTTCAGGGTCGTGTTTGATGCGAGCAACAACTCGTACATTATTGCCAGGGCTCTTGCCATTAACTCAGGTATTCCAGGAGCTATATATCGCTTCGCTTCGGAGCAACCGAATGGTCCACAATCCGTATTCGATGATCCTTATGGATTCGTCAATGCCACAAAGAAGATCTATGTAAGGGGAACTATATCATTCGACAAAACCAAGTGACCGAATGATTCCTTTTGTCACGTTCAGACACAGCATCTTTCCATTGCTGCGCAAACCATCTATTTCCTGCCAAACAATGAGACTATCTCTGCCCAGCTGACATCAGATATCCCAAGGTTGTTCATCGAGTACGCATTGGTTCTACTATAACCATCATCCTGCTTCTGACAATCCCCACCTCAGAACTCTACCAGCACACTTACTTTCCATATTATTTATCTGCATCGGAATTGCATCTCTCGCCGTTCACATCCTGCACAAGCGCTCTCGCAGAAATCTCTGGTTGACCAGTCCACCTGGCTCGATCGCAACAATCGTATCCCTCACGTCGCGCTCTGGCTTCGGCGATCTGCTTCTGCCTTATGATGACGTGTCGCGCATGAAAAGCAACCTCACCGGTCTCACTTTCCGTCTTGATAAGCGAACGGGCGCCATAGTCGCGGAAGAAGACTTTGGCGCAGTGAATACCTCAGACAATACAGCGCTGTTGGGCGATAAAGGGAGGTATGGCGTGACGGTAGGAGTGGATAACTTCTCTCCACTGTCGCAGACATCCTTCAAGGACAAGGTTGAACCTGAAAGTCCTTGATGGAAGGCTTTCCTTTGCCTGCTATCCTGTCTCCCATATGGACCGGCTTTAATACACGTTGCACGCGCCACTTATTTGACATTTACCGTTATGTTTGCCTGGTTTAATTTGACTACAACCTGTTCTCTATTCACCTTGCTGAAAACATGTGTGTAATTCGGATCATCACGATGCTGTATTTTTGATCAAGAATGTGATCAAGACTAAAGTATTAATGCCTCATGCCTCGAAAACTGCCTTAGGCGTAAACGGAGAGTACGATATAGCTTGAGATTGCACTCAAGGACTTGACAAATATCCAGATAAAGGCGCTCGGCCGCGCCAGTCCCCGACTTCACTTGATCTCTTTGTCTATCGTAGCCGCGCTGAGGTGATAAACATGATATATTCATACTATAAGTCAACAAGGCTGACAACATTCGAGCATCTGAAATGCGTTTAACGACTTCTTTGAGGTTGCCGAGTCCATCAGTCAAGTATCGCGAAGGCATCTCTCGAACCTCGTTGAAGATTGGTCCTCGGCATCTTCCGACGCTTTCTTTTGACCTTTGGAATTTAACATTTTCAGCTTCGAAGTAAGCATCAAAGCCATCAGTGACACGAAGAAGTTCTAGATCACGAGAGGACGAATCCTCAGAGAGCGAGAAGGATACAGTGGCAGAAACGCACCAAACTCATGGTCCAGAGTGCACTGAAATGCATCACTGTCCGAAAGCGTGTACGAATCCAAAAGGGCAAGTGAGGCAAGGAGAATGTTGCACAGCACAACTCCAACTGACTCGGAGGTGGAGGGATTGTTGCCGCACAAGGTTTGCAGGGGTGGTCAGACTATTACCTGTGAGTGAAACGAGATGGGAAAACACATTGTAATGAGAATAGGTGACTTTTGTTATGAATGGGAGCTTCCAACGTTGATGCAAGAAAGTCCGAACAACATGTACATCAAACACCCTGTCGTTCGTAAATCCCACTGGACGCTAGAATTAAACGTGGGAACTGTAGAGCCGACATAAAAATTTCATTAATGTGTCGGGTGCTACGAATTTAACCCTTCCCATGTCGATACAACAATTGAATATATTTGAAGTTGAGTGGTGAAACTTCCAATCCGAAACCCCCTACACAAACGCATTGTCACTAATCAACGATGACGCTTCTACAACGTATTGTCACAACAGGTGTGCTATATATCATGGTCCGTTGGTTGCTCATTTCATATTGCAGGGTGCTCGATGGCGCGTGGTGGCAGAAATTAGCTATACAATGAGCAAGAGGAACAACGATGGACTTAGTAGGAATGTCCAACATCACTTCTACCAATCGTCATCGGACCAGTCATCCTCTTGGGCAGCCGTTCCGCCAGTATTTCTCATCGATGGGGGTATATAGTCATTCGGGTCAATGTCCTCGTCTGCACCGACCTCCACCGGATCTATGGTCGGGGAAGGGGGCTGGATTGGGTGCGCCAAGCGGTCCATCCATTGCTCATCGATCGCGCGTCCCTCTATCATTGAAATCCACATGTTCAAGAGCAAGCTAGATCATGCATGAGTGAGATCTGTTGAAAGGCAGTCATGCGAGCGGGACACCTACTGGCATTCATTGCCTGCACAAGGGAGACGTGGGTTTGCAAATATGTTCATGCGCTGCGCTGTCACCTGCACGCTGGGGCCAGTTTGAGAAACCCGCATCAAAGTCCTGACCATGCTCTGCACGTTTACGATACATCCAGGTGGGAGGGGGATAGTCCCAGTACCATTTTGTTGCGACAATCCCAGTCTCTTACCATCTTCTTTGATGCGTACGGATGATGACGATGGCAATGATGATCGGCCCTCTTGTTTCACAGAAAAGGATTTGACATCATCGTCGCGTTCGTATTTCCAGCGTGGTTCATAGTCGCGGGAGGAACGAGACGTGCCAGTGTTCAAGCGTCGCGGGGAAGGTGATCTGGAGGATCTTCTGTGTGATAGTTTCTGCATATGTAATTCAGATCGATCTCTAGTGAGGCAAAAAGACGTGCTACCTGAGGTTGGCCACGCTGGAACAGCGCAGCGACGGAAGTAAATGACCCGACATTAATTCCGGAACGTGCAAGCACCCCGCGCACCATCTCCTCATCGTGAACCAGCACTACAAGCGGAACATTGGGGGCGTCATGTGTGAAGAGCCTTCGTATTTCTGAGTAAAGAATATCCACCGTGCCCTCCTGGTTGGTGGTTCCGTGCTCAAAAGGCTGAGAAAATCGTCAGATAACACATATGGATGTAAGTAAACAGTAGTACCGCATTCTGTTCCTCGTTTTTCAATGAGAGTCCTTTCATCTTTATGTGTACAGTCTCTGTCACTCTTCTAGATTCCAAGTACTCCGGCATCATCACATCTGTCCATCCGACATCAATGATAATGGGATTGTCAAAACGTTCAGGACGTCTATCCTTGTGCCACGTGTTTACGATTATCGAGATCACTCTGATTGCACTAGCCCAGGGTGGATTGACTAGCCCAAGGGCTCCTGGAGTGGCGCTGTCCGTAAACAACCGGTATAAAACTCTTTAAAGCGGTCAGTCACTAATCAAATCTATATTGACCCTATCGAACCTCTGGTTCTCAAATTCTGCCCGTGGGTTGCCTGGAGCGCCCCTGTCCCCAAGTTGAAAGAAACCTCGATTGGCAGGGCTGTTGTCCTCCTTATCCTTTTTATTCTTTTGAGTTTTCACCTTGTAGGTCTTGAGCTTGTCCTGAAGGTCACTCTTTGCAGCAAAATAAATCGGGGATAGCGAGGCGAAATTGTCAACTTTCCACGGTCTTCGGGGAGAAGGTCGCAAGCGGTGCTTCCGGATGAATGTCCACATTTGATGAGAGGTCATGAGGACGTATGAGGCACCATTGTGCAGAATTCCTATAATGTGCGGTGTAAGTCGACGTGCGACAGGTAAATGTCAGAATATGCCAGTACCCAAGACTAATTCGATAGGCGCGCCGGGACCTCCAGGTCTGAGTTCAGGACCATCGTCATTCGCAATAGCATCTATGGTTTGTTTGTCGTCGTACATCTGAAACCTGGAAAACCGTTGAGTGGGCGCGATTATTCAACGGGAGGAACTCTTACCATTCTTCAGAATGAGCTCGAAAGCCGCCAATCTGATAATATTCTGTTTCAGGCTCCATGCATGCATATATATGAATTTCAATCTATGACAAGTCAACGATGGTTGGAAGGCAACTTGAAGGTTGAGAGATAGCCTAGGAGTTTAGATATGCCTCCGAGGGTCTGTGCACGGTGGGAATTCACAGGGCGTGCTGAGGGTTTTGTAACGCAACTGGGATTGAAGATCTTTGATTTAAAAACATTGGCATAAATATTCTGGCAAGGTGACACAAAGGGAATCAATCAACAAAGGAAGTCACTCAAGTCGCAAAAGTATCACGTGATCTCCAGAAAGGGGCGATCAACAGAGGACATAGCATTGAAGGCCAAATAGTAATACATAATTTTCAGCCGGCATCGAGGGAATATGTGTTTATGATTGTAATATGTTGTAAAATCATGACCTTCTCCACACCGATGACGGCTTTTGCTTCAAGTCTTTGTCATGTCCTATCCTCCTGCTCGAACCCGTCTCAGCAAGTTTAATCACCGCATTTAGCGGTATGCAAGAGGCCTTCCTCAAGGACGGAGTCCGGCTCTCTGAGGCCAATCGCATCAGGCTCCTTCGGTGAACCCTTCTTTAAAACCTAGCAGAAGTATTGAGATCCACAAAAAGATCGCAAAAAATGACAACGCACAATAACGTATATAGCCGATGTCATGATGATAACAGCTCCGATGAGCGATAGAAGTGAAGGAACTGTACCGAAGAATACGTATTCTAGGACACCAGCAAATAAGAGCTGTACATATTGACCCATAGAACCGCGTGCTGCAGTCTCATGTTGATAGCCGATCGTAGTCAAAGTCTTTAAACGATTTTAAGCGGGCGATCCAGAGACCGTGACAACAACCTGCCTGCGCGAAAAAACCCGAAAGTCCAATGAAAATTAGCATGACAGCCCATTGCCAGTTATGAGGGTAAACAATCGGGATCTTCATGAAGTACATTCTGCACACCAATTAGAAGGCAAGCCAAAGACAAGGCAATGGAGCTCACGCCGCGGAGGCGACAATTGTACACCATACAGAAAAAAACATCATGAGATGCATAGGATGAGCGCGTTTGCCTATCGCACGCATTGACAACACTGCAATACACTGGTTATCTTAAAGCAGCTCTAATGGGCAACAACGACGTACAGGCGCCAGTCCCTAAGACAATTCCAAAAACAGCGACACTGTGGGGAAGGTTGAAGCAAAAAACCTTCGGGGAAAATGGCACCTTACCAGACGGCTCGTATCCTGTCTATCGCGGTACCTAGGCTAGGCGCCACATCACTGCTGTCCGAGTTCACGCTGTAAGTATTACCGAACAAAAAAGGCGGTCGAGCAATTAAAATGACACCAAGCAAGCTCACGACTAGATGAATGAATGACGACAAGAGGAAATAAGTGTCAGGAAGACACTGCGATGAGATGATTGCACGAACTGGCCGCAAATGCTTCACGCTTCGAATAGGGCTCCTTTAAGACGATGTATCCACCTATTGCCGCTGAAAGTGGCGTAAGAAAGCTCAACACCGTCGCATCTGCTAATGAAAGGTACTGCAGGGAATAGTACATCCCGAACAGACCGAAGAAACTTGAGGGAAGTTCAGCGACTGCGTTATAATGACTGTATATTCTCCAAGCCAAAACTCACCCGCACAAGCCTCTGTTCACCAACAACAGCCTCACGCCTTTGGGACCAAGGATAGGATCCGGAATCTTCATTACGACCCTGTCAAAACATATGTGAGGACGGACATGGCCTCTCACTTGAACGACATACATGTATAATACACAGCATGCCAAGGTAATTCCCTGATGAGATTCGGGCGGATGGCTTAATCAAGATTCGTATTCACCAAGAAATATCGAAATACCAACCATGCGGACTACGATGAGCTGCAGGACTCTAAGCCCAGTTTTTAGGTATATCAAGCGAACATACCTCAAGGGTATGCATGGGGACATCAAGGCTGTCCAGCTGCTTGACGCCAAGGTTCATGCATACGAAGAAGAATTGCGCTACTATGATCAACAGCATCCCCAGGTTCGTCTCGATGAAGGCGACTATGCGCGATGTCATTCCTTGCCATCGTACCTGTAAATTCTCGAACCATCTAGACTGAGGGCCAAAAATCCGACGTCGTGTTGGCAAAGAAGATGTGAAATCGATATCATCCCAGGGAGTTTCGCCCTCTATTGGGCTCTGGGATAGGGCGATATAGGCATTTGTTGGACTCATTACAGCGACGTTCGACAGGATGCAACGAGCGGAATTGAACGTACCAGTCTATGGCCGGGGTGGCACGTGGATTCGAGGTAGATGAGGATATTATCTCAAGCGTGCCACAATCCCTATATACATCATAAATTGACTGAGAACCACCCAATTTTAGTGGACGCTGACAATTGAGAAAGGTCACGTTGAGCAGCAGTGAGAGTATTATTATGTGATGGTGTGAGAACAGCTTCAAGACGCGTGACCTGTAGTGCATCAACCAAGTCGATGATTAATCTGGCAATGATCCAGTACGCTATATTCGACATCAACGGAGATATCAGCCAGCGCACAAGTCTGCAGATCCATACCAGACAGAAACCTTTCAAGAAACATACGAGACTTCCTTTGGAAAAGCCTACCGTGACATGGCGCAGGAAATCGGGAAATTCTGGGATAAGATCCCACACAGCAAACACAGAGGAAATTGCGAACTATGTGGTGCGCCAGAATCAAGAAACACATCCTAATGGGGTGTGAATCTCCCGCGTCGCGTATAATATGGAAAGTGGGAAAGGATCTACGGCGCAAACGTGAAACCAACTGGCCGGATGTAGGATTAGAAACAATATTAGGCTGCAATCTAGCCATCTTTCGAAATACGAAAGGAAAGAAGAAATTAGCTTCAATTATTAAGATCATTCAAGATATTAGTACTACAGTTTGCTCACCTCATGGGAACTCCGCTACGAAACTTTGGAACCTTTAGCCTTGGCGGTGACAAAGATAAGTAGTAAAATATTGCTCCGAAACAGAGATCCATGCTATGAACACGACCGTTCATGAGGAAACTCTTAAAACAGAGACAGTCCTACGGACTAGAGCGGCATACAGAATGAAACAATCTGCCGGAAATTTGGATTCAGAAATCCGAAGAGGTTTTAGTGCAGTCCTCCAGTACGGAATAGGTAATTCCGATAAGCGTCGAGTCCCACACCGCAAATTTGCGTACGTATTTCCCCTGGGTGACTATAGCTATCTGTACATTATTCACACGGGTGAAAGTAGCGAGGTGACGGGGTCTTAGTCTATTCCCAAGTGCTGACTAGGTGTTGATGCTGCTTCTGGTAACAATTAGACTAGATCTCCTCGCAGATTGTCACGATGCTGCATTTAGCAGATAGGTGAGAACTAGTAAGTGATGTCGTCAATCACGGCTGTGAATGCCACGATGGCTTGTCCGAAGGTAGATGAACGAACAGAAAATTGAAAGTGCTACAAGAGTATAAGAGCAATTACAGGCTTTATATGGACCTGTGAAAGTTCAAGAGTTCCAATATGTTATGCCGTACGGTCAACGGTACTGGCAGGGGTAGGTGCTGGCTTTGTCAACTGGAAGTAAGATGAGTAAAGGAGTCATGTCACAGAACACGATATCACGCACAACGACACAAAGAGCACAAGGACACAATGATAGCGGCCCCGATAACTGACAGTAAAGACGGCACAACTCCGAAGATTAGGCGTTCAAGCACTACAGCAAAAAGTATCTGGATATACACCCCGGTAGAACCGCGTGATACAGTTTCTCGCTGCAATCCCAACGTCAAGAGAGTCTGGAAAGGTAGTGAATCACCTGCGGACAATGGAGGATCACTAGTGACTGACCTGTGCTAGGAAGCCAAAGACACCAACCATGAGCAAAAGAAGTGACCATTTCCATGATCTAGGATATACGAAAGGAATATTGAAGACGATCATCCTGTTACATAAGCAAATGATTAATGCAACATTCGAATATGCATGGATGTATGTGCGAACCCCAAAGATGCCATGATAGTGCACCACAAGGTAAAGAATGACATTACATGCATCGGATGAGCTCGCTTTCCGATTGCACGAATCGAGGTATCTGTTAAAACCGTTAAAGCAGTCCTTACCACGGGAATGTTAGTCACAATACGTACATGCCCCAGTGGCTCCAACAACACTAATCATGCCCGCGCTATAGAACATCGAATGGTGAAATGGGGGAACAGTGTACAAACGACGATACTCACCCAACGGCCGCAAGCCTTTGCATTGGAGTTACTTCTGGCAAGTAGAATCCGTCAGGATTAGCGCCTGGTATGAACTTGAATAGAAACGGGGGGCGAGCGATAAGGACAACACCAAACAAGCTGAAAACTAGTGGTACCTCTCTAAGTATCCATAGACAAAAGAAATAAGAGCATAACTCTCACCTCCCGCAACAACTTGAATGACGGAGTAATCCTCCCCAAGGAGGACGCACCCAGCGATCGCCGATGCAAGAGGTGTCAAGAAAGTCAGGACTGTCGCATCTGCAACAGATAGATACTGAAGCGACAGATATAGTCCACATAATCCGAAAAACCTAAGCAATGAAAGGATCAGCAAAAATTGAGGTCACAATTGCAGATCAATGCCCACCCGGTGATCCCACGGATTATCAATAAAATTCGAACACCTCTGGGGCCAAAGATCGGATCAGGGACCCTTTTGACGATCCTTCATGTCGTCAATCGCACGGTGTTGATATTTGGAAAGCAATCGACATACATGTACACCACACAGCATATCAACGTGATGGCCTGGGGATGAATCGATACTTGAATGGGTGCAGTTCATCGAAATACTTGAACATACCACCCTGACTACAATAACCTGTTGTATTGATATTCATTCCATTCGGGGAATAGAGATAAAGAAACTAGGCTAACTTCAAATGCGTGCACCGGAGGCTCCAAGGTGTTTAACATCTTCACCGATAGATTCATGGAAGCGAAAAAAAACTGTGAAGCGATAATGTATAGCATTCCGGCATTATTGACGATGAACCCTGGGACAATGCGATGTCCATTAATTGCTCCATCATCTTGGGACGTGCTGGCAGAAGTGGATGTTGTCGAACCATAGTCATGTACTACAGTGGTGTGAACGAGAGGAGACTTGCTGTTGTTCATCTTTGACTCTTGAGGTTCGTCTTCGCCGAGTTCAGCCTGTGAACGTTGCACTACTAATGGCTTGATATATCTGCTGTGTAAGGGCCGCTCTCGAGTGATATTAAAATCGTACGGGGTCATTTGGCAACAAATTGACTATCCAAACCGGCATATCGGGCCTCTGTCAATGATGCACATGACGTTCCCGACGTCCAAGTACTATTTTTAGTTCGAATGGCGGAGTAAAATCGACAGTTTGTTTTGTTGGGTGGGGGGATTGGTGCTGAAATTTTTGCTGAATCTCCGAAGCAATGAGCGTCATCGGAAGATACGAATCACGTGACCCTTTGAGTACTGCTGTTACTGAGTTTTCTCAGCTTTCATCCGACACCACACCACAGCGTTGTAAAATCGAGCAAAATTCAGATATATATAGAGGCGATATGAATCTGTAGCACTCTAAATTCGTGGAAGACAATATGAAGTTGTTGACGAGCTACAAAAGATTTGCTGAAAATGTTGCAGAGTACTCGGAATGATAGTACTGCTTGTTACAGGGTGCTACAGTCGCCTCAAAAGAAGCGCTGCGCTACGCGCTGCTACAAGTCACTTGGTTCGGCAGTGGCTTTCCTATGCGCGGATTATCACTGATGCTACATTTAGCAGATAAGTGAGAACTAGTAAGTGATGTCGTCAATGTCAGCTGTGAATGCCACGATGGCGTTCAGACTTTTGTCTGAAGGTGGATGAACGAGCGGAAAAAAATTGAAAGTGCTACAAGAGTATGAGAGCAATTACAGGCTTTATATGGTCCCGTGAAAGTTCAAGAGTTCCAATATGTTATGCCGTACTGTCAACGGTACTGGCGGGGGTAGGTGCTGGCTTTGTCAACTGGTAGTAAGATGAGTAAAGCAGTCATGTAACAGAACACGATATCACGCACAACGACACAGAGAGCACAAGACACAATGATAGCGGCCCCGATAACTGACAGTAAAGACGGCACAACTCCGAAGATTAGGCGTTCAAGCACTACAGCAAAAAGTATCTGGATATACACCCCGGTAGAACCGCGTGATACAGTTTCTCGCTGCAATCCCTAACGTCAAGAGAGCCTGGAAAGGTAGTGAATTACCTGCGGACAATGGACGATCACTAGTGACTGACCTGTGCTAGGAAGCCAAAGACACCATTCATGAGCAAAAGAAGTAACCATCTCCATGATCTAGGATATACAACAGGAATATCGAAGACGGCCATGCTGTTACATGAGCAAATGATTAATGCAACAGTTAAATATGCATGGATGTATGTGCGAACCCCAAAGATGCCATGATAGTGCACCACAAGGAAAAGAATGTCATTACATGCATCGGATGAGCTCGCTTCCCAATTGCGCGAATTGAGGTATCTGTTAAAACCGTTGAAGCAGTCCTTACCACAAGAAGGTCAATCACAATACATACATCCTCCAGTGGCTCCAACAACACCGATCATACCTGCCCTATAGAACATTGAATAGTAAAATGGGGGAACAGTGTACAAACGACGATACTCACCCAACGGCCACAAGCCTTTGCATTGGGGTTGCTTCCGGCAAGTAGAATCCGTCGGGATTAGCGCTTGGTATGAACTTGAATAGAAACGGGGGGCGAGCGATAAGGACAACACCAAGTAAGCTGAAAACTAGTGGTACCTCTCTCAGTATCCATAGACAAGAGAAGCCAGAGCATAACTCTCACCTCCCGCGACAGCTTGAATGACGGAGTAGCCCTCCCTAAGGAGGACGTACCCAGCGATCGCCGTTGTAAGAGGTTTCAAGAAACCCAGGACTGTCGCATCTGCAACAGATAGATACTGAAGTGACAGATACATTCCACATAATCCGAAAAACCTAAGCAATGAAACAATCACCAAAATTCGAGGTAATGCGTGCAGATCAATGCCCACCCGGTGATTCCACGGATTATCAATAGCATTCGAACACCTCTGGGGCCAAAGATTGGATCAGGGACCCTTTTGATAATCCTTCATGTCGTCAATCACAGAATATTATTGTCTGGAAAGTAACCGACATACATGTATATCACACAGCACATCAACGTGATACCCTGGGAACGAATCAATGTTTAAATGAGAGCAGCTCATCAAAATACTTTGACGCACCATCCTGACTAGAATAACCTGTTGTGTTGACATTCATTCCATTCGGGGAATAGAGATAAAGAGACAAAGCTAACTTCAAATGCGTGCACCGGAGGCTCCAAGGTGTTCAACATCTTCACCGACAGATTCATGGAAGCGAAAAAAAATTGGGAAGCTATAATGTATAGCATCCCGGCATTATTGACGATGAACCCTGGGACAATGCGCCGTCCATTAATTGCTCCATCATCTTGGGACGTGCCGGCAGAAGTGGGTGGTGTCGAACCATAGTCGTGTACTACAGTGGTGTGAACGAGAGGAGACTTGCTGTTGCTCATCTTTGAGGTTCGTCTTCGCCGAGTTCAATCTGTGAACGTTGCACTACTAGTAATGGCTTGATATGTGTGCTGTGTAAGGGCCGCTCTCAAGATATTAAAATCGTACTAGGACATTTGGCAACAAGTTGACAATCCAAACCGGCATATCGGGCCTCTGTCATTGTTCCCGATGAGTCCGAGTACTATTTTTAGTTCAAATGACGAGACCGCCTCGAACTCAGCACACTAGACAGGAATCCGTCAACTCAGAAAATGGTATTGCTTGTTGTGGTGCTGTCTGGTGTAGATTCATGTTTTGTCAAATGATAGTGAAACGTGAATGAGAAACATCATAATGGTCGTTGTATGTACTGCAGAAGTATTTTTCAGAGTGCAAGACGTCAATGGTGGGCAGGGGCACACGATTTTATGTTGCAATATTGTCAGCGGCACTGTCTTGATGATGTTTCTGTTTTTTTCATCTAGTGGGTGAAATCTACATTAGCACAGAAATTTGGCAACAAGCATAGCGACCACTCACAACGACATAGAGAGAAGAGGACATGATGACAGCGGCGCCAAAAACTGACAGTAAAGACGGTATGACTCCGAATAACAGGCGTTCGAGCATCACAGCAAAAACCAACTGAGCATACATTCCAGTGATACCACGTGACACAGTTTCTCGCTGTAGTCCCATCGTCAAAAGAGTCTAAAATCATGGCGAACTACCAGTAAGCAAATATAGCGTCATTCAAGTTGGTATGCGCACCTGCGCTGCAAAGCCGAAGACACCAACCATGAACAGAAGAAGCATCCACATCCATGATGTAGGATATACAACGGGAATATCGAAGACAACCATCCTGTTACAGATGATAAATTGACACGTAAAACGCAGCGATACATTGACACACCCCAAAGATGATATAATTGTGCACCATAATGAAAAGTATGTCATTATATGCATCGGGTGAGCACGTTTCCCAATTGCACGAATCAAGGTATCTATCAAAACCATTAAAGCGGTCATTACCATGAGAGAGTTCATAACAATACGTACATGCTCCAGTATTTCCAAGCACGCTAACCATACACGCCCTGCCGAAAATAGATAAATTGTAGGTTGAGCGGGACAGAACGCAGTGCCCACCCAACACCCGCCAGCCTTTGCGCAGAGGCCACGTCTGGGAGTCCTCGAGGAATACCATTCAGGGGGCCAAATAGGAATGCGGGTCTGCCTATGAGGACAACACCGAGCAGGCTGAAAACTAAGGATTTATCTCCAATAAGTAATCACAAACTATAAAAGGTAAATCATAACTCTCACCTCCCGCCACAGCTTGCTTGACGGAGTAGCTCTCCTTCAAAAATACAGGATCCAGCCACTGCTGCCGTGAGAGGTGTCAAAAACACCAACACCGTCGCATCTGCAACAGACAAGTACTGGAGTGACCAGTACATGCCAGCTAACCCGAAAAACCTGGGACACAGATCATCGACAAGTTCGAGGCCGTACAAGTATATCAGTACGCACCCAGTGACACTACGAATGAGAAGCAGCATTCGAACGCCTTTAGGTCCAGCTAACGGATCAGGGATCCCCGCAACAATCCTTCATACCATCAGCTTTGAATCGTCATCTAGAAAAGCAATCGACAAACATGTATATCTCGCAACATACAAAAGTGATGCTCTGAGACTCATCAATAGACATTCGAGTCGACGACTGTGACGCACCATCCTGATCACAATAATCTGTTTACATTTGTCTCGCTTTGTATTTGAATATCAAAGATGGAACAGCTAACCTGAAGCGCATGCACCGGAGGCTCCAAGCCGTTCAGTAGCTTCACTGAGATATCCATGGAAGCGAAGAAGAACTGGGAGTATATTATCAATAGCATCCCAGCGTTGCTAGCAGTAAGGCTGAGTGGTTTGTTCGCGATTGCTCCATCATCTTGACGTGTTTGCATCGAACCATAGTTCTCTATGTCATCACAGTAGATGAGTGAAGACTCTGGCCCGGTCATCTTCGACGTTCGTCGAGTTGAGGGTGCGTACAGAAGGTCATTCGCGTAGTTAGTGCACCTAATTTAAACCAGCAACGCCTGGATGAGTCAATAATTTTAATGCGGTCTTAGACGGGTAATACGTACATAAGGAAATAGATGCTCAGGGTAGTGATCATGGGTTGAACTGGAACCATTTAATCGATGAACGTCTTGAATGCCCAGCGACAGCACAAGGAGGTATGCTTTTAGCTATACGCATAATTGACGTGCTCAATTTAGCTTTTCCCAGGCTGGAACGGTCCGGATATTACACTCAAGTTGTGCAGATGACTTGGTCATCTCTGATGGCGGTATGATTCGGGCCTCTGTGCAAGTAATATGAGGTCCGACCATATATTAGCTCTGCGTGTTTTGTCACTGAAACCTCCTGGAAGTTGAAACACATGATTATCACGATGTCTGTTATGTTCCCTATGATCAAATCAATTAAACGCAGTCGATGATTTTACATAAATAACTCAAAATCGCAGCACCGATGCTATTACCTTCTATTACTCCGATAATTCTCTTTTGTACCCCGCATTCACGGCAAGCAGCTATCAGAGATCATGATAAACATGCGCGGGTATGAGATAATCCACGTACCGTCAGATAGAGTCTGCAAACGTTATTACATGAATGCTACCGACACCTGTGGTTTTAAAGACGTAAGACGGACATGCAGGAGACAAACCGACAGGCTTGGGATACAAAGGAATGACATATCCGAGGGAATGATCGGGAGGAGGAAGCAAGAGCATGGCCAGGCTTTTACGAGAACTCGAGCGGCGTAGTCCATCGCCTAGATCTTGTCGCATTAAGCGCTCTCGTGAAGAGCAAGTCTCATTTGAAATATAGCTGATCGATAGTAGGTCGCATGACTTCTCGACCCATCCAGAACTTGCACAGGCAAGCTTGGAGTTGGGTTGATCGGCACCCACGCTGATCCTACGACCAATCTATGCTGCAACGAATGTTGAAGGTAGAACGACGTCGTGTCAATACTTCATAGATCTGAAGGCGAGACCTAAACACATACCAATGTGAATGGACAATATCTGTCAACGTTCGACTTGAAGACAGTCGTTCCAGTCGTTTCGGAGGTTGGCAAATCCTAAGGGGATGATTGGAGATATGATTAGTCCCATTCGCAAGTAGTCCTATCCCACAGCTAGACCTAAAGCATCCTTAACTTGCCTAAATGATCTGCAACTAATCAGAACACGATGCACTCTTCCAGATTCCATAGAAGAAGGCGGGTTCGCGCACGTGCAGGACGGTTTCATCAATTAAGGGTCTGCTTGTTTAGCACAAGGTTCAACCTCAAACTTGAACAGTTTGAACTCTGCTGCGTGTCGTTACTCATTTCCCTAGTTGATGTGGTTGAAGAGCGGGGACATAATGATGACAGCACGGGACGGAGCGCCGAGTACCAACGAAAGGGATAGAGTCCAAACTGCGGAAAGGTCATTATATGGCACGTAATAAGTTGGGAGGGGTAGGTGCCCTGTTACACTTCGGCTCCCAACATATGTTGAGAAGAACGAGGTACGTGCATTAGTAACCTCACGTTCGGCAGAGGGTCGAGACCTTCACCGCCGCCACTCGCTGAGAATTTTTCTGCTCGTGTATAGGATCAAGCACCTTGCCATCGCGGCGTCTGCTACTGCCCACCAGTGCAGTCTCCCGCCACCTACACCACACCTACCCTCCAACCTGTGCCCTCCCGCGCATGACACGCTACTTAACGAAACCTGGTACTGCCCCGAAACCTTGGGTTGACTGGGACCCCCACCAGAGCGTGATCTCCCAGTTACCGATCTAGAAAATGACGGAGAGCTAGCAAATAGCATAAGAGGAAGGTGATTTATGTAAGGAATATACAAGTAGATTCGATCACCCTCTAACTAAGAAAGTCAACGACACAAGATAAGAAAAATTCACATCATCTCTTGTGTTTGTGTAAGCCCGTTCAATTTTAATGGAGAACCCTGAGACGGGCAACTATCATCGTTGCTGTTGGCGAGTACGAGGATGGCGATGACTGATGCGGTGCCACCCCCTGGGGTGGTACCAGCGCAGGGTCGTGTTTTGAAATACCAGGTGAAGATGGGAGAAGCACGGTAGTACAATCCTCTGGGAAAATGCGGTTGAGGTCGGAGATATCGATGTAGAATAACTCAGTCACGGCGTGTCTGGCAGGGTTGTGTAGGATGATATTGGCGGAGAGAAGGCAGAGAACGACGATGAGTGCCAAAAGTGCACCAGAGAAGGTTAATGACAGCGAAAGTGACGGACGAGTGGAGTTTGGTGAGGGTACGTGCGCTTGACTTGGTGGTAGGTATTCTGGAAAACCAATCAGCGCAGACGAATCATCGACGTTGGCGTCGGCGAGCCCCAGCCTATGATAGGTCTTTGCCGCCGCTGTTCCTACTCGGGTTATAAGTCACAACAAATTGCGGGCTGACGAGGTTTTCGAGGTCTCGTCATTACGTTCTTACTGCACGTACCTTGTTCTTGTTGTCATTTGGAACTTCGCCGAAGTATTTCGGATGGGTAGTAACAGGGCATTGCATCACCCATCATGCATAAGGTGCCGGAGAATGTCGTGTCGTACTTCGGTGTCGGCCCGACTCCAATGGAAGATGAGCACACACTAGACCAATGACCAATTGAAAGTTAAACTTGGATTGGGCGTAGCCAAGAGCTTCGTCGCCACTTACGAACGCGTGACAGACTCATCACATGATACATGATATTCGGGCCAGGGCGAGCGGCCAACACAAAAATCAAATTCCAGATGTGCCTCCTGTCAACCAGGAGTCAAATCAAAGTATGTACCCTCGATCATCGTTGTCGTTCCAAACCCCAAAGTCCACGACTGCCAGGGATATGTCTCAATGGCAGACGTGTATAAGTCCGCGGAGTCAATAGCAGCGCTCGTAGGCAGGGTCAAAGTTATGTGGTAGAATTGACATACTTAGAGCAAACTTCTAGGCTGCAGGCATTCCGTGTCAGAATGAACGTGATTACAACAAGAACATAGACGATCATGCCGGAAGTTACTTACTTATTTGATAAGGACGATACAAGCAAGTGGCGCGTTCATCAGACTTCCAAGGAGCCTGAAACAACGTGTGGACGGTCATTGCTGTGGCTCAACACTTAGGATGAAACGCGCCTTGAACTTTGATAGGATGACCGGTAGAGCGTTATACATCAATTAGGGCTTTCATGCTTGACGGGCATAGAGGGCGCGCCCAAAGCTCAAACTATTTTCCGACATCAGAAAAGTGATCAAAAAGAGAACCCATGTCAGAAAACATTAAGTCTGTGGGTAAGTAGATGGTCGCGCGCTGTCGGAAACCAATTACAGTTGTTGTGGTACAACAGAGAAGTCAGGTGGCGCTGAAGTCGAAGAATATGAGAGGAAGCCTTGCCCGAAGGAGAGTAGTGCTTCCCGATGAGGGCGCAACGTATCCTTGAGAGGAACAATGAAACCATGATGGGCGCCAAAAGATGAAAACCTTGATACTATCCCAATCAAGTACGTTCCGCGATGAAGGACTACGAGAACGAGAGTGCGTGGAGCTCGGAGCAGCTAGTAGTCTAAGCCTCGTATTGTCTTGAATCAATGAAAAGTGTCGACATTCATAGAAAAGTAGGTAAAGTCCGAGGCGAACGAGGGTAAACACGGTGTGGCTCACCGCTCAGGGAACCAGGAGCCATCAACATCGAAGCCTTTGTGGTGTCCAGCAATCGCGACCAAATCGATAAGATAGCGTGTTGGATGCGGAGCAAGAAAGGTCGAGAGAGGAGAAATGATATCTATATCTCCACTGAGCGAGAAGACCTGTAGCACAAGTTCCCATCAGGTTCAACAGTTGCGAGGAAGTCTCTTTTCGAAGTTCTGTCAATCAGGGTAGATGAACACTGGGACCCACTAGTTACACGTGAACCTCGGGAGTGATTTGTAGTAGTTAGTAGCAAAATTAATCTGAGCACGAGGCAAAGTCTAAACATGGATCGAGATGCAATAAACTCTCCGGCACCCCGGGGATGTTCTCCGCAGTATAATCTCGGAGGAAGCACCATATGCAATCATATGCGTGGTCCGAGCACGATGCATGATTGTGATCCGTCGTTTATCATACAAATTATTACACTTGATTAAACTCGCGTTTGTGGAGCATTGCGGTAATGTTCGGGCTGTGGTACTGGCGCCAGCAGTGCAGGAATGGAGCCGGTGGGGAGTAGGCATCGGGTAAGGCTGAGCACAGTGGCTGAGCGGGAGGACTCGTCTCGCGGTGGCGTAGATTAACCGGGCAACACCGGCAGATCTGTGAAATCAGGGCCTCAGTATCTTGGACCGCATTATACAAACTTGTCCACAAACGAAGACACTGTTCCTCAATAGCGGATATATCCAGCCAAAATGAGCCTTTTGTTCGAAATGATTATTTTAGATGTAGATTCCAGTCGCACGTCGGAATCGAAGACGACGAAAATATACATCATGGATCATGAGGTTTACTATAGTGTCGAGGCTTTAGTCGTTGAATGGGCGTCAGAATGGGAACGTGCCATCCGAGACGATCGTACGAGCCAGGTACGTTGCAAGACATGTTGCCAATCATAATTCAGTGGCATGGAACGGCGTGTGTGTCCATCGAGGGTTTGGTTTTGTCGCCACTTGATCTCAAGTTTTCAAGATCTCTCCGTTGTACAGTTGATGCGGCTCTTCGGATACTTCTATCAAAGGTAATATCCGACATATACTTCTTAGATCTCGAAGTTAAAAGATGTTGCGGTGACGAGCGTTCGACACAACGATCCTTCAGGACGGGTGGCATTCCCCGCAACCGCAAATGAATATAGTAGATACGAGCCAGACAGTGGGAAGTGGGGTGAATCAACCAGTGAGCAAGCGAGAATGGTGTGCTAGTGCCTGCTGACATTAGAGCGGATTACTCCAAAAGCGGTTTGATTGAAATGGAGGGACGCAGGGGGAATACATAGAGATTTAACAGATGGTAAGTTTGCAATGGATGGTTCATCATTGGAGCACATGGACATTCGGGCATGAATTCCAGTAACTTATGACTTGAATTTGTCTCTGTCGGTGCCGCAGAGGTGATAGAGTCGACCCCTACTGTTGGTTCACAAGTAGATCCGTGCGTGATCCGCTGCAAATTGGTGAAGGACCAGGGCATAATTGGTGTAGTTTAGGATAGATAGAAGGGAGATGCTTACGAAAGGTCTTGTGCATGATGTTATGTCGTACGAGAACATCAAACATCACCGACCCTGTGCGACGAGCGTGTAAAAGTACGACCAAGTTAAGATGGCATCAATTAGGTCGCGAATATGCACGTGACAGTTTGAAAGTGTTTATGGGCTCTGTTCCACAACTTTCTGGAGGGACGATATGCGAGCAAAGAAACATAAGTAATGCACAGCAAGGGTTGAAGCTTCGAAGACGCTGATCGCCGTATAAAAAGCTAAGGAAGCTCATTGGTGGTCTGCGCCGCACTCGTGGGTATTAGGTCGCACCATTATTGGTTACTCGAGGATGAGGCACTCGAAGAACCAATTTGACGCGGCACCGAATCGAGTAAATAAAACGACTGTTTTCTCAAGTCCTCCTCGTAGTGCAGTACGAGCCAATTGTAATGTCATGATCAAATTATCCTGACACCCCCTTGATACAAGTAACTGAATCATGGCAGTACATGTAGGTCAGGATAAACTTTGGTCGTGAGGCAGGGCTAAATGCGGCAATACGCGCCGGTAATGGTAAAAGGGCCCGGTGGCAGTGTATAAATGCCGAAATCCCGGGATTCTCGACTTTTTATGTAATTGAGCATAACATGGCAGGTTTACTACATAATGGATGGAATCGGCTTAAGGCTAGATACTCCAATAGCATCCTCTCTCCCTCCAGTCATATAAATCTCTGGTTAGCAATCTACATCGGTATACTTCACCCCCTCCGTAGCTATGACCACTACATCACAACCTATCGCGTTCCAGTCTCCTAATCATCCTGATTTCCACTTCACATCTGGTTCATTCACTGGTAACAACAGTGCAATCCCTTACTTTCTAGGCTCCCCGATATCATGGCGTGCTGGCTCATTCGGAAGCCGGTTCTATCCTGGGTGTTCCCCTGGTCAACTTCTCGGACCCCTCGAGTCAGTTCAATCCTTCACTTACACGTGTCAATGTCTTAATATAATATCTCTAGTCCTAACGAATTCAAGTGCGCCAAGTTGTCGTCATCTATTGACAGCGACCGTGGTTCAAGTATGAACGCTCTCGGCACCTTCGACAGGGATGATGAATTGGTGGGTCGTATCCTTCGTATTCTAAGTCAACCTCTCATCGTCCCACTATTCCAGTGTCGCAACTACACATGTTGTGGTCTACAACTAGATGATCTACACGCTCTGTTACAGCATTTCGAGGAGATACATGTTGTCGTGCTTGACCCGTTTGGTCACCCTCAGCTCCCAACTATCCCTCCTTTACCTCAGTCTACTCCTAACACAACTCCGTCTTATTTCTCAGACCATCATCACTTCTCAGACTATCATCAGCACCCTCCATCTTACAATCAAGGTGGCTTCGACCCGGATGACATGGAACTTGATGTCGATCAGGGCAGTTCGCCTTCGTCAAATGCACCAACACCCCCTGACACTCCCCTCACCACCCCACTGTCATCGCATCCTAGTCACTCCTTTAACCACTTTGGTCAGTCGAAACCTGCATCTCCGCATCTTCCCGTCTCCGCATTTGATACCACAACCGTGCTCCCTTCCCGCTCCGCTCACGGCTCAGCATTCCCACCGTCTCGAAACAGTCTCCCAAATGTGGCAAATGCCCCCGATGCGTTCAATGGTTACGCGGGCTACTCCGACTACTCATCCTCGATGCCTGGCACCGTTCCTTCTCCACCTGCCAGTGATGATCTTCACGCACCTGTCACACCTGTCAGTGATCCGGGTAGTCCTTACGGCTGCCTTCCTCCTGCGGTAGTATTCTCAACGAGCAATACTCCTGTCAATACCCCTTCAGCTTCTCGTGTTCCGTCTCCAGCAAGCGCTTCCCGCTACCCCGCGGCCTCCGCGGTATCGCCTCGTTCGCCAGATTCCCCTGCTTCTTCCAAAGCTTCTCCATCACAGCAGCCCAATCAGCGTGCCAGCACCACGCTCTCCCGCCCTGCATCATCATTGATGTTATCGAAGCCCTTCCGCTGCCCTAAGCCTAATTGCAACAAGAGTTACAAGCAAGCCAATGGGCTCAAATATCACATGACCCACGGCAGCTGTAACTTTGCGCCGCCTAAGGACCTCGAGCAAGTACAGGCACTATTGGCTAGCAAGCGGTCTGCCCGCGAGGCCGCTGGGCAGGAAGATCAGGGTATCACTGAGGGCGAGATGCGCGAAGTCGAACGAGAAGCAGAACGCAGGCTTCGGCCCTTTGCCTGTGGTGTCAGTGATTGTCAACGCCGATACAAGAACATGAACGGTTTGCGGTATCACTACCAGCACTCAGGTGACCACGGCGCAATTGGCTTGGCTCTCCTGGCTAGTGGACAACATGAATGTTTACAGCACGCTCATGGACGGAGTAGCAATACAAGCTCACGGCATTCAACGCCAGTGACGAGTGGACACTCGACGCCAGTGAGCTGCTCGACACCGTCATATGCTCAACAATATCAGCAGCAGATGCTTTACTCCTCCGCACAACAGCAGTACTTGCGCCAGCAGCAGCAGGTCCTACATGCACAAGTGCAGATGGGCTATCATGCCGGATCAACCGAGGTTATCCCTATCGTCGCCGCCCAACACTAAGGATTGGGATTCAAAATGCAGTAGTCCGAAAGGATGATGCTTTTTCGAACGTAGAGTAGATGGTCTCCTTGTCACATCCCTCTTGGTTCTCGGCGCATTCTGGGGCGATCTCGACTGCGCCATCTCGACACACGGCGCAAAAGTAAAAACTTAAACATATTGGTCGACTATTGTGATATATCGCGTCTTTCGCTTCCCCGCTTTGCTTTTACTTTGCTCTTCTGTGTTTCTCCTTCTGCCGGCCTACAACATATCCCTGGTCGACGCCCATCGCTTCTCAGATTCGTTCGTTTGCCGGTTCTCATTCTGTTTTCCTTCGCGTCTGGCTTATAATACTGTATGTCTCTTCTTGGTTGTTCCCTCACCGCGCAGAGCATAGCAGATATATTACATTTCCCAAAAGCCGGAAGTCTGTACTATTATGCAGGCTGGCATATCCCTTGTAACCTTAGTCTTCTGCAGGTCCATCTCACACTCGTACTGCGTATACTTACATTAGATATCTACATACAGAGTATGCTACTTATTCCATGTGCAGCGGAATTCGTCGTCCAGAACTTTGAAAGTTTGGTGCCACGTGTATGATCGGGATCAAAATCCTATTGTGACACACAGTGATCCCGATTCCCCATAGATCTGATCGACAGGTCTCACCAAAGCCTTTTCCATTTGCAATTGGTGTTTGCTTATTCGACAAGGAGGACAGAGTCCAGCTCGTTCGTGCGTGACATCGCAGCGATCATTGACAGCGATTGTAGCCTAGGAACGACAAGGGAATATTTGTAGTACGAGTCTAGCTTGGGCTGGGGAAAGTTTTTTCCTATCCAAGGTTCGCAGGGTCAATTGTGTCCAGCACTGCCCGTACCAAGGATTTACTTCACAAAGTTGGGTGAGAGGGACTAGTAGTCACTAGTCAGGGAAAAACCTTTGGTAATAATAGAAAATCAAGCTAATTTCTGATCATTTATCGTAATTTCTCGTACATTCACTGATCAGTGACTATACGAAACCAAATATATATCGATATGTCATTGAACGAACTGAATTGAATTACCTGTTGTGGGCCAAAGGGTTCTGCTTAATGAAGATCTGCCTTGTATCTTTGTCCGCTTGCCGGAGACTAGCAAAGAAGTCATGTATCACAATGTACAGCGAGATAGCTGCGGAATCATTTTACGCAGTAGGTCCGTTATCGTGGTACAACCTCCTTGGTGACCAATTGATTACTTATTTTATGGTGACGGACTGCTATGAAATACTGGGTGCCAACCCTGACGTACTACCTAGGAGACACCGTTGGAATGGAGTATGCACAGAAAGGTCCTCATCGCCGCCAGTTTATTCAAGCATATTTTATTGCGGCCCTGCAAAAATCCCCCTGCGGAAGGACCATTCGTCTGGCTGCCCCTTTCCCCGCAGTCCATCGGACCGGGGATAAATTAGTATTCGAAAATGCGGTTGGCTTGAATGTCTTCAAGGAGCTAGCGAAAAGCCAGGACGCGAGACCGCGTGATGGATATGCTCATTGAGGATATCAGAGCGGTAGGCGTGGGCAGTGGTTCACAGAACTGATTGTAATACCAATGCAAAATTCCTTCAGTACCGCTCGACGAATCGGACAGTGACACCCACAATAGCATGGGTGTTGCTCCAGACATGCTCCCACGTGTCTTGTTGAGGAGCAAGGCTTCAAGATACTTCTGCCATTTCCATCAGGTTATTCGCACCGATACTATGACATGAACTCATATCGATGTACACAACCAGGTAGAAGAGTGGCCGTGTGATATCAATGACTGGCTTGGATAAGCGAAGCTCAAGCCAGAGTGTCCAGCAAAGCGTCACGAGGCAGACCACATTCTTAGCACGTGCTCTAGTCACATGTCTCCTAGGACAAGAGGAACGCTAGGCTGGCGGGGATGGCAGCGGTTTCGAACCTGCGAAAGTTCTCGTCAGGGGGCTACCGCTACCCCAACCGCACCGACCTTCTCGTTCTGTTCAAGAAAATACTACCAAGCATATATACCTAGTGGGAGTACCCTGTCACATGACTGCAACATCGTCCAATGACCATGACCCACTGAGAGGGTAGTCTACCCTTCAGGGAGTCAGTGAGGGAAGGAAGCTTCAGACCTGAAGTATTGTGGCATTTAGCACATCCAGACCTTAACACACTCACCGAGGTACCCTTGTCGACCATGTCTGAATCGTAAAGGAATTTGACGTCTCCGTGCAGAGACGATGCTGGATATCTGTACTGGTCGAGAAATGACACTCAGAGGGTTCTGATCAACATATGTATCGCAGGTTCCTGAAAGCCTCGCGTATATGGAGGCAGTCAAAAAGTACCTGCAGTAGGCTTGAATTGGAGCGCAGGATGACTCAAGGATATCTTCGAGATCACTGCCAGTGGGCAGATATCGGCACCGTATTACTGATGTTAGCTCGCCGAACCAGGGCATCCTTTGTGATGGGTGGCACGATAATTGCAGGCAGCTTCGACGTTTTTGGATAGCCTACGAAACTGGGTGTGTCGCATGAGCCAGGTCGAGAGGAAAGTTAAAAGGCAAGTCGGACAAGATTTACGAAATGACCGTAATATCATGTGCAACGAAATCCTGTGCCAAAAGTCCAAGTGTGGCTCATACCCAAACTTGAAGGCAGATACAAATATGCCGCAGACACAAGCCAAATAAGGGGCAGAGGTGGACCAAGTGAGACGCGCCACTCGTGGATTTGATATCAGGACCTTCGAGCACTAAGCAGGGTCTGTTGAAAAATTTGGACAGGGCAGCGATCACAGACAGCGAGACATAAAAAATTGGATGCGATTTGCATACTAGTGACTAATAATGGCCAGCTGAACTTCTATTCTTCAATGCCCGTAAAAGTGTTTCATAGAGCATCTGATGCGTGCTCCGAGAATGGTGCAAGAGCGAACAAGCCTAAGTTTGATATATCTCGCTTTCCAGCCTTCAGAAAAGAGGAGAGCGTGTGGTTGACGGCGAAAAGCATGCTGAAGCTATTCAGAGCGGAGAGGTGCAATGATTTTGAAAGCGTGTTTTGATTCTAAGATGGGTGTTTTGAGGCGATGTAGAAAAACCGTGACAAAGCGAGGAAAATGAATAGCATGGGTGATCGGAGATTCGGAGTATCTGAGTATCTGAGTGTGGTGTCGTTGATCACGGTGTACACTACATACTGAACTCTGGGAAACACCCACCGATATTCTATCCTAGCGCGCTACTTCGAAGAGGATACACATCGTACAAATGGGAGCTCATGTAATGTGTGTTTGGAAATTCTCCACCAGCGCACTTTGTGCGATCGCGGGTCATTGCCTTATGATAGTACCTCATAGTTGTCTTGGCTATGCAGCCCGACTAGTCAAAAAAGATCATTAGTGCTGCACCGCTGACAATTCTCAAAGATGGATCAGCAAAGACTGACAATCGGGCTATGGCAAAGTGATCGTTCCTTTGCACGTTTCGCACAAAAGGAGTGTTTATAATGTCCCACAAGTCATGTACAATGAAACGGCAATAATTCATGGTTGAAGAAGTGCAAGCTGACATCAAACAACGATCGTTCGCTCCAAGATCATGAATGTCATCAATAAAGCAGGAAAAAACATTTGGATATATCGTACTGGTATCATGACGAAAAGGATTCATTTCTACGACAACTCACAGCACTAGGTCGTCTTCACCGCTCGCCAGAATGACGCGTACCTACACAAACATGATCAGCAATTCTTCGCACCGAAATCTGATATGAACAAACGTACATGTTGACACGGTCTAGTGGAACATCCGGCCCCTTCCTGACTCCTAAAGCAGTGATGGTAAAACCCTTGCGCTCAAATCTGATACAGCACTACGTCAGCCTTCACAGGGCCCAGCGCATTCTCGAAAAAACGCACACGTCGCAGTACCATGGTTTCCTGGCTGCAGAGCGCCAGAGAATGAAGCCACCAGGTGAGAGCACACGATAAAACTGGTCAACCTCATCATCGACGTCCTTGGATCCTGGTGAAAACCAGTCGAGGTGATCCATAATAACGGCTCGAGTGAGAGACCAAGACGTCAATCCCCGTAGGACGCTAAAGAGATTCATTATTCCCAGCTATGCTTCATAGTGCTAACAGTGCTTACTTGTATATCGAATCGGTATGCAGTCTAAACGCATCTGTAGCTTTGCCGTTATTAGCTTTGAGAGCCTGGAATCCTGAGCGCGTCAGGTATTCTGGGCAGGAAGATGGTGTGTAGTGCCCAAGAAGCGTCTGATAACATACTGTAAGCGCAAGAAAACTCAAAGATCTTCAGCTTACCAATGGGTAGAAGTATGCGCCATCCTTGAAGGAATACGTCGATGGTAAAGGGTTTAGGGTATCTCTTACAAACTCATACATGGACCCTTCGTCCAGGACCATGCGGCGCTGGTTGAGGGGCACTCCCAGTGCGTTCCAGCAGAATACCGGGCTCTTGAGCAAGGCAATGACGACGGGGTTCAAGAGGACGGGTCTCAGCTTTTCGCGCCAGATCTGCTCCTGCTGAGCTACACTGTTCGCATTGCACAAAGCTTCTACATCTTTCGATACTCCAGCGATTGAAAAGATGACTCTGGCGAGGCGCAGTGCCCAGCCGCTGTATCCTTTCAAGTAGAAAGCTTTGAAGAAAGCATTGTCGTTGATGTGCCAAAATTGATAGGCGATGGAAGAGAGAAAAGGAGCGATCTTGGAGTCAAGGAGAGCACGGAATTTGGGATGATACCCATCACCGAACATGGAAAAGAAGTCCTCGTACTCGAGGGCTTGCGCAGCTGCTAGTTTCAATTCTAGTAAATGACCTTGGCTGTACGACGAAAAGTCAGTCGAGTCGCATGATGGAAGATAGCTGGTCATACCAAGGGTTCATATCCACACAATGAATCTTCAAGATAGATATTAGCACTCAGACGATGATGCTAATCGATCCACGTACTCTCTTGGGCTGCGCTGCTATGGCATAATGCAAAGCATTGTCACCTGCTGATGTGATTACCAGCATCGAGTCTTCGGGACCAAGATCGAGATACTTCATATCTACTTCAGGATCCTCCTGACATGTTGTTCAGCGTCTGGAGACTGGCAACATGACGAGAAAACAACAAACCCATGTGAAAGAATATATGAACGTTCTGAATTCTTGGTGTATAGCTTGCTCATAGTACGGAAGCCTCCAAGGCTAGTCCATGGTCAGTTTTATCGTGAATTTGATAAGACATTGACTCACTTTTCCCAGATGATAGTGGAAGGAGCTCAAAGGCGGTGCCACAGTGATAAGCGCATCTGCGTGAGAACCTTGTGACTTCAAAACAGGTTCCCCAATCTCAAGTGGCGGAATAGTTTCTGAATCCCTGATAGTGGAAAAAGATGCCGGCGAAGAATTGCCAAGCATGTTGCCCCCTTCGACTTCAAAGGCATGGCAGAAACGAGATACATCACATGAACGTGAGCGACCAAGCCAGATGTAGTAGGGACTATGAAATATTAGTAATGACAATCACAGATAAGAATTCGATAACACTAACATGCGGACGATGAATGGGATAATGAAGCGATTTCTGCCATTGTAAGTCTTGAGCTGCATACATAATTAACGTAATTGACGGTAAAACTCTTCAGTAAACGTACCGTGCCGAACTTGTATTCCAGATAGTCTCGACGATGTGGTGACAAAGACACATGGTCGAAGTCAAACCAAATCTGCCAAAACCACCTACTAAGCCAACCGCATTCCTTGCTCGTGCCTCCAATTGCCTTCTCGTGCAATGACGGCTGCTTTCCAGAAGTATAAAAGTCGACGACAGATAAAAGACCGTTCTCTGGGGAAAGAACGTAGTCGATACGATCTAAAAGAGTATAAAAGTTGGGTATCTAAATTTAAATTGTTAGTCCGCTCTTCCAGAAGCCGGTGAACTCAAACTTACCATTGAGAGGGAATAGCTGAGCGTTACAAAGCTTATGCTCCCTTTCGGGTCACTTTGCGCCCATTCTGGAAGAGCAAACTCGCTTGCATCTTGACACAGCACTGTGATATTTGTCCATCCTCGCTTGGCGAATCGCTCCCTGGCGACCTGGAGGAGGGGTTCACAAAGATCGATGAGATAAATAGCATCGAAGGAGGACACCGGAAAGTGCCTATCCATAAGCTCGATATTATGGCCTGGTTGGCGTTCAGAAGAGAATCATTAAGCCAGCAAGTAGGTGCGTACCTGTTCCCCCGCCTATATCAACCCAGATTAACTTCTGCTTGGGGTTTTTGGCGTGCATAGTCCGGATATGACTAGCCGAAAGGTTGAGCATGGTATTCCGGCCTCGTAGAAGACCACTTCGTGTAGCATCATAAACATCAGCCTGGCCTTTGTAAAACTGCGGATACGATGGGTGACTGTGAGGTTTGTAGTCAAACGATTTTACGCACATTATCCAATCTTGTTCGCTGGTCGCTTGCGTGAAGAGGGCGGATAAAACAATGCCATATGAACTTGAGCTGTGGGCGAAGGGTACTGCCCAGGGCAAGGATAAATGCTATCGACGAGCAACCCAATAAGATGAAGGCGGCGATGGTTGAAGATCCGGTCCAGTATGTGATTGCTTCTCTGACATATCTGGCACATCATCAGCTCGATGCTTAGAACATACATGCCAACCACTGACCTTCGTTCAAGATAAACTACAAAGGCGCTACCGATCAACAGGAGAGGACGAGATATCGTGGCCATTATCGCCACCAAAGATTTGAGCCATCTTCTTATTCTCCCTTTTTAATGGCACGCGTGCTGAAGTATGTAGTACGAATGTGGGATTGTCAAGAAGGTGAAATGAAAGGAACTCTGAAGACGAACCAATGAGGGTGTCTTGCTTAAAAATTGTACGCACGAGGGCTTCAGTTACGCAAGGCACGCCGAGCACTAGTCACTCAACGAACGTGCAATTAATATTGACGCGCGGAGATAACGGTCTCAGCGCCAGGATCCGCAGGAGATACGCAGAAGAGGCTACGTGAAGCCACGTCTCTGATAAATAATGGGATGAACGTTGGGTGTAGAGCGAACGTTCAGCGGCGATCGACCACACAACTTCTTGAACCTCATACTAGCACGTAAGCTGCACCAGTGACTGCAGCGCTGCACGATGGAAATGCGCCGGAAAGGGTACGTACATGCAAACCTGGTGGAAATGTATATCACTACAGTTACTACATAGACATGCTCATAATGCATAGCGTCGGGACCACCACTAGGGGAGTTCAGAGTAGACCGCTGTCCGCTGTCGCTGTTGATGCACGTGAGCACTAAGGGTTAGCAGATGTTATATAAGCAGATAACCACTCTACTATGGCTCGCCACTCGCTACATCAGCAGTATATAGCTTCATATGTGCGGTTTATGACCTTTCGAGCACTTCTTCTGTAGAGACTAGACACAATGTTAGCCCTCAGTCGTGATGGAATGGACTGAGGGGAGAAGACAACATGAGGTAATCTATTATAGGTTGGTTTGTATTCCAACCGTCTAACTCCGCTGCCAGTTGTTCATCATGTCGTAGCACCAACACTCCTCCTCGACGTGATGAACAGCACTCCTCCTCGATTCCTCACTGGAGGCCCAGGCAGGCGCGTAAATGTTCGAAGTCTTGACGAGGTAGGGACTTTGTGAAAATATCGGCAGAATTATTAAGGGATTTGACATAGTGCAGTTTTAGTTGACCATTGGCGACACGCTCGCGAATCAAGTGAACTGCAACATCGATATGCTTGACCTTGGAGTGGTATGAAGCATCTTCGGAAAGTGTGATTCCTCCAGTGTTATCGCACAAGAGTGGGGTAGCAGAGGTTTGCGCAAAGTTAAGTTTGCGAAGTAGCGTGTGTAACCATACAAGTTCCTTTGCTGCATCAGATGCAGCGACATATTCAGCCTCGCAGGTTGACAAAGATACTGTTTTCTGTTGTCGTGCGCTCCAAGTGATCAAACCGCTTCCAAGAGTAAAGCAATAACCGCTGACAGAACAACATGTGTCAGGACAGTTTGCAAAGTCGCTATCGGTGAAGCCAAGGAGACACGCAGGGTGATCACCACCAACTTGAAGGACTAGTTTCAGATCCCGGGTGCCTTTGAGATAATGAACGACACATTTAGCTGCATCCCAATGAACAGGACCATAGCAATCTAAATGACGACATAGCTGTTGTACTGCATGTGCAATATCCAGGCTATTGTGTCCTTTTAATGCAATAAAATAGGATAGTTAGCAGACGGGTGTGATGCATTAACAATGATGGATGATGTAATGCATTTTTCTCGCACATTTTTTGATGTGGTTAATGCATTAGTTTGACCTAATGCATTATATCTTAGAATCTATTTCTGTAGTCCATCTAGTCACCCTTATTTTTGCTTCCTGGTTTGCTATATAATGGGATGGTGTTGGGTCCTTCAACATGTTTGTTCGTGCTACTACCTGCACCTCTACTTGGTGTGCTGAAGAGCCGCAGGTCAGTTTGTTCATCTTATTATTGCTGCAGGATGCTCATTCTAGAACTCGTAGATTTCGTGATTTGAGTGGGCTACACTGTCACGTCATTTTCTGCATCCCAAACTGCCCTGACTTAAATGCATCCTACAAGTACACTTTCAAGTTATGGTCTTGAATGTATGTGATTAATTATCCTGTTCTTAGTCTTGCTGACTATAATGATGACAGAGATACCCCTACATACATATGTTTGTCACGAGTCGATCTTGACTTTGAAGGAGTACACAATTCAGGTCACTGCGATATTGTACCTGGCCAAGACCTCCTGGCCTTGCAGGTTGAGATGGTCGGATGCCTACTAGAAGACAAGTCGGGATGGGTCATATTCATGGTTCAATGGTCATTTCAAAGTTCTCAATTCCTCTCAATTTCTAACACAGTTTTCATGCTCGTCTATCCAGTTTCAACTATATTTCTCTCGATTACTGACTTGATACCCTAATCCCAACCGCTTGGTGCCTGGAAACCCTTCACTCGTTAAGCTATATATCATGGCGGAGTCTATCATGATGCACACCATTGGTCTATTTCTCTCGCAGCGCATAATTCATTTATTGTATTTCCTCATTGACCAGACTGGCAGATATAGCCTTTTCTTACGCTCCCATGAAAGTTCGATTTACATCTCTAGCTTCTTAATAACATCTTACTCCCCTCATTTGTATTTATTGTGATGTACATCTGAAGCCTGAAATGAAACATGAAGAGACAATGTTTGCTGCAATCCAACAATACATAACCTGCAAACAGCAAAAGTGCATGGAGAACAACAGCTGTGATGCTCAACCAGAGTTCATGAAAGCCAAGCATATAAATTCTCGAGGGATTCAAAGGATGACAGATGGTATTTGGAGTAATAAAGTGGGGTGGTACACAACCACATGCAGCGGGCAACATCACCCATCAAGGACACACACGACACAACATGGGGCTTTGCAAACAAACATACAAGACTGCAAGAAAAGATAAGTGAAAATCCAGAAGGACGAGAGTTTACGATGAAGCGACAAGAAAGACAACAAGTTATACATGAGGTGACATAGTAGATGTTGAGTGCCAGCAAATATGAATATATATTCAAGCGTGCTTCTGTTTCCTGTCATAAGAATCCTGTAAGTAACTATATGAGGGGAATGTATAGAAACAACGGTCTTACTTCCTGGATTGTGGGCCTGCTCCAGTGCTATTGGCCTTCCGTCGCTTGTTGTTTTCTTTATCAATAGAGACAGGTGGGTGCATGTGTGCACCTGACGACCCGATTGCATTGAGAATATGCTCACATGTGGATGGAACATAGTGGCGTGTTGTTTGACATGGACCTTCTAGACCAGCCATCACACCAGTAAGAGGGTCAGGTATATTGGGATCTATTATGTTGATGCCAGAGGTGCTCGCACTGAAAGGTGTAGTAGGCGGTAAATGATTGGAATGAGAGAATGGTGGACTACCAGGCATAGCTGTATCACATGAGAACACAGGTAAAATCTGATCTGTCAGTTCACGAGTGATGGGTGGGGAAGATTGATAATCAAATGAGTCAGAGGAGTCATGCATGAAGCTGAAGTCAAGATCCTGAAGACAAGATGGGCCAGTGAATTGGTCATAGGGCTCCAGCGGTGGTAGGCTTGCAAAGAAAGTGTCAAAGTCAGATAAGTTGAACTGGTCAAAAGCAAGGGGAATACTATTGTCAGGGATGATCAATGGTACCGTACTAGTGGTGGTCCCAGCACCTGTAGGTGATGATTTGATGGTGGTCCCAGTGCCCATAGGTGATGATTTGATGGTAGACCTTTCATCCTCCTACATGAGTTTGAAGGTAATGCATTACCAGAAATGCATTACAATGTGTGATGCATTAATGATGAGAATTTAACATATGATAAATGCATTACTTACTGTGAGGTTAAACTGATAAAGGCCGCCATTCAGCCCCAGCTCAATATTGTGCCAAGCTCCAAGCACTTCGTTATCCATGACACCTTCCTCCTCAGCTACCTTTTCCTCACTGTCATGATCTTCTTCGTTACCCTCCCCAAAAATTTCCTCTGATTCATTGGCCACCTCGTCTGCAGCAGTATTTGGATCCTGTACTAGAGCTAACATCTTGTCATCGTGAGCTGATTGAACAAGGTAAGCAACATCATGTAATATTTGATAGATGCTTACTAATTGCCAATTTAACAAAATCTGCATAGGCAGTCCAAACTTTGCCAAACTCAGTATATTGGGCTGGAAACTCATTTCCCATTCCTGTCTCCCTGAGATGGTAGCTGCGTGATCCAGTGAGTTAATTTCAGCGTGTGGGAAATCAATACTTACTCAAGAACTACAATGTCCCCCGTAGTTGGGTCTTGTCCTCCTGCGATACAGGTGAACTTGAGTCCACCTGTCTTATGGGACAGGTGGCAGAAGATGCGATCAAGATGTACTCCAAGTTTGCTGAAGGCTCTGCATGTATAGGTGAGAACAAGTTATCCGTTATGAATCAGGACATACCTAATCTTCTCCTCTTGCTCAACTTTGTGAACAAAACCGGCTTTAGCTAGTTCATGTTTTTTTTGCCAGATTGCAAAGGCTTCTTGGTGCCTTGCTTTGACCTCAGCTTTTACGCTACCATCTTCAACAGCATATATAGCACGAGTGAGGACCTTCCGTTTTGCAAGCTTTTGGCCACATGTTGTGATACCCTTGGCCTCAATTGCTGCATCCACTTCACCCTTCATGCACTTGTTGTAGAAAATCTGTGAGTAAATTTCTACTTCTTGTGGAGCTCGTCCTGATACCTCCTCTCCTCCACTCAGAGTTTCACTCATGTCAAGCGCTCCTTTTAATCCCCCTGCTCATGCGTTACGTGCAATGTTAGTCTGCCATCCATACTATCTTTTGATCAGCTAGAAGGTCCCGCAGGTTAGTATGATGCAACCAAATTTTATGCATTGGATACTTACTATTTTATGATGACTCTGGGCATTACACAGTACTGTTGTCTGGGCCTGTGTGAGGTCTCCTTCCAACTGGACACCATTGATGCGCTCTGGCCATTGTGCCTCAAACATGGTCCATGTGTCAAGAAAGAATTCTGTGTATACTTTTGTCTTTTGACAAATAAAATACTCACCCATTCTGCTTAACAGGAATTCTTGCTGTTCTGCAGTAGCCCAAGGCTTTGGCCCACGACGACGCACCATTATCAAGTAGATGAAGGGATGATAGGTCCAGAGTCAGTGGGAAGGTGGGAACCAAACCACAGAAGTCAACGAATCTTAAAAGCTGGCTCTTGGCACATCTGTTCTGCTTGCTGTTCGGTGGCCAGACACTAGTGTACTGTATATTACTCTCAGTGCAAATTGTAGAAGTTAATGTCTGATTAATGAAAGACAAGACAGCCATACTTCAGTGTGACCACACCCGCACTAGGCTTAAATAAATGTGCGGACCAGTGCAGCTGGGTGCCATCACAATGTTACTAAAGTGCAGTGTTACTGACTTTCACTGCGCTCTGTTTCATGCGGTGTTATTTCTTTCTAAGTAATCACTCCAAGCCTAAATAGCAACCATGTACAAAAACATGATGTGGGCAAGATTCTACAATACATTGGTCAATATATATATGTCGACACCATCCTGTATTTGTACAGGGAGCTGATGTGTCCATCTCGTGCTAGAGGGCCTTGTTCTCACCTCGCATGTTGTTTAGAAGACAGGTGACTTCGCCAGGGAGTTTGATGCTAAGGGTTAGATGAATTTGAGTTTGGTGGTGGGAATTGAGTGGGACTTACTGTCTATGTTCACAACAATCAAGCTTGAGAGCTTTACGTTTGGTGGCATCCAAAAGGTCTGGACATGCACGGAGGAATTTGGGGTGGCAGAATTCCCAAGTCTAGGATGTTGATGATGTACATTGGGCCTGTGGTGTCTGTTTTATGAGATATTAGATAGTAAAATGAGTGGAGATAGGTACGGACTCTGTTGATTTTGTGAAAGCCATACATGTTCAGTTGGTAGACATGTGAATCGTGTGTTGAATTGAAAGGTAGGAGGTTGTCGACTGAGATGAGCCCAGCCACAACTTATGGTGCACTGAGTCCTATTGCCTTGTGAGTATCTGTGACATGACTAAGAGAGTGTGGCTGTAATCACGCTAGAAAGGGACACAGGACACACCAACTGAAAATATTTTGTTTTGAAAGGAAGATTCGTAATGTTTGAACCCAGCTCAATGGTTATCTGAATGAATGGATGAATGTGCAAGTCTCATAATGCGTTGTCCAGCAGAACCTCAACAGCCCAGGGCTTGGGGCTTGAAGGGGGATAATTGACTTACAACGACCAAGGCTAGACTGACAGACCCGAACATAATATACAGCAGTTCACATGACCATCAAATCCTCTGTGCAGATGTGTTTTGAATTCATGCAGTGGCTGCAGCCAGAGTCCAGGACAGATCATGAAGGCGGGTGGGCCACATCGACTTCAGTGACAGTGCAGAATTGGGGAAATATTACATTGCAAACATAATAAAAGTGATCCCTAAGTAAAAGGGTAGTCAAGCACGGAACAATAAGCAAGTGTGAAATAGTAAGCAAACATGACAGAATGAGAGTGGATTGGAGCTCAACTTGAAGTCAAGCAGTCAAGAACTTGCGACTTGGAATAGTGATGGAAGGACAAAAAACTCTGTCGTTGTGTAGGAATAGATTGTTACAACTTGGATGGTATCTGTTGGCGACGGTCAAACAGAGCGTGTGTCGTCAACGGTCGAGGACATCCTTGGGCTAGCACAAGGTTAGGGGTCTTACTTGGCGAGGCTTCGGCAAGTAAGATTTGACGCCTATGTCCAAATCGGGTAGCTTATGTCAAGTGGATGCTAGACGATGAGCTGTATCTGCCAAGGCTTACGACACCCGAAGGTTAATCGTAAGATCGTCGTTAATTAGAAGGACAGAAGTCCGACTAGTTAACAGGGGCTTTGCTCGTCGACGAAGTCGATGAGTAAAGATCGAGACTATAGGCTTATCTGCGAAGAGCAGATAAGAAGATAGAATATAGACTGCTGGCTAGGCAGAAAGGATCACTCTGGTGAGAGTAGGAGGTCAAGAACCAAGTAAATTCAAGTTAAGGAATATGTTACATGGTAGCGAGTTTATATAGAGGACAGGAAGCGTATTAGTGGATGATAACTCGTACTACCAAGAGAAGTAAATGGTAAAGGGTATAACCATAAAAGGAAGGCACGTTCGAGGTGAGACACGGGTGAATCCTGAATGTGCGGATAAGAAAGTGAGTCAAAGATCAGAATAAGAAGTGAAATGCGCAGGGGCACGATCGTGCAACTGTGGAGCTAAATATAAGTAACATGTGCGACTGTGCACAGAGTCATAGATCAAGAAAGGGAACAAGGTAAAGGGGATGCGTCGTGCATCATATCATAGGTTACCGTCCAGACGGTAAGGGCAGGGGGACTGTCCACAGGATCAGTCAGGTGGTGGAACGGAGCATGGATATGCTTCATCAGCGAACAGATCCGGCCAGATGTACTGGCTCTGCTGAAGCGACAGATAGAGAGCGAAAGGGAAGGCGAGAATGGCAAGGATGACAAGGGTAAGGTCGGGGTAAGGGTATGACGCGAGGGCTAATACGAGGAGGATTAGGAGAAAAATGGTGGGGGCCCAAGCATCTAGATGTTCTTGTAACATAGATAGCACATTAAATCACTCCAGTGTGCCCTGAATTTTGTACCAATGGAAGTTTGAATGAGAGAGCATCCAGTCATAATCGAGAACTTATCTTGAATATTCCAGAAGCATGACATGTGTGTTCCTTATACATGGTGAATGGGGCTGGCACTTCTTTGAATAAAAAATGACACCATCATTTGTTATGATGTTGAATAGGCCCGGGCTCTTCTATGTGTCGTTGGGATATTGAAATCATGCTTCCAAGAGATTAGTACAAGTTAACAATGAGCCTGACTCGGAGTCACTGGCTAGATGGATACATACCAAAATACATTATGGGGCAGTTTAGGTAGTTCAAATTCAAATTTCAAGTAGATCATACTATCAGGTGCAGTTGCACATGCAGCTGTATCCTCACGATGAACTTCAATTTTCTGTGTATTGTACAAGATGTCCACTCAGGTTTGCCAGTAATAACTTGTCAGGGGAGACTACAACATTGCACTTACTAGTACTCAGTACTCATGATTGATTCAAACATCACAAGAGTCAGAGTCAGTGACAAGAGCCAGTACAGCGGCTATCTGTACATAGTATTAATTAGAGTCATCATCCCAAAGTGGTAACTTTGGCTTACTCGTTCAAATGTTCAGACATCACACTATCGTGACTCAAACCATAGTATACAGTCACTGCGGAAACGAGATTTTGATCAGAGGATATTCTGAGTCGAATGAGAGTAGCTTCACCATCAACCTAGAATGGCCTTCACAGCTCAGGGCATTTGAGTTTGCCTTCAGCAAAACAAAACCAGGTCCTGTAGTAAGTGCACCATTCTTGTCTTTTGGCTCGCTTACCAGATGCTGATGATACTCTGTCTGCATCTTGCTCTTGCTTACCCAACTCTGATGACGCTTTGTCCGTGTCCCGCTCCCATCCAGTGTGTGTTCTTATCTTTTGGCTCACTTACCTGACCCTGATGGCACCCTACTTGCATCCTGCTCTCAGATAGTGTGTGTCCTCATCTTTTGGTTTGCTTACCCAATGCTGATGATGCTCTGGCCATGTTCTACTTCCAGATAGTGGGTGTTCCAGTCTTTTGGCTCGTTTACCTGGTGCTGAAAGGTGCTCTGGCAGTGTCCTGCTCTCAATCGGTACATGTTCTCATCCTTTGGTTTGCTTACCCAATGCTGATGACTTGACACGAGCCCGTTTGCAGCATCAGTAGACTCAGTACAAGTAAGTTTTTTTTATGGTTCTTTAAAAATAGATATCTTATTGTTTGATTACCATTCCAGTCCACTCGCGAGAGAGCCGACAGAGACAAGTAGGATTGGCCCCTACCCATACTACCAAAGTTACATGGTATGTCCATCATCATACGCTGTCGGTCTTGGCTGAAATAATTTTGCATACTAGGGAAACTTGAAGCACCACTTGGGTACTGCTGTGAGCTCACACATTGTGTTAGTGAGAGGCAGGGAGCAACAACTGGGGGCATTCGGGAGCGGGGTGAATTCACATGAGAAGCATATGAACATATGGTTGTTTTGTATTCTGTAGGTACCCATTGTCATAGAATCCGAGTGCAAGCTGGATGCTTCACTTAATGTTATTGAGTGCCCTCACATTTATATAGCTGAGTAGCTAGCTAGCAGCGCTAGCATGTATTTGCTGAAATATTTAATAACTTTTGCAATTTGTCAGAAAATAATTAAATGCCTGCAGCCAGATATACATCTAGTAAGTACAAAAATGTGTTCCACCTGAACTTCACTGGAGCTGATTACTGCATGCTTGAATGCTCCTATCTGTCTCACTTCATGACCCCACTTTTGCCAATCTTTTGATCAGTCTGCTACACCATGTGAGTCCATCTTGTAATGAAATTGCAGTGGCCACCAACAGCTTCAGCAAACAACTGTATCCTGTGCACCCTGAAATCTTTGAAAGGGATGAGTGTCACACCCGGTGGGGGTTTTGGGAAGGGTGGAAATGTAATGAATGGAAACTCCTGGATTGCTGTCGTGTCTGATGCAGAGGGCTCAGCAATCCTTGAAGGCAAGTGATCGACAACTACAATAGAGTTTTTTTTAGCGCTGAACTTACCAGAGCATCTGAAATATATGCCTTGCAGGTTGCTCTTAGACCCCTACTAGCATCGAAGCGTCCGTTACTTAGAAGACCTGAATAAGACAAAATTGCGAGCTACATTAGGGGGCAGATAAATTGATGTGCACTAAGTTCGTACTTAACACTTGTGTACTCTACCCTTCTTAATTGCAGTGTAAAGAAGGACTTCTCCAACAGTGAGCAAAGTGACGGCATAAACCACATCAGAGAAGCCTTCGATATTCTCTGCGACTTCATCCCTGGATACAAGTGCTCAGTAAGTACGTGCAATGTCAGACAGGACTGACTTACCAGTGATTAAAAACACCAATATATCACCCACAAGTGACACAGTAATAGGGTCCACATCTGGCAGGCACTGCCGGTATGTTGTAGAGGATCCCATGGTACAGGTATACAAAGCATTCATTGGCCATTGCACCAACAAGATCCTTATATAAGGCTGTGTCGTGTTTGACCCACCTGACATCTGCATCTGCCTCTCCATTGAAGTAGGGCATTATAGTGAACAGTAGAGTTTCAGGTAACTGAAAAAGTGCACCAGTAAGACTCATCAGTGGTGGATCAGGTGATGACGGGGGTATGCATGCTATAGTAAATGAACCAAGGGTCGACAATGAAGTGTGCATAACAGGAAAACCTGGTGGCAAAATGATCAGTTTCTGTAGAGGTGTCAGAAAAGCTACTCACCCTGTGCATGAGGCCTGGGCTGCACACCTGGACCAACCAGCATGGAGCATTTCAGACCATGTTCGATATTTTGAACTAATGAAAAAATTGGGGTTCTACTCAAGGAGGTTGGAGGAAAGGACAGAGAACCATACAAAACTGACATGAACAATATTCAAGATCATTGGTAGGTGGCGCAGATCCTTCTGAGTGTCGCGCAGTTGAGCCTGGGGACTCAGACATCAGAGTAAAGGAAAGGCACAGTGAGGGAATATTGACCGGCAAGCTCATTTATAAGGCAGCGAAACAAGCATGTAATGCATTACTCAGCATCTTACAAAGTAATGCATTACTAATACTACCGTACAGACTTGAGTGTTCATTCCCTCCATTTCCAATGACATTGAGCTGAGGATGATCCAACACTGCTTTAACATGTGTTGGAAAGGGGGTAGCATTGAGGCACTCAAACAATGACAACAAAGCGAGCTTCATGCATCAAGCATGTTCACACCCTTCCGGACAAACATGTAAGCAGTCTTGTTATAACACAGCCAAATGATAAACAGCAGAGGGTATAGTACAATGGTTGTATCTCTCAGATTAGAAGTGTATGTGACCAAATACTAGTACCTGTCCATCAATTTCAATGCTAAGACAAGAACTGTTAACCGTCATAGTAACATGTCATTGCACCGAACTGCAACACACACATGTGAGGAGATGCAACAACAAAGTGGACTGGAGATTATGAGGAGGGTATTGCCCCTTGTCAAGCATGCAGGACACAACTGATGACCATTGGTGCAAAAATAATGTTGGAATCTGAGAGAGCTGAAGGAGAGAAAGACAAAGCGGCCCAAGAATAGGCACAGGGGGAGACGTAGAGGGTAAGCACATCCAAAATGGGAAGAGATGGGTGATGTGTTGATGTTGGCTCACACCATGCAATGTTTCAGTTTATTTTTCCGTATATCAAAGTTCCTGGTGCACTCACCTTATGAGCCCCAGTCCTAGAGTTGAAACATCTCAGTCTTCAATCCATGTGAGTTAATACTTCATTTTATCTACCACTCTAACATCAAATAGATTTCCACCTTTGTATAGGTACAGAGTTTGTTAGTAGAGTCTTCAATCTGGATGCTGAGATATTCGCACCATTTTATAGCCTTTGTGCCTCCCATTCAATGCGAACTCCAATAAATAACACCACCTACAACAAGAGTGAGTGGAGCCCAACATTAAACTTGATATACACAAGGCTAATTGCAAGCAGGAGAAGGACAGAGGATGACTCGTCAGAATACTGATGGGCCATCAGCCAAGGTATGTCAGCATATTCCCACACCTTTGAGGCACGTCTGCGTCTGCCATCTGACACCACCATGACTTACCGATGTATCACACTTGTACGGTTATAAGCTCAACAGTTTGGCCTCGAGCCTTTCCATAGTGCCTCTGTAAGTATGATATAGTATCTAATGTATCATCTTACATCAAATCTTAGCAAGTATAATTCCTAGTAATGACCTGCAGGTCATGTACACTGTCCGATGTCTGCTTCCCCAACACCTATCATCCAAAAATGTCAACCAACGGAAGCGAGTCAAGCTTAATGTCTACACCCCACCCCACCCTGATGCCCCAACTGTTCACCAAACATACACATTTGTATCATGCAGTCAAGGCTTCCAGGCACATAGTTCTCAAGTTAACAGCTCTCAGACTGAACCTCAGACCGAAACTGAAACAATGAATGATGAAGTTTTCAATATGAATTTTGATTATGATCATGACACATGATATTTGCGACATGGAGCATGTGAAGGGTCACAATAAAACTCAATGGAAACGCACAGCTGGTGTAGGTCTCCTTTTGTACCTAGTAATAAGCCATTCTCACTCATTCATCAGGACCATCCACTTCTATTATGGATGGGTGATTGGGATATGTTCTTAGCTGAGTTCCTTTGGCACAAAGGCAGAGGCGATTATGCTGGTGCCACTGTCTGCTTTAACCGTCATCTTGATGTCCCTCGATTTCGATGTATTGATTGCTTTGGTACGGAGCTGTACTGTAAGGATTGCATTGTGATCTTACACAGTCGGAATCTAGTGCATCACATCCAAGTAAGTCCATTTGCGCAATATTGTGATTGGACACTCATGTTTAGTTTTGTGATAGGAGTGGTCAAACTCTTGTTTTACAGCAGTGTCACTGAAGGGAGCCCCTTCAGTGACAAATTCTGTATTATATGGGTCACCCGACCTACATAATATCCCGTATAAGACAGGCCAGCGGACTATGGGCCAATGTTATGTATATCCCCAATGTTGATGGATGGGCCAGGAGGGATATTATTTCCGATGGAGATGGGTGGACCCATCTATGCTAATATTATATATATCCTCAAAGATGTCGGGTGGGCCAATGTAATGGTTTATTGTATAGATGGGTGGGCCGAGGTACAGGAAGTATTTTGTACACGGTGTCCTGCATGATGTGGGAATCATGCATGGACATGAATACTAGGTGACCCTCAAAAGATAAAGTCTGTTAGCTTAGTCCTCAGACTAGTCAACCCATACCTTGGTTTCAAACCATGGTTCATATTTCCAGTTTTCCCCAAGTTTCATGATCTGAATACGCTTTGACGGAAAAAGTCTAATGTGAGATGGGAATCACATTTAGACCTAGTTGATGTGAGAAGGGAAATGAAGGTTAAGGTATAGCCTTGCCTTTGGCTTATTCACTTTGGCTAGAGAAAACCATAGAGAAAAGTACAAAGCCTATAAAAAACCTATCCAAAAAGACCGTGTTTCAATTTCTGCCAACTGTATTATTTTGACTGCGTTTCAATTCCTGCCAACTGCATTATTTTTTTGACTGTGTTTCAATTCCTGCCAACTGTCTTATTTTTGCTACCTACTTTTCTCTAGTGTTTCTTTACTTTACTTTTTCATTAGGATGCTTTGACTCACCTGACACTTCATAAAATTGTACCCATAGGGTATGATGTCATTATGATGTCATAAGACTCCACAGATACTCCTGCAGGTATTCTGTTGAAAGATATTATGTCATCAAGCTCTAGATTATTCTACTCCACAATGACATCATCCATGATGTTATTTCCTTCTAGAATATTCTGCTCCACAATGACTTACTCTGACTCACTCATGGAAGGTTCTGGAATCTTTTGCTCCACAATGATGTCATTACTCCACATTCCAGAATGTTCTGCTCCACAATGATGTCATAGCTCCATCTTTCACTTGTATTTTATTCTTTTATTGGGTTTGACCCAATATTTTGATTGGTCCTCCTTATTTTTTGTTGTTTGTGAACCTAGGTTACTTTCCCACACAAAATGTATATAAGGAGAGCCCATTCTCCCCCCCAAAAAATATGATCTCCCATTTGTAGCAATCTGCCTATCAGATATTTCACTTGCAAAGTTAGTCCCTTTGAAGTGAGACAAGCGCAGGGAATTCTTTTCCCTTGAGATTATAAGTTTCTTACCTTAGAAACTTATTTAGTGCTATAGACCAAGTGTTCTTGGTCACATATATTGTCTTTGAGACCCCTTTGTCTCATTGCTCTGTGCCCTTTGACTAAGCGGTCTTAGTCATCTATCATATTGTTAAGACCACGTCTCACTAGTTGTCCCATAGACCAAGCGATCTTGGTCAAGTTATAGTCACCTTTGTTCAAGCGATCTTGAACATATATCGTATATTTGAGAGCATTGTCTCACAGTCAAGTGTCCATAGACCAAGCGATCTTGGTCATATTTCGTATATTTGAGACCACGTCTCACTAGTTCCAGTATCCAAGTCCAGAGCCTAGAAGGAGATTTCCTAGGCAAATACATTCCAGAAACCGAATTACGTGTCTAGAAGCTTATTCCTAGACAAGAGATTTGAGTTTCAATAAGGAAAAGTAAAGCTCCGGCTAGGTTGATCTTTATAAAAAAATTAGTTTAGCGAGCCTCCCAAGAACTCACATGTTATCTACCACGAAATAGGAAAAGTCGTAGACCGTGTTAATCGAGGACTGGCAAGCAGTCTTATCCAAAGTGTAATTGTGGTGTCATTACATTTACACGACTTTATATAAGACCCTCGGTTATTAAGACAACAGGTGGGCCGAGGGAGTGGTGGAATATGTATTATATAGACGGGTGGGCCAATGTAAGGGTTTATTGTATAGACGGGTGGACCGACATACTGGAATTATTTTGTAGACGGATGGGCCAACGGAGTGGTGGAATATTCATTATATAGATGGGTGGGCCGAGGTAGTGAGATATCTGTCTGACATTCATGGATTACCGAGTCCCAGATGCCCAAAAACCGAATCCCATTGTGCAACATCCATTCCAGACACCCGAGCACCCCACCAAGTGCCAAGTGCCGAGGCCTGCGCCCTGATGTCCGAAGCCCAAAACCCGAAGCCCGAAATCTGAAAATATGTATACAACATATCCATATTTCCCTCACTGCACAAATCACTGGGTGTTGAGTACCGAAACCCAAAACTTGACACCTGGTACACAAATCACCAAGTGCCGAGTGCCGAGGCCCGCGCCCTGATGTCCAAAGCCCGAAACCCGAAAATATGTATACAACATATCAATATTTCACTCATTGCACAAATCACCAAGTGTTGAGTGCCAAAACTAGAAACTTGACACCTGGTACAAAAATCACCAAGTGCCGAGTGCGGAGGCCCGAAGCCCGATGTCCGAAGCCCGAAACCCAAAGCCTGAAACCCAAAAATATGTGTACAACATATCCATATTTCACTCATTGCACAAATCACTGAGTGTCGAGTACCAAAACCCGAAACTTGACACCCGGTACACAAATCACCAAGTGCCGAGTGCCGAGTGCCAAGGCCCGATGTCCGAAGCCTGAAACCCAAAGCATGACACCCGAAAATATGTATATAACATATCCATATTTCCCTCACTGCACAAATCACCGAGTGTCGAGTGCCAAAACCCGAAACTCAAAGCATGGTACAAAAATCACCAAGTGCCAAGTGCCAAGTGCCAAGGCCCGAACCCCAATGTCCGAAGCCCGAAACCCGAAGCCTGAAACCCGAAAATATGTATACAACATATCCATATTTCCCTCATTGTACAAATCATGGAGTGTCAAGTACCGAAACCCAAAACTCGACACCCTGTACACAAATCACCAAGTGCTGAGTGCTGAGGCCTGAGCTCTGATGTCCAAGGCCCAAAACCTGATGTCCAAAGCCCAAAACCCAAAGCCTGAAACCTGATAATATGTATGCAACATTGCCATTTTTCCCTCATTGCACAACTTACTGAGTGTTGAGTACAAAAACTCAAAACTTGAGACCTGGTACACAAATCACCAAGTGCAGAGTGCCAAGTGCCAAGGCCCCAAACCCAATATCTGAAGCCCAAATTCCGAAGCCCGAAACCCAAAAACATGTATGCAATATTTCCATTTTTTACTCATTGCACAAATCACCGAGTGTTGAGTGCCAAAACCCGAAACTCAAAACCCGGTGTGCAATAGGCAAAGATAATGAAAAATGAAAGTTGTAGTCCAAGTCAAGGTGAGTGTATTGGTAGTCTTTTCTTGTCAATTAGTTATTTCATTACTCGGTACTCAGTACTTGGTTCTGATACTCAGTACCTGGTGTAATGATAGTCGCAGCACTGGGCTCAAAACCCGTGTTTTTGATACTCACATTAAACAGTATTTGTCCAACGCATCCCTGACATTCTGATCCTGATCCCGATGCCCGACCCTGGCCTGAAAGTTTCGGACCCAACATTTTTGCATCGGACTCATCCTTCCTATGTCCTGTCTAGTCGTATCTATCCCCACTGGTGCATATTTACTTGTTTTCGCATTATTGAATATTACAGACAGTGTTATTACATGTAAGCATAGACCATTGCACTTTTGACATTTTTCACGATTTTCAGTATCTTGCCCTTGCATCCATGATCCAACCTTTTAATATATAATGAGCATAGCTTATATTATTGCCTCTTATGACCAAGATCAGCTCACAATAGGCTGGAGTTTGTGAGCTAGTGTGCATACTTGTCATTTCTCCTGATAAGGGGCCCATACCTTCAAAACATTGAATCTTCATGATCAGAAACCTGGAGTACATTTAGAATATATTAAGTATCATAGACATAAATTTACAGACAAATCCACCAAGAATTGAGTACTGAGGAAGTGAAATAGATAAGAAATGGAGTGTGGGAAACTTCAAAGACCCAAAGCATCGAAAATGGTCAGTGAAGCAATAATAGGACTTTAATGCTGAGTCAACTCATGTTTTCACTATATCCCTTCCATCCACCCCCTACCCTCAAGGCAGTAGGCAGTATGGGTTCCTTAGGTAGTTTACAATCTATCCTACATATTTTTAATGAAATCTTTGGCCTGAATCATCTATAAATGCGACTTTGTAAAAATATGTCTATTGTCACATTTCACACATATGCCTGTCATTACATCAATCCTTCATGTATCTTTCTAAACTATTAGGGCTATTATAATGGACATATATGGGTGTTATTCCAGGTCTCTGATCCCATCACAGGCTTGTCATGTTGGATATCTCAATATAATGTGCAAGTCTCACTATTAATATTCATTCTTTTATCTTTATGCTCACTTACTGCACACATGTACAAATGCACACCTCATCTTTACATCATTGCTAACATGCCAGACAAATATACAATCCTCATACCTGCATCATCCTACCTCAGTCTATTTGTTCTCAGACTGAGGTATGACTATACATTCATTATCATACTCGACACTGACTAACATTTAATGTAGTCTTCAAATAATCTCCAATTGACAAGAATGACATGAGTATGAAAATCAGTGGTTCTGAGCCCAGCACCGCAACCATCACTACACTGAGTACCAATACTTGGTAGGACCACCAATACACTCACATAGACTCGGACTACAACCTTCATTAAGAAAGTTAAGCATAATAATAATTTTCATTTTTTCATTATCATTTTCCTATATTGACTAGCGAGTCCCGAGTCCCGACCCTTGGTAGTCAATACAATTCCCAAGTTATTTGAACCCTACATCAATGGATAATACATACAAATACAGAATTCATGTCCAGTTGTAGTCATGTGTGGGTGTTGAGTTTCAGGTTTTGGTACTCAACACTCGGTGATTTGTGCAGTGAGGGAGATATGGATATGTTGTATACATATCTTTGGGTTTCAGGCTTTGGGTTTCAGGCTTTGGATGTCGGGCCTCAGCACTCAGCACTCAGCACTTGGTGATTTGTGTACCGGGTCTCAAGTTTCGTGTTTTCACACTCGACACTCGGTGATTTGTGCAATGAGTGAAATATTAATATGTTGTATACATATTTTCGGGTTTTGGGGTTTGGGGTTTGGGGTTTGGACATCGGGGCGCAGGCCTCAGCACTCGGCACTTGGTGATTTGTGTACCAGGTGTCAAGTTTTGGGTTTCGGTACTCGACACCTGATGATTTGTGCAGTGAGGGAAATATGGATATGTTGGATACATATTTTTGGGTTTCAGGCTTCGGGTTTCGGCCTTCGGACATTGGGCTTCGGGCCTCCGCACTCAGCACTTGGTGATTTGTGTACCAGGTGTCGAGTTTCAGGTTTTGGTACTTGACACTTGGTGATTTGTGCAGTGAGGGAAATATGGATATGTTATATACATATTTTCGGGTTTCAGGCTTCAGGTTTTGGGCTTTGGACATCGGGGTTCGGGCCTTGGCACTTGGCACTTGGCACTTGATGATTTTTGTACCATGCTTTGAGTTTCGGGTTTTGGCACTCGACACTCGGTGATTTGTGCAGTGAGGGAAATATGGATATGTTATATACATATTTTCGGGTGTCATGCTTTGGGTTTCAGGCTTCGGACATCGGGCCTTGGCACTCGGCACTCGGCACTTGGTGATTTGTGCAATGAGTGAAATATTGATATGTTGTATACATATTTTCGGGTTTCAGGCTTCAGGCTTCAGACATCGGGGCGCAGGCTTCGGACATTGGGGCATGGGCCTCAGCACTCGGCACTTGGTGATTTGTGTACCAGGTGTCAAGTTTCGGGTTTCAGTACTCGACACCCAGTGATTTGTGCAGTGAGGGAAATATGGATATGTTGTATACATATTTTCGGGTTTCAGGCTTCGGGGTTCGGGCCTCGGCACTCAGCATTCGATGATTTGTTTAATGTAAATGAAAAATGGGCATGTTGCATACCGGGTTTCAAGTTTTGGGTTTTGGCACTTGACACTCGGTGATTTGTGCAATGACTGAAAAATGGATATGTTATATACATGTTTTCAAGTTTTGGACTTTGGGGTTCAGCCCTTGGCACTCAGTACTTGGTGATTTGTGTACTGGGTCTCGAGCTTCGGGTTTTGTCACTTGACACTCGGTGATTTGTGCAATGAATGAAAAATGGACATTTTGCATACATGTTTTTGGGTTCCGGGCTTTGGATTTTGGGTCTCAGGCTTCGGGTCTATCAGGACTTGGCACTTGGTGATTTGATAACTGGACTTTTAAGCTTCAGGCTTTGGGTGTTCAGGTGTTCATGTGTTTGGTGTAAGGAAATAGAAATTTCACACATTTTCACCAGTTTCCAGTTTCCAGTCTCGAGCTTGGGGTGTTTGGGTGTCCGGAATGGATGTTGCACAATGGGATTCGGTTTTTGGGCATCTGGGACTCAGTAATCCATGAATGTCAGACAGATATCTCACTACCTTGGCCCACCCGTCTATATAACATCCCCCTCCATCGCCCCACCCGTCTATATAATAAATATTCCACCACTCCCTTGGCCCATCCATCTACAAAATAATTCCAGTATGTCGGCCCACTCGTCTATACAATAAACCCTTACATTGGCCCACCCATCTATACAATAAACCATTACATCGGCCCACCCGACATCTTTGAGGATATATATAATATCAGCATAGATGGGCCCACCCGTCTCCATCGGAAATAATATCCCTCCTGGCCCATCCGTCAACATCGGGGATATACATAACATCGGCCCATAGTCCGCTGGCCCGTCTTATATGGGATATTATGTAGGTCAGGTGACCCATATAATACGGAAATATGTCACTGTAATATGTGCTGAAGGATCTAGGCCTACACATACAGCTTGGCCATCCCACTGGAGATTCTTGTTCATTACCTCAGCAAGCATTCAATGATGATTTCATGCTCATCAATACTAATGGTATTCACACCATTGGACTGGATTTTTGTGGTTGCGCAACCGCTCAAACAAAGACCAAGCAATTACTACGCACAGGGTTGTTTCCAGCTACAACTATTGATCCATGTACTGCAGCAACCTTCCGCATCCTTGAGCAGTATCACCTTCTGTCATTTGAGTCAAAGGCTTCTTGGTATGAATTTTATCACTTGATTGTGCACCTCACCGATAATACTGGACTTCATCCTCAAAAGGTGAGTGATTGATGTTCTTCCTTATTGTAGATATCTCATCACCTATGTCATCAGGATCATTATGAGCCATTCTTGCATATGATCTGTGAATGGCGTTACCTCAAGATGCTCAAGTGAGCAGGCCGAGGACATGATCCAGCTGGTGTGGCAAATACACAAAGCGGAGAATGCACTGTTCTATGTCCTGTGTGCCCTCAGCCTCTCAAGAACCTTCCAGACAACTGGAAAGATGCTCCGAGTGACAAGAGGTATGTGTCATGCTCATACATAGATCAAACACTCATCATTCACAATTTCGTAGGTGGTTATATGCCCTATTTGTAGCTATTGATGCAAATTTCTGTCTCAAAAGACATATTGTGTCCAAGGATGCTACAGACCCTGGGCTTAGTCATGGATGGACGTACTTTGTAGACAAGATGGCATACAAGGCATATCTACAAGTTCACGGTAGTAAGCCACAAGAAGTAAGGATTTGATTGAACAACTTGTTGTGATTCGCTCTGATGGTTTTAGTAGAAAAGCACCTGTACTTCACATAATGCAGTCAATATGGCTGACACAAAAGCTTCTCAGGGACTGGCTGCAACTGGAGTGGGGACAATAGATTGCGTGCAGCACAATATAAAGTTACCCAATGGTGTTGGAGACTTGCAGAAGGGCGAAAGGTGAGATACACCGGTCGACAAGCAACCATCAGCACTAACTATGCCTAGATACAGCAACATGGATTACTTGTTTTTTTCAACCCTCCGTGGTGCACCGTGTCGAAACATTGAACATTTCATATGATATTGCTTGCCAGTGGCATAAGAACCTTTGGGAACGCATGTCCACAATGCCTCTAAACCTCCATCTGGACCTGCTTACCAAGTTCATTAGGTTTGTACAATCAAGTTTTTAGTTTCTCGTGTGCACCTTTGCTCACTTATCAATCACTAGGTTTTTCATCCCAAAATTTCATCTGCCGGCGCACATTTTCAAATGCCAAACTATGTATTCATTTAATTTCTCAAAGAATGTCGGACAAACAGACGGTGAAGCCCCTGAATGTGGCTGGTCAAATATCAACCCTGTCACCTCTAGCACTAAGGAAATGGGGCCAGGGTCTCAACGGGATACTCTTGATGATCACTTCGGTGATTGGAACTGGAAAAAGATAATCAGACTCGGTATGTGGCAAGTGAATGACTTCATGCTTTCATTGCTTCATCCTCTCACAGGCACAACATTACTCCGAAAGATAGACAAGGCTCAGGAGGAGAAAGAAGCCTATAGAATGGCTTTTGAGGAGCTAGATGGTGCTTTGCAACCTAGGACATCGGATCCCTGGAGATTGGAGATTGAGTATTGGGAACACAACCCCAATGACTCTTCAGTTACAAACCCATTCAGGCCGAAGGTCACCCGTAAGTGATGCTGGACATTTATATTCATTCAACTGCTGATATGTAGATAAACAGCTATTAGCCAAGCTGCGGTTCGACTGAAGCTTGCTGAAATGGAGGCTTGTGATCTACAGCAAGGTATCAACATATATCTTCACCCAGCGTGTTTGTTGCATCTGGCGTTGATCTTGAAAATGAACAGTATGTAGTTTATTTAATAATGATCTAGGTACCTTACTTATTCATTTGAAGGTGTCGTTTAAAGGCAGATGTCGCTCAGCTTGGTTTGCATCCCACAGACACACAGAAGGCTACCATACAACATCAGCGGAACTCTTTGCAGCACAAGATCAATGTGTGGAGGCACATCCAGGCCCTCTATATCCCTGCAGTCCAACTACTACACTTGTCTTTATTCCAATCTTCCACAGACCCCATCACACCAGAAGACACAAACCTCTACTTGCCATCAGCTACGTGCACGAGATCTATGCGTTGTGATACTCGCCTTCAGACCACCAAATGGGAGCTCTGTTATGCTCAGGCAGGTGATGCACTGGAGGAGCTAAGGCAGAACCTCCACCTACGTGACTATATGTACACATTTAAAAGAGATTGGGTGCGTGGTCAGGGCACAAACACTCGGGCTCAAAATGCACTCACTCAAGTACTTTCAAAGGTATCAGCTGCAGCTGACAAGTATTGTGCTGCTCATGGAGCACTTTCTGCCCTTGCTCCCTTGCTCAAAATGGTCAGCTGGAATCTCAAGTATAAGGAACTCCACAGGAAGGATGATATATGTGGGATGTCAGCACCCACAAAAGGTGTAAGTGAAGGGAGAAGGCAACTATCATGGATTTGGTTAGTAGAAGAAGTCAGAGATGATCAGGATGAGGTGATACAAGACAGTAAGTTTGCATTTGAGCCTTGAATGAACCATGGCTTACGTACTGACATAGCTTACAGGCCTTAGAGTCGAGTAGTGTAAGACTCGGGCGCGTGAGGGATCCAACCAAAGACTGATATGGCGTGTGGGACATGAGGTCGTGTTGTGTGTCGGTTGAGGGCAAGTGAGTGCAACGGGAGAGGTGTAAACCAGTTTCCATTGGTGTAGACACAGGGGTGGCATCCTTCAAGCCAAATTGTTGGATGATGTAATCAATCAGAGCCATTTGTGAGAGATTTATTGTGTGATTTGGACGGTTGCCTTCGATAGCGATACCTAAACAGAAATGTGCCTCCCCCAAGTCCGATACAGTCCACTTAGTATGCAATTGGTCTTTGAAGTTTGATATCATATTCTTAGTACTGCCAACAGTGAGGAAATCGTCTATGTGAACAGCGACAAGGAGGGTACCAAGGTCGGTTTGTCGGTAATAGATACAGTGCTCACATTTGAGTTGTATGAACCCCCAGGAGAGCATGACTTCATTCATGGTTTGATTCCAAACGAGGCCTCCCTGCTTCATTCCATACAGACCTTTTTGGAGCTCCCATACGCAGTCTTCTTTGCTGGCCTCTACAAATCCTTCGGGCTGGTGCATATAGCAGACCTCATCTGCTTTGAGTAAGCCATGGAGGAAAGCGGTTTTGATGTCAAGTTGTTCGATTTCCCAGTCAAGTGCTGTGCCCAGGTGTGTGAGGATATGAAAGGATTCCAAACGCGTGGTAGGAGCTGAAGTATTTGTGTAGTCCTGGCCCCAGACAGCAGAGTATCCATGACAGACATACCTCGCCTTGAAGTGAATGGGTGCACCATGTTGGTCTCATTTCAATTTGAAAACAGGATGGCCTAGCATGATACATCGACCAGGAGGAACAGATGATTGAGGGACCAATTTGTAGACACCAAGGTCACGCAGTGAGTTGAATTCTTTGCGTAGAGCCGCTGTCCATTCCTTGGCGTGTTCAGATGACATAGCTTCAGCATAGGTAGCGGGGTCATCAGCAATTTTGTGATCGAAGGTGTTGGGCAAAGTGGTGAATATATGTGCAAGGTTAGCAAGCTCCTCCTCAGAGGGTGTGGTCACAGGGGGCTGATCAGGTGGCAAAGCTTGAAGATGTTTGGCTGCAGCAATCAAATCCAGGACGGCTCATTGAGTAGAGGAGATGTAAGGTTTGCCGTCTAATGCACATTGACACTCCGAAGGTTTAGATACTCGAGTAGAATGGCGTGGGCTGTCAACATCCACAACTTCTTCGATATCAACCATGGGATGGTTGATAGGTGTGGGAGGTGCACTGGGCAAAGGGGGTGAGGGCGATCCACATTGATGGGATTCTATGAAAGAGACGTGATAAGAGACAAATACTTTGTGAGAGGGTTGGTGATAGCAATGGTAAGCTTTCAAGTCTAAAGAGTAACTGATGAGTATGCACTCAATAGAGCGATTGTATATCTTAGGGTTATGGTGGTTTTGAATGAGAACAAAGGCCTTGCAACCTATCTCTGTTACAAGAACATCTAGATGCTTGGGCCCCTACCATTTTTCTCCTGATCCTCCTCATATCAGCCCTTGCATCATACCCTTACCCCGACCTTACCCTGGTCATCCTTGTCATCCTTGCATTCCCATTCGCCCTCTACCTGTCGCTTCAGCAGAGCCAGTACATCTGGCCGGATCCTTTCGCTGACGAAGCATACCCATGCTCCGTTCCACCACCTGACTGATCCTGTGGACAGTCCCCTTGCCCTTACCGTCTGGACGGTAACCTATGATATGATGCACAACGCATCCCCTTTGCCCTTTTTCCCTTTCTTGATCTCTGACTCAGTGCGCAGTCGCACATGCAACTTATAGATAGCTCTGCAGCTGCACGATCGTGCCCCTGCACGTTTCACTTCTTATTTTGACCTTTGACTCACTTTCTTATCCAGCACGTTCTGCCTCGCCCGCGTCTCAACACAAATGTGCTTTCCTTTTATGGTTATGCCCTTTACCGATTGCCTCTCCTGGTAGTATGAGTTATCACCCACTAATATGTCTCCTGTCCTCTATATAAACTCGCTACCATGTACTATATTCCCTAACTTGAATCTACTTGGTTCTTGACCTCCTACTCTCACTAGAGTGATCCTTTCTGCCTCGCCAGCAGTCTATATTCTATCTTCTTATCTGCTCTTCGCGGATAAGCCTATAGTCTCGACCTTTACTCATCGACTTCGTTGACGAGCAAAGCCCCTGTCAATTAGTCGGACTTCTGTCCTTCTAATTAACGATGATCTTACGATTAACCTTCGGGTGTCGTAAGCTTTGGCCGATATAGCTTATCGTCTCGCACCCGCTTGACATAAGCCACCCGATTTGGACATAGGCATCAAATCTTACTTGCTGAAGCCTCGCCAAGTAAGACCCCTAACCTTGGGCTAGCCCAAGGACATCCTCGACCGTTGACAACACACGCTCTGTTTGAGCATCGCCAACAGATACCATCCAAGTCGTAACAATCTCACACAGGTGAGAGAGATCTGGCTTATTGCCAGTCCATCATTCAAAGGGTGTGTGTCCGTCCTGCGATACTACTGGAGTGCGGTTAGAGAGATAGCAAGTGGTAAGGACAAATTTGTCCCAACAATTGGCAGGGACATCACGTGCTGAGCACATAGCTCGGGCCTTACCCATTAAGGTGCGATGGAGATGCTCAACACAGCCATTTTGAGCAGTTTTGAGCAGACATATATGGTGCAGTGAACTGGTGTTGAGAGCCGCGTATGAGGAGCCATTCACACATGTTCTCGGTTTTCAATTCACTGTTGTCTGAATGGTAGATGCCAATTTTGGTGCCAGTCTCGACTTTGCAAGCGAGAGAACAGGCTTGTAAGGCTGGGAAAGCATCAGATTTTGCTGCAAGCGGAATGGCCCAGGCATAGGAAGAAAAATCATCAATGATGTTCATGACATATTTATTACCAGCGGCAGATACAGTATCAGGATGTTCCATAAGGTCAACATGCACAATCTCAAGCCTCTTGCTTGCCCTCTCCCCTGTATGTGTTTTGGGAACATTACTGCAGGTCTGTTTGCCAAGAATGCAACTGTCACACTTGGGTGGTAGGACAGAAAGGTCAATGGGCATACCGGTAACATTACCAGAGTGGGCGAGGTCGTATACAACACAGAAGTTAGCATGTCCGAGATAGCAGTGCCATGACTGGAGCGTGGGCATCTAATGTGCGAGGTAGGTGTGTTCGGCCGATAATTGCCCACCAGAAAGGGCATAGAGGCGATGTGAAGTCAGTATGCCAGATAGCATGTGGGTGCCATTACGAGATTGAACCCAGCAGCTAGTGGCATTGAATGATGCAGTGCAGCGGTGTGCTGCACAGAGTGCAGAGACAGAGATCAAGCATACCGTAGCCGCAGGGATAAACAGAACATTATCCAGGGTAATATGAATACCTCTGGCAATAACAAGGCATACAGTGCCTATGCCAACAGCCTGAATAGATGAGCTACCGACTCCATTAACAGCGCAAGGGGGTATAGGGCGAAGGCTAAAGAAATCAGACTCCTCGTTGCTAATATGGATGGAGGCACCACTGTCTAAGAAGAGTGGGATAATGGAAGGGTCTACAATGGTACATTGACATGAATTTGGAGCCTTGTATGTGATTCCAGTGAAGTTGACAGGTCGTACATGCAAGTACCAGTCGAGACTGGTAGTTAGAGCTTCGACTGCAGCCAGAGCCATATATTTGTCCTCCTCCTCAGCCAACAATTCATGGATGAAGGTGGGGGTGATTGTATTGCTAACAAGACCAGCAAATTCAGCTGAAGGGGTAGAAGGGTCGGCAGGATCAGGGGTAGCCACATATATTGCTTGGTGAGTTTCACTATCAAGCAAGTATGCATGACCTGTGGTATTATACCGAAGACCGCCTGGTTTACCAGTGGCAGCTGGGGGCTTAGTGGCAGCAGCCTTGCTTGTGGTTGAACCTTTAGCTTCACAAGTGGCATTTTTACGAGCCAATACCTCATTATGCTTACCCTCCATGGCTCCTCCCTTGCCAAAACAGTCTTTCGTTGGATGGCTGGTATGGCCGCAGGTATCACAGGCAGGATGATCGCGATTATTGTGGTTCTTGGCATTGTTACTCCTTCCAGTAGCAGCCATAGCAACATCCCCACTTTTGAACTTCTCAGTATCAATGATCTGTTGTTCGACGTCAAGGTGGGAGTGAATGTTCGAAGGGCCATAGGGAGCAGCAGATGTGCTAGTGGTAATGGCATCCGCAATGTGGTTTCGAATGTGGGGAAGATCCTCTGCCATGGCATTGAGCATCATGATGGTAAGGAAATCTTCCTCCTTCAGTATCCCAATAGCGTAGATACATCGCACAAGATCACTGAGTTGGGTACTGGTGGTGGAGAGATGTTTAGAATGGCAATATTGTACTGAGATTGCTTGTTGAATTAATAGGATTTGGGTGATTGGGCTGACTTTCTCATGGTGAGACTTGAGGGTGTTCCAGGCAAGGTATGTGTTGGTGTAATTGCGAAGGAATTCGTTTTCCTTGGCACTTGAATGAGTTCGCAGGGCGGCAATGATACATAGATTATTGAGGTCCCAGTGACCTGCACTCACAGGGTCTATGGACGGGTCTGGATGTGTGACAAGGCCCAGGATATATCCCCCTCCATGCTTCAGAAGGAGGTAGTTCTGCATACGGTCGGACCATACACCCCAATTATTTATGCTGCAGTCAAGAACTTCGATTTTATCTAAGTCAGTCTGACTGAGCATGATCGCCATGATGGTAGCCTGCAACGAGGACATAGTGGTGATAGTGGGTATAGCTGAACTATTAGTTGGTGGGTTGAGCGTGGAGGATTTGTTACCAGAGCTCTGAGAACGAGTATGCTCTGTAGAGGGCATGATGAGGGATAGGAGAAAGAAATGATCTGTAGCTTCTCAAGTATATATGGGTATGTGATTGACACTTCTTGCCTGAAGAGGAAAGGGGTATGCGTTTAAATGACGCTGATGCCAGAAGAGGAAAGGACTATGCTTTCAAATGATGATGCTGACATTGTTGTTGATGATCCCGGGGGTGTTCAGTAGCCCGGCGGGTTCATTCCTGGTAGGTTCACTATCCTCTAGGTGGTTCTGCTCCCTGTTCTTACAAGAGAGCAGGGCTCATAACCTGTAGAGACTAGACACAATGTTAGCCTAACATAAATGGTCCATCAGTGTCTAGATATGATCCAAGCAAATGAGAACTCACCCTCAGTCGTGATGGAACAGACTGAGGGGAGAAGACGACATGAGGTAATCTATTATAGGTTGGTTTGTATTCCAACCGTCTAACTCTGCTGCCAGTTGTTCATCATGTCATAGCACCAACATCTTCAACCTGCACAAACACCAGAGGAATTAGTGCAAGAGCTTAATATGGATATAAATTGTATCATAGCCATACAACAAACTTGCTACCTTCATTCTCATACCCCTGTCCTCAAATCTGGCAACTTATACCTTGCATAGGAATGGGCACACAGTCCTGCCAACCCCAACACTTCATCAATATGCTTTGAGTCTCTCCAGAAGTATTTCAAGTGATCTTAGGATTAATTGAGGACCATCCAGTTTTTCATAACAATTCAAATCAACCTCAAGAACCCATGGAGATTCAGTTGGGTGTAACACTGTATCAAATGGGCTGATATGGAAATGGTGCTTCACTGGAAGACATTGCTTGGATTGCAGGATGCTCTGAAGGTAGTGTTGAGAAGTATACTGAACGATGCTTCACAGCAATCGAGTCAATTCATGACATGTTTGTGTGTCTCCCTACTGCACAGGAGAAGGAGTGAGAGAAGCAATGGATAGATCAGCATCTTGGATTTTCTGGGACATGGCGAGAAGGGTGGGTAATGTATGATGGTACCATTGTTGTACTCTATGCAAAACCTACACTCAATGGTGACACATATTTCACTCGAAAAATGAACTATGGTTTGAACCTTTAGGTAAGTGACTTAGTATGCATTATTCATAGCATTGACAATATTATTTAGGTTGGTAATTTGCCTTACAATCTTCGGATTGTCAACTACTCCCATGGCATGACAGGTTCTGCTCATGATGCCTGGGCATTTGATCATACAGCTGTCGCAAAGCATCCAGATTGGTTCTTTAGTGGTGAAGAATTTGCATGGACAGATTCTGCTTATCCTGTCAGCTCACGCACCATCTCCATTCACAAAAAACCTGCCACACCCTTACCTGAAAATATTGCCTTTGATGCTGCAGTTGCCAATTTATGTGTCCAGTCAGAACACTGCATGGAGGCCCTTAAAGGACAATTTCAACGCTTTCGTGGACTTTGAGTCAATATCAAATCCAAGTGCCAGCATATTGCTGCATGTCAGTGGATCACAGTTGGCATTATATTGCACAACATAGTTATTGAAGTGGAAGGTGTTGATAAACAAGGTCAATACTTTGCACTAGTTTATATACATGAGTAGGAGATTGAGCCACTAGCTAGGAGGGACAATAATGAAGGTGAGGCAAAGAGGAAAAAATTGGTTGAAGAGCTAGTTGCATTCCAACAAATGTAAAGACTAACTAGCAAAGCAATTAATTAACAAATCAAAGAAAGGTGTGTCAGAAATTTCTAAAGGGTCCTTGGAAGGCTGCTATATTTAGACTGAATTATGATGCCTGCCAACTGTATTGCGTCCAAGTTGCAAGTTGGGCTGAGTCGTCAGCAGTGTCTCGCAAGGTGCCATGTGAATTCTAAGACAAGCTGACAAAGTTTCAAGGGGCTTGGAAATGTTAATAATAGACCTGGCATTACATTGACAGTCATCATGCTCATTATACAACTGCCATTGATAAACTATTTTCTGAGTCTCTGACTGTTGTTCCATCCTGTATTCTAGATGTCTGGACCATCTAACAACAGACATACATATATACGGTCCTCAACATCCTCTGCACAAGTATAATGTAAGTTTTGTAATGAGCCTTTCTCTACTCGTAGCATCAAGTTGCATGAGGGAAGCTGTTTGTGGAAACGGGAGAAGAAATGGCGCAATAAGGAGTTTGCTGAGATTGCAGCTCATGTAGTTGAGGCCCAAAAGAAAGATATGTCATGTCAATAAATTCATTTGATTTGTTACTTATTGACTAATTTAAATCTCGCACATAAATGACACAACAAATGTCAAAGGTGCTGACAATGTATTAGGATCACATGATGATGTGGGGTATGGCAGTTTTGATGATGTTATGAGCATTGGGGGAGACTCACAGCTATATACATATATTGCTCTTGCATGTTTGGTTTCTAACTATGTTTTATAGATTAGGATCAGACTTGGACACAAGTATGTCAACAGGTATAATAGGGTCTGCGGCTGTGGCTGCAGTCCCTATTACTTGTGACACGTTCAAAACCAAGTATCACCCAAACAGCAAACACGTCCCAACCATTAAGACCTTCTCTGCCTTTGAACACTCTGTCAAGGCAGAGGCTAGGTCCCCACCCATCATTGATGATGAACCATGGCAACCTTTTATGTGCCATGCGGACTTTGAGTTTGCAGAACTTGCACACCAAGTGGCACTCAATAAAGACCAAACTGACAAGATGCTGCAGTTGATATGGCAGATTGCTGAGGGTCACACAAAGTTTACATTCAAATCTCATGCTGAAGTGTCAAAAGCCTAGAATCAAGCAGCCACTCAGATGACACTGGTAAGCTATCTCCAAACTTATTTGTTGTGTTACTGAGTATATAGATATAATATATCATACAGTTTGAGAAGCACATCATCTCTGTCCCATACAAGAAAGAGGAACTCAAATTTGACAAACATAATGGTACTGATTCCAAACAGTTTTTTCATGAGCCTTGGACAACAGATTGCTGGTGGTGAATTCAAGTATGCATTATCATGTATTTGTGCTGTGTATCATGCTGCTAATCAATATATCATATCTCTAAATTTATTGTAGTCATCATTGCCAAATAACAGTGTTTCATTTGCTCTCATCCTCTATGCTGACAAAACACATTTAACCTTGTCTGGACATGTGAAGGCATACCCATTAATTGCCCATTGCACAAATCTTCCTGTTCACATAAGAAATGACAATGGAATTGGAGGAGGCCGTGTGGTCGGCTGGCTACTAATTATACATGTTTGAGTATTAACAGTAGATATTATTCATCAGTCCTTTGTATTGACACACACAAGGTTCCTACAGATTCTAGCAAAGATGGAAAGCTCAGCTACACAAATTTCAAATATGTTGTCTGGAACGCAGCATTCATCAAGTTGTTGGAGTCCATCATCCTGTACTCCAAAACAGGCTTTGCACATAGATGCTTTGATGCTGTCACACGGTGGTTATACCTACTAATTCTACTTCTATCAGCAGATTATGAAGAACAGTATGTAATATTCTCGTAGCTTACATTATGTTTTGATAGCTCACGTCTTGACAGATGTATTATGGCACTAATATGCAGGCTACATTCAAATTGTCCCTGCCCTATCTGTCTTGTTCCCTCGACCAAACTTTCTGATCTTAGCGTAGCATATCCTACTCAAACCATTGTGGATGTGAAATCTTCTTAGAGTTGTATTTAAGGGACCATGTTGCTGGAGAAGTAGTACTGAAGGCACACAGCTTACGTCCTGTGACAGTTCATATTTTAATTGTTTTCATAACCTATTATCTTAGTTAATACTACTGTCAGAATGCACTCTGGGAAGTTGAGAACTCTAATCCTCATGAGACACTTTTGTTTGATCCCTTACATGTCAATGATCTTGGTAACTGGGGCACCCACTTGTTCGAGGAGCTCAAGATACATGGGAAGGCTCTTGGTCGTGAAGCTGAGGCAAAGATTGATGAACAGTACGTTTCATCATTGCTTTGTGCATTATATCTGTACCAGGACTCTGCAGGTTCACCGCATTCCCACGATGGCATAATCTGAACCATTTCAAGTCTGTCATGAAGATATTATTTAGTGATGGCAACAAACTTAGGGATATCACTAAGGTGAGCACTATTATTTGCTGTTATGTTTCAATCAACCTTCTAACATCCTGGACTCTAGCAAATGCTGTATGCAGCACAAAACATATTGATGCACAATGAAGATACCATTGGCTATGTGCCGTTGCAGTGTATAGCTAGCTATCTACAACTGACCATGTACATAGCACTCAATGTGCACACCAAAACCACACTTGCTGCTGGAGAAGTGGAGCTCCTGGTGTTTGAAATGTGCCTACATGTAACTATATATTGTGTTTCCTTTGACTTTCAGCTATATCTTAACACATTTTCAGGCATATATTGACATCCAGGTAAAGATTTAACCAAGAACTGGAATTTTCTGAAGGTACATGCTCTGAAACATGCTTTCCCTGACATTCGTACAAAAGAAGCAGCACACAACTTCAGTACTCGACCAAATGAGAAGCAACACGGTGAAGAACAATCAACTCAGCTCCAGGTAAAATGATAAATTTATGGGAGGAACATGAGAAGCTGATATAGTGATATAGTGTGATGAGTCTGCTATGCTTGCAGGCACAAGCACGTTCAATTCAAGGGGAAGCAAGGAAAACAAATCCACAGTTGTGCAGCAGCTCTGCAAGGTGAGCAATATAAGTGCGAAGCATGGGAAACTTGCACATGATTAGCATGAAAGCATGGGAATGCAAAATGCAAAAGTGCGAAAATGCGAAATGAAACTAGCAATAGACGAGGGCTCAATGAATGACAACTAAAAAGGACTGCTAATATCTTCTAACTCTAGCTATGGACATGATGAGGGAACTCCACTAGGGTAAGGTGTGGTGTAGTAAAGGGTGAAAAATGCAGACCTATATATGTGTCTTGCTAAGTGAGCTAAGTGGGAGATAATGTATGTAATAAGTCAGGGTCCATGCTCTAATATGGTACCATATTGAATGGATGGATGCTTCTGGATGATAGGGATGATGAAAGTGCGGGAAAGTGAGCAATGCAAGGGCATCGCAAGGTGCAGGAAAGTCGTGCGATATAGGAAAGTGTTGCCTGATATGGAAATAGCTAGGGAAAGGTCAGGAAATGATGCTGCAAGTTGGTGCTGCGAACCCAGGTGGTATGAACTGAAGTCTAATGTGTTGCAAGCCTGTAATAGTGCGAGTCTCTACAACAGACCATTGAAGTAAGCATACTTGCATCAAATGAATTGTAAAGATATTGCCAATCAGGTGTGCTGTCCTTTAATTCAAACAGCTTGTGATACTAACACAATATACAGGTCCTCAAGCTTGATCATATCAGTGTAGTTTCTGAATTGATCCGCAGTTGTATTTCCAAACTTGATGAAGATCGGCACAAATACACAATGTTACAGGGAGAACTCAAAGACAATGATATGCTAGATGATCAGCTGTTTTCAGGCCATCTCCATATCAGCACTCCTCAAATTCCTGTCACTCTCACTGCAGTGGAGGAAGGCAATGCATCAAACCATGCATTTCAGGATTTCCGAAAGAAGTTCACAAAGTTCCTCAATAATTTTGTCATTTCAAACAACATTCCTTTGGCCAATGATGGTATAACATGGTTGTGGCCCACAGTTAACAATAAAGTCATTTAATTAGTTTACATCCTTCTAAACATCTACTGATTATGGTTTTTTTCATTACAGCTTCAAAAATTTCGTTATCTCAAAGTAAACTATGAGTCTACTGTTGACTGGAAACTGACTACCAACTATCTCCAATGTAATCCGAGCTCCCATAGGTGAGTGTCATGATTGTGCCTTGATCTGGATCCTAGACAAGGATGGAAATGACAAGAATATCTTTGTCCAAATATTGTTCATGTTCAAATTTACGGTCAGCAATCACAATTTTGAACTTGCATTAGTTCTACCCATGGATGCTCCCACTGGTTCAAGATGAAGCATGGATCACGATCTGGGACTAACTCGTCTTTGGGCACAACCTCTAGCTTCAGTAGAATTTATTTTCCTATAATCTATCATTTGCGGTGCTTTACTGGTGCCAGATTATGATAACAAAAGTGATTTTTTCCTTGTCAATCTTGTTGACACGGACATGTTCCTCCATGCGAAGATTTTGAGGTCTTGCTAGGGTAGAGAGGCACAAACATGAGTGAGTCTTCTTATCAGCTTGCATGCACATTAGATGATACTAATAGTTACAGTTATTACAGAATGAAGTATATTAACATGTAGACTATATTATCATTAGTATTACTATAATGAGGAGGTTATCTCAAGGTTGAATGAATCAAATTTGAGCTGACCTTCTGGGCACCCTCAAAGATGTAGTCGGCGGACAAGCACAAAGCAATGATGTTGACAAGGGATTCAGAGTGCATGACCAAGACAACAGTAGGGCACTTGAAGGCAAGTGAGATGGCAGCAATAGTCTGGATGCCAGACAAGAAGCAGTAAATGAGCACCTTCTCATTGATGTCGAGAACTTCAGGAGAGAACACATTTCCAGAGTCGAAGATCTGGACAACAGTCATACCATATGTGAATGGTGAGATGTTCAACATATGGAGGAGAGTAGCCTTGGATGCGCCAATACTGTAATGGCTACTAACAGCAGTAACAACCTGGACCTCGGCTAAGATTTCAATAGTGTTACAATAACATTTATAACCCTACTTTATTTCTCTTTCTTGGAACCATAACTGCTCTTCTAAAACACATCTAGACCGGTTACCTTGCAGCCACCTCTAGACTCTTCTAGACCTGGCTAGATTCTCTTATCTGATGGCCACCTCTAGACTCGGCCAGATCTCTTATCAAGCGGGCTATCTGCACTTCTTTTCTTTCTGATTATCTTGATTGTTGCTCGACTACCATTAATATGCGCAGCATGAACAGTCTTCTATGTTTCACCTATACTTGCTATCTTGATAGGTTGTACTACTTTACCTATCTGTGACTCACTATCAGACATAGCGCAGCCACAGACTTGTATCTATATAGACACCTACAGTTTGTAGTAGATACCCTATCTTGATCTACTTGGTTCTAGCTGAACTACCTGGTATACTTTGGTGTACTTGGTTCCTGAATTCCTTAGTGCACACTAGTAATCCTCTCTAGTGTGTGACTATTAGAACATTGCTTTACTTCTGAGAGGAACATCCTTTTCCTCTAGCTGTGAGCACGATCTGTCTCCTAGACGGTTCATCGCCAACCTACTTCCCTGACAGGAAGGGGCTCTGCTGATTGACTGTGGGAGCCAGTCTTGTACTAGACTGCAGAACACCCTCTCTTCTTGATCTCTCCTTTATTGGAGATAAGAGAGTAGACCTATCCAAGTTTAATATTACACCGCGCGTAACAAATAGTACCACAAGTGATCTTGGTAGGGATTCCAAGGGCCTGGAAGAAGGAGGTCTTTCTGGGCTCCATACCATCAGTGTTCCTGTAGTATTAATAGTAATAATAATGATATAATAAATAAAAGTTCAGACACATCTGGTTTACAGCAGAAATAAAAAATTTGCCTGATTGGGTTGAGGTAGAAGTAGTGATGATAAATGTATTAGATACAAGGACTTGGAATGGGATGCACGATCAACAAGTCACATGACTGACATGACAGAAGTAAAACCCTATCGGGCAAATTTCTTGTTTCTGTTGTGAACCAGGTGTGTCTGAACCATTTATTTATCTATAACTGATGGTGATGTAATAATTATTATTATGTCTGAATCTGCCAGGCATCCCATCTGAGATCAGTTCAGACAGCATCTGGACCTCACCTGATGATCAATTACATCGTGCATAATACTCCTGCCAGCGATAAGACGTGTCCAGCCAGAACTCACCAAGGTAAGTTACTAATAGTATGTGTTTGTATATTGTGTGCGAGAGCGCAGCAGGTAAGTGTTTGAATCAAAATTTATATAAATATCTCATGGGAAATTTGAAGGCCTTGGGCCAAGTTGCACATTGTTACCTCCTCTGAATCATGCCTCAGCCACAGTGAGCTCAAGTTGAAGACAATTCAGACTTCAAAAATTCACAGGACTTGATGGATTTTGATTCCTCCGGTGACTCTGATGAAGATCTCGCAAGTGCAGGTACGTGCTGCTATTGCACCTACCAGAGATGGTGCAAATGTTCAGAAAGTCCGCCAGGTGTGTCTTATTATTGTTAATGTTGTTGTTTTGTGCTAATACTCACATACATCTAGGCACTTGAGATTGCACAGAACCTGCTACTGAATATGTGTGGCAAATGTTGAGAACTACTGAAATGGTATGCACTTCTTGAGGCTTCTACAGTCAAAGGACAAAAACAGAAGAACTTGACTTCCAAGGATCTTGCACTCTCCGCCAAAGAAGATACTATACAGGCTCATGGGCACAAATATTCCATGACACATTGTCTATGAATCAATGCCAAAATTTTTCCCTTACGTGTGCCTCCCAACATCAAACTCTTTGGAGGTGAGTGCTGGCTATCACCACAGTCAATAGAGGATGAAATCAAGGCAGAGTTATTTAAATTCATCCCAGAAGTCGATCATGAGTTGATAGGCAACCAGAACTTTGCATCACATGTAAGGAATCTCTCAGCTTAGTTAGACTGACTTCAACTGACTCCAATTGTGATAGTTTGCAAAGGGCATCAGTGACATTCACTTGGAAATGGTTTCAGATGTCAAATCTTGCGCAGGTGCTATATTTAGGTTGAATCCTGAAATTTTTATTTGAGGCTACCCTCGCAATACTCAGCCAGAATGTCATACTATGCTTGTGAATCCCCATGGTGAATACACAAAGTTTGCTCCTGTACTCTTTCTTCATCCAGAGCATCCCAACAAAGACAAATTTCTCAAAATGGCAAAGTTTGTTCGGGTGCGTTGTTTTTATTAGTATGTACATGTGTGAGGTCTTGATCATCTAGCTTCCATTTATTATTAGGTCCTGAAAGTAGCACTTTTTGGGAAATCCTCCCTTTCTGCCACCTATGCTCCAGCCCCCAAGACTAAAGCCAAACTTTGGCAATTACAGAATACCACTCCAGGTATGATTGCTGCTGCCGCTGTTCTTGTATGTCTTCACCAAATATTGTATTTCTGAGTGTGTACTGATTATGTTTGTGCCACTGGAAGGCAATATTTGTTCTTTTGGGCGACAAGGATATATACACAAAGGGTGAAAAAAGCAATATCCTGTACCACCAATATCACAACTACTATTGCCAATGTCTAATGACCGGAGGTGCCTGGACGCAAGACATCCTTACCTTTTTCAACAACACCCTCTTTCCCAAAACCTCATCCTCACATGTCAGTCCAGACATGACAGATGCAGGCACTTCCCACAACAGTTGGGAAGAGGAGCTTGATCATGCCATGGAAGAGAAAGGCAACAAACTAGCTTTTCAATTTGATCCTGTCATTGCACCTGTTACTCAGTCTTCTGAGTCTATTGTGGACCCACCCTTTGCCTCTGTCACACTGCCAGCATATATTCCTACTGTTACATTTCCACCTGTTCCTGCAACTGCCCCTGCATTACAGCACCACCTGACACCATCTCTTCAGCAATGCAAGACCTTACCTTGGCAGGTGGTCCTCCCTTTGTAGAGTGTGATGCAGTTGGGGCTGTCCCCCTGAAGCCTAAACTAAAGCCAAGGCAGATGAATCAAGCGCTGAGGTTTGCAGGTCTGGCCAAAAGAAGTGATATATCACACACTAATATTTGTCTAAATACTCTGCACTCACATTATCACACACATTTACAGATATTGCCTTTACTATTAGTGAAGTTGTTTGTTATTAAAATTGTCTCTTCAATCATATTCATTGTGTGCCATTGTGCCTAACTTCTTGCTGGACTTAGAACGAATGTCACGATCATTGTTAAATTAGGTCAGAAGTACACATAATCAAATAACTGAGTAAGCTAATTACATTCTTAGTCATGCCAATATGACTTTGGCTCTTGAAATCCAACCACTATCTTTGATTCTTATTAGCTGCTCTCATGTTGATTATTACAATTGCCACTACATCAGACATGATGTCGGATGGTTCCATTATGACTTCATGATTGTATGGGATCAGCAACAGCAGCGCAGGTATTTATTTATTTTTCTTCAAAGATTACCTTGTCTCTGATTCAGACTCCCAATCTACCCACCATCAGCACTTTACCTCTGACATGGCGCTCTCAGAGTTCCACCCCCTGACAATGTATTACACAATAATTCCACTCATTTCTGAGAGACCTAACAATAGGTGCTGGAATGCCTCCAAATTGCGCAAACTCAGCAAGAGGCTGGATTCTGATACAATGACCATGGAGGAAATTGATCAAGTGGTTGGTGACTTTTTGGATGGCGAGATTGTCGACTTGACCTTGGACTGGCTGGGCAACACAGTGTGATTTTGGTTGCCATGGCTCACCTGGGTATGTTGCAGGTCATACAAAAGCTGTTTGAAAAATGTTCTTCTGTGCTGCTGCACCAATCCTATATTGCTGCCTCTCCCACCACTCAGCTATTTCTCTCCTGCAAATGGCGGCAGTGACAACCACACACAGCACTCTCAAGACAAACAGAATTCAGGTATCATCGAGAACTTTGGCCATCATAATCTGCAGTTCCTGTAATTTGTTTCACATAATTTAATTATCATAGTTTCAATTTGGTCTATATCATTGGAATTTTATTGGTGTAATTGAAACTAGCATTATGTGTTGAAATTTGGTTGAAATGATAAAATATCATTTGAAGATATCTTTGCACTTGGAACTGTCTTTTGATGCCTTGTAAGGCATGGGGTCTTGGCACTTTAGCACTGCCTTGGAAGGCAGACACAAGACCAAATAGATTACTGCCAACTGGCTTGTGGCAATTTCAGGTGTTCTTGCAAGTCAGTCATAATGCCGCCAGCAAATTGAGGCCTTTCAATCCATTTTAAGGCATGGCAACCCAAAATATTTATTTCCAACATGTATCTGCCATCAAATGGAAATTAAAATCATAAGTCAGGTTCATCAGCAGAGAAAGCAAACAAGTCCCATTCAGGAGACTTGTGCAAGCATGCTTCTTAGAACATTCTAAATCCTTCATCTCATCAAGTCGCTTGTGATACTCAGCTGTATTCCAGATTCTGGCCTTAAATTCCTCAAGCAAACAGTTCCTCTTCTTGAGCAACAGCTTTTCATGAGCACATGAATTCATTGCATCGAGGTTTGCCCTAGTACACATCATGAGATACAATAACTTAAATAAAATAATTACATACTGCTAGATTTCGAAAAGTGTATCCTCAATTGAGCACTTTGGTAGGATTTTTTAAATGTATCCCTTTGCCTTGGTGATGCTATCCTGAGACAGCAATGATGGTTTCGGAGCCCCCTTTCTAATTGGGTGTATGAGAAGTCATCATAGCATGAGCATAAGGAGTATTTTCTTTATCATTCACACACTCAGCAGAAGATGAGGCCGCATGAGGAGCAGTGCTAGCAAGGTTATTTAGGGCATCTTGAAGCATTCAAATTTGGCTTGATTTGTGAAGTTTGTAAAAAACAATATTGTCCTCCGAGTCATCTTCGCTCAGAGGCTGCATATGGAGGGTTTTCTTACCATGAGGGCCAACCTCAGTTGTGACTGCAATTGGTGTGACATTCAGACGAGCTGCAAAGATCTGGTGAAGTTTTGCAAAGAATGGAAACTCATTCTGGATTTCCTCTAGGACACCATAAGTTACATTGCCCTTGTAATAAAACAAACATACCTCATAAATTCCTTACTTCATCTGAGCTAGTAGCATCAGGGCCATTTGCACTAATGTGTAGAATCAGCAGAATTCATCTGAGGGATCACTGTTTTCACCATCTTGACTGTTGTGGAGACCCTCACCTGTCATACGAAGCTTTGCAGCATGTCTTTTATATGTTTTTGCAAGGCTAAATACATATATGAGTATAAAGTAAACAGATTTAGGAGCAAGCAACTTAATGACTTGAGTTTGCCTTTTACACAGTCTCCAGTTGCTATGGGATCAATCTCATAGAATTCTGGAAAAATAATGGTGCCAATCCTCTTGTAGACACTGGTCTTGGTCTCGCCAGAGGTGTTCTGATGTGATCGGTCAAGTTAATCATACCATATACTTAGTACAACTAGTTACTCACCTCATGTTGGTCCATTTTTCCAAATAACACCTTGTAATTTGCCTTTTGATTGAGTTCCTGTTACAGACTTGGATAGTATCTGTTGACAACACTCAAACAAAGCATGTGTCATCAATGGTCGAGGATGTCTCTGGGCTAACCCAAAGTTAGGAGTCTTGCTTGGTGAGGCTTCAGCAAGCAAGGTTTAACGTCTATGTCCAAATCGGGTAGCTTATGTCAAGCAAAGCTCGATGATAAGCATATCTGCCAAGGCTTACGACACCCGAAGGTTAATCATAAGATCTGCGTTAATAGAAGGACAGAAGTCTGACTAGTAACAGGTGCTTTGCTCGTCAATGAAGTCGATGAGTAAAGATTGAGACTAAGGATTTATCCGCGATAAGCAGATAAGAAGAAAGAATATAGACTGCTGGCTAGGCAGAAGGAATCACTCTTGTTAGGAGTAGGAAGTCAAGAACCAAGTATATTCAAGTTAAGGAAATAGATACATGGTAGCGAGTTTATATAGAGGAGAGGAATCATATTAGTAAATGATAACTCATACTACCGGAAGAGGAACTGGTAAGAGGGTGATACTAAAGAAGGAAGGCACATTTGAGGTGAGTCATAGGTAAACCGGAACATGCGGATAAGAAATAGATCAAAGAACAGAGACAGGAAGTGAAACAAGCAGGGGTACAATCGTGCAACTGCAGAGCTAAGTATAAGTACAATATGCGACTGCGCACCAAGTTATAGGTCAAGAAAGGAAACAGGGCAAAGGGGATGCAGCATGCATCCTATCATAGGTGTCACAACCCAAATAACGAATTAACGCTTGGGCAGAGACTAGGACTCGACTAAGGTTATCGGACAAGAAAGAGAGGAGCAAGTACGTCTTGGATTGCTACAGTTGTAGATACAAGAGGTTTGAACTAGAGAACTATCAACCAAGACATGCTACCTATATACAACTATTGAGACGGAGATTGAAACTGAGTTACAACTACTAGCCAATCATAAAATAGAAAAGGGAATTGTACCATAGAACATCGTAGAATATTAAAGAAGCATCACGTGACCATATCTTATCTTATCGTATCTAATCTAATCTAATCACAATCAAAGAACTCGTCTTCTTCATCAGTCACATTGAAGACACGTGTCGTGGGCGCTAAAGGAATCTCTGAACTGGTAGATGCTTTCGGGATAGGGTTAGGGTTTGACTTAGGTGTTGTGTATTGGCGCTTAGGAAGATTTAAGAAAGAATAGTGGTTTGTTAAAGGTACTCGTGACAATAGGTTACTGTCCGGACAGTAAGGGTAAAGGGGACTGTCCATAGGATCAGTCATCGAGTGAAACGGAGCAAGGGTATGCTTCGTCAGAGAAAGGGTCCAGCCAGATGTACTGGCTCTGCTGGAGCGACAGGTAGAGAGTGAAGGGGAATGCAAGGATGACGAGGATAACAAGAGCAAGGTCGGGGTAAGGGTGTGATACAAGGGCTGAGATGAGGAGGATAAGGAGAAAAATGGTGGGGGCCCAAGCATCTAGATGTTCTTGTAACAGTTCCATGATGATTTCCACACTCGCAAATGGTCATTCTTGCTTCATGGAATTTCTGGCAGTGAGACCTTGGGCTTCTTGAATTTGCTGGCCATATGATGTGATGAGTGGTACTGTGATGAACAAAGTGCTCAATATGGTATATGTGATTTATTTGTAATTATTTCATGTAAGTTGTAGAACAATTTGTTTTGGGCAACAGCAAAAGCAAAAGCAACAGCAGACAGCAGTCTACTCTGAGCTCCTCTAATAGTTTATGCATGCATCACCAAAATTGCATGACTGAAAGATTACCTGATATGGATGTACCCGGTGTCTTCTTAGATAGATGATCTATAGATGAACACCTACAAAATCAAATATCTCCACAGTCAGTGATTCAGACAAATACCAATGACTGATAACATGGTCATTTGTGGGTGGCCTGTCAGTATATCCAAGCTACAGTCAGACACAGGTACTCTATGATATCAGTATAGAAACACTAGTCAATCCAGCGATACAGTGTTGACTAAAGGAAACAAAGAACAGAAACAAGAAGTAAGGCTAAGCACAATCAATGGTGCTAAACAGAAATAAGAAGTAAGACTATGCACAATCAATGGTGCTATATTTTAAACTTACTATGAAACAATTGTGCAAAGCTGTATTGGTTACTCCCACAGCGCTGTAACGATAGTCGCAGCACTGGGCTCAAAACCCGTGTTTTTGATACTCATGTTAAACAGTATTCGTCCAACACATCCCCGACATTCCGATCCCAACCCGAAAGTTTTGGACCCAATGTTTTCGCATTGGACTCATCCTCCCTATGTCCTGTCCAGTCATATCTATCCCCACTGGTGCATATTTACTCGTTTTCGCATTATTGAATATTACAGACAGTGTTATTACATGTTATCTACAAAAGGTGCAGTACACATGCTCTTTTACATACATTCAGACCTGATTTTGCACTACTGTTTTCGCCTAATGCACTCCGAAATTCTACATAGATACTATTTAATATCTAGTACTTCCTACCTATGAACTACTTACTATTTTCCCTATCCAGCAGTAGGATGGAAGTCATTAGATATTAGTAAGTACTTGATTGTATTGTGAAATATCTATCCGCTCTTTTCTCCCTAAAACATTCCAACACATCGACACTCATTTAACCAAACAATCCAACATACTTCCAATACATTCCTTCACAACACCGATCACTTCCCGATAGTCCAACGCATAGTCCCATGCCCGACCTAACTCTGATAATTTTGGACCCAACAGTTTTCCTTCGGACAAGTAGTTCTTAGCTTTGGATTGTCTTCCTATTACTGATAACTAACTATCTAAACTAATACCAAATAGCTACCCCTATAGGATCAAACACACTTGCTCTGCAAGTATAGCAGACTAGTGTTACAAGAACATCTAGACACTTGGGGCCCTACCATTTTTCTCCTGATCCTCCTTGGATCAGCCCTTGCATCATACCCTTACCCCCGACCTTACCCTGTCATCCTTGTCATCCTTGCATTTCTCTTTCACCCTCTACCTGTCCACTTCAGCAGAGCCAGTACATCTGGCCGGATCCTTTCGCTGACGAAGCATACCCATGCTCCGTTCCACCACCTGACTGATCCTGTGGATAGTCCCCTTTGCCCTTTTTTCCCTTTCTTGATCTCTGACTCCAGTGCGCAGTCGCACATGCGACTTATAGATAGCTCTGCAGCTGCACGATTGTGCCCCTGCACGTTTCACTTCTTATTTTGACCTTTGACTCACTTTCTTATCCAGCACGTTCTGCCTCGCCCGCGTCTCAACACAAATGTGCTTTCCTTTTATGGTTATGCCCTTTACCGATTGCCTCTCCTGGTAGTATGAGTTATCACCCACTAATATGTCTCCTGTCCTCTATATAAACTCGCTACCATGTACTATATTCCCTAACTTGAATCTACTTGGGTTCTTGACCTCCCACTCTCACTAGAGTGATCCTTTCTGCCTCGCCAGCAGTCTATATTCTATCTTCTTATCTGCTCATCGCGGATAAGCCTATAGTCCTCGACCTTTAACTCATCGACTTCGTTGACGAGCAAAGCCCCTGTCAATTAGTCGGACTTCTGTCCTTCTAATTAACGACGATTTACGATTAACCTTCGGGTGTCGTAAGCTTTGGCCGATATAGCTTATCGTCTCGCACCCGCTTGACATAAGCTTACCTGATTTGGACATAGGCGTCAAATCTTACTTGCTGAGAAGCCTCGCCAAGTAAGACCCCTAACCTTGGGCTAGCCCAAGGACGTCCTCGACCTTGACCGACACACGCTCTGTTGAGCGTCGCCAACAGATACATCCAAGTCGTAACAACTAGGTCATGCTAAGATCTACCTAAATATTTGTTGTCCTAGGTAGTACGATTTCTGCTGAGCCAGCGGAATCAGCTTTCTACAGCGCAAACAGGTAGGATCAAAGGTCAAGACTTATCAAAAGCTTCTGTAGAACTCTTAGCCTAATATTGAATCTGCTGCCAAGGAACTCACAATGGGTATCAACAGAATCAGAATGGATGTCCTTGGATTTCAATACCAAGTCCCCTATTCAATAGCTAAAAGCCTATCTGACAATAACAATCCTGGCTCAGTATACTACTCAGATTGTGTGAGGGTCAAGTGAACAATATCAACTCTTGAAGTCTCCCCACTAGCTGATCTGAGCCTTTAGTGGATGTAGAGACAACACAAAGAATCAAAGATAAGGCTCAAATGTATTCACTACAATCAAGAGTACATTAGTATCAGCAGCAAGAAAAAACAACACTCAAGAATATTTGCTAAAATCTATAACATGTTAGTGACATGACAATAAACAAGTACTCAGACTGTTAGCTTTCAATGAATAGAGAGAGTGAAACAGATAGAGTGAAACAGATCCTGAGCTGAAGAAATAGATAGAGTGAAACAGAACCCAGACTAGTGAAACAGAGATAAGAAAATAGATCCCAGACTAGAGTGAAATAGATCCCAAGCCTAGAGAAACAGATAAAGAGATAGAGACAGAGACATGTGCACATATACACAAACACTCAGAAAAACAAGAGACTTCTCAAGTCAAAACAGCAACTTATTGATTAGAGGCATTAGTTCTGAACTGCTGCTAATTTTCAAATATCCAAACCTTCCCATGCAGCCTCACTAGAACAAACATTGGTTGCGGTATAATCATATGGTTAGATTTCTCACAAAAGACAAAGCCCCGAAGTGTAGGATTGTCCAGAAGTTTGGCAGCTAAGGAAGCACAATAATCATAGGTTACCTAATCAATATATCTATAAGAATGCTGCAGTGCAGCACAAGAGAATTAAGGGTCTAACACTACTAACACCTGGAAAGACATTACAAAGCCTGAGAACAAGATGTAGAGGTATTATCAGGTGTTGATCAAGATTTAAAACTGATACAGTGTCTTCAGTACTGAGAATTGCCTACTAAAGGTATGCTAATGTAATGGGCTGTAATATCTGTTACATTTGTAGTATAGTTGCTTAATTTAACATGGTTTATTGTTTATTATCTATCATTTATTGATATACATGAAATACATTATAAATATTAATCAAACTTTTTGACATTCATGGGCTTTGCAGCAAATGGAATAGATCATGGTATGGTTCACTTAGTTATAGCCTACCTTGTGCAAACTTTCCACCACAAGTTCTCAAATTTTCTCTAGGATCATAGATTCAGATCTTATTTTTAGGATGTCATGATAAAGTTGCTTATACTAATGAAATAGCATTCATACATGATAAACCACAATGCTTCATCTAGGGTCTTTGTTGAGGGTATAGATATACAAGATCTACATGGTAACCCCCAAAGGAACAAGATAATCTAGTTACAGTAGTGTAATAACATGTTAAGATCATGCTGTTTTAGTATATACCTATTTCCTCACACACCTTCTAGCCAATCAATATCAAAAGATATAGATGTGTAATACCTGACCTCTTCTTCACATCTAGCCCAGTCAAAATAAATCAACTACACTTTGCCCTCCTTTGTAACCATGATGTTTGGCTTCTGAAGATTACCAAAAAAAAATTCCTTTGTATGACAGTGATCAATTGCTTTCTTGAGGTTATGATAAAAGCTTTTGGGCTGTTTTGATATACTACAGAATGTGTTTCCATTCATATATTCCATGACTGCCATCTGGAGTATCCTATATGGTGGCATGTAGAATGCGAGATTGGTTCCTAGTAAAAAAACTTGAGAGTCAACCCTGCTTTTGCTATCACATTGTGGACCTTCTCGCCATACTCGCTGACAAACTTCATGATGATATTGATAGGCTCAGCCCCAACTGTCTTGGCCAAGTAAGTTGCACAGGAAGGGTGGCTTTCAAGAGGCTCCTGATATGTGAATTGCATAGGATTTCTATTGTATATGTAGGTATCTGGGGTAGGGAAGAAATGAGAATATGAAACAGGATATGATATATTATAGAGTGACTCCTGACACTTAAATACATTGTCATACCAGTCTTTGAGCTAGAAAACTAATTCCCTGAGTGCATACATGACATGAGTAACTCCAAGGCATTCATTGATCAGGATCAAGTGCCGAATAGGCTGGAATCCAGATGAGGTCTGTAAGCCATTGGACAATGTATTTCTCTATAAGGACAGCACCCAGAACTGCTAGCCAGGGTCCAGCATGAGCTACCAAGAATGCTGGTCAATTGCATCTTAAACAAAGTTCTGAATTCTATGCAACAAACATCAGTAAAATAAGCTGGTGAGAGTCAAATTAGTGTACCTGCTGATTTGAAATGCACAATTAGGAGAAAGAAGCCTGAACTGCAAGGCCTAAACCTTCATCTCCAATTTTATTCTTCTCTTCATTGACAATCAAGCATAAAATTTCACCAAGTCTAATTGTCTTGTAGACTAACAATTTGTGCCAAACAGTATCTGAATGTATGAAATATGAATACACACTGACCAGCGACACTATAAGGTTAGAAGCATGTTAGCCCCATGGTGTCATACCTCCAATGAGTGTCATGTGTATAAATAGCACTGTGTGGATGACATATTTGGCATGAGGCAAATAGCCGCATCTGCATCATGGCCCTAAGTGAGCATGGCCAGCTGCAGTAGGTTGCATTGTCATACCGTATGAGTCAACAAACATATATCATGCTACTCACAATATATACAACATTGGTGACTGACCAATGTAGGTACAACAATTCTGCTGGGCTCTGCAGAATATTGTTAGGTCTTGCTCTGCCTGCTACTGCTTGAGATAAGTATGTTCGACCCTAAAGGGTTTCTGGACTAGGTCTAAACTCAGAGGAAATAAAAGAATGGCAGAAAGTGTAATAGTGATCTTTGAAAACAGGTAGAGGGTAGATAGTCTAGTAGTCAGTAAATAGGTATACTGGTCTAGAACATCATGAGTAGTATTTGGTAGAATTCTTGGTGAGGTTTGGAGTGCAAGTGTTAGAGTACTGGGTCAAGGGGAACAACATTAGGTAAGCAGTAAAAATACAAACCTAAGGTAAAGGAATGACTATCTGAAAGGTGTATCAAAATTGGCCCTTTTGAGCCCAGCGCGGCGATTATTGTTACACTGATGTATTAGACTCACTTGTTAATGATATTTATGTGATCAAATCAACATCACAGGGATAACTGAGGCCTGCATGTCCAGACATGAGGCCATGCTATACATGAATCTGCAGGCAACCACGGTTCCTACATGGAGCTGCATATTAATCAAGCATTCAGACAACACATTAATGGTGCTCAACAGGTACTGTGGCAAGACATATTTAATGCTGCAGATACATACTGACTTTCCACATACATCTGCATTGATGGTCCCCATTGGGAGCCTTACCAGAGCACTTTAGGCACACCTTAAATCTGGTGTCATCACTGACACACAGTTGTATGTCACATCTTGTACTCAGCTAGTCCCCATTGAGAGCCATGTCAGACTCTGTCAATCTTCAACCCTCCAGTCCCCATTGGGAGCTGTGTCATGTGAAAGGCACGTGACAGCGAGTTTGTGGGTAAACAGCACGTGACTGCATTTTTGTAGATTATTGCCTAATTTCTCATTGAGTGACAGTTCTTTATTCCTTCTGATCTGATCATCATACACCTCTTTTTTCTTAATTATTATCTGAATCTTTAAATGGCAGAACCACATATTGAACAACCACATATTGAACATACTGACATTAACATCTTTGCAATTTCTCCCATGCATGAAGATGAGAGCACAATCACTCTCAAAAGAGGGATTGACAACCTGCATGAGCGCATCTCTCATATGGTCATGTCTGCTCCCAATGTATAGCAGGATGTTGAGTTTCTTCAAAAGGTGGATTGGTGCTGGGAATGAGAGACTCTTTTAGTGAGTGATTGCTTGCCTTGTCCTCTTGTCTATACTAACTCACACAACACTGATATATACATAGGCCCTCACCCCCCTCCTAATACAGGCATGAGAAAAACATGTTAACATTGAGTTGACTACCTAAGAAAAGCGAGACAGTCAGCGATGTAACACACTCTATGCAACATTCTGACAGCAAATCAGCACAACTAAGGAGACAGCAGCCAGACAAGCGGATCCAGCCCTTAAGGCCAAGACTAAATCGGCAAAGGAGCATGAGGCCAAGAAGGATCATGTGGAGGCCGGTAATTGGTATAATGAAGCAGATACGGAAGAGCAGAAAAAGGATACGCAGGAATATGATGATGCAGAGCCAGAGGTAGAACATCTATGTGTTGAAAGATCTGGCTGATATGATCATGGGAAGAGACACACTCAATACATTGAGTCAGTTGAGTCAGTTGTTGAGATCATCAGTAAAAATCATCAAAAATCCGAGCTGATCGCTCAGAAAGTATGTGTCTCTGATCCTATTCTGAATTGCTAACAACAACAACAACAACAAACAATATTCTAACATTCTACTAACATGCAACACACATACAGAACAAGACCCTCCACATGAGCACCCAGGCAGCAGAGGTTAACAAAGTTGCATGTGGGAAATGTGAGAGTGCAGGTTGCACATGCTACTGTAGCTCCATTGGATTAGTGTGCCGTGACTGCAAGTGACAGAAGGCTGGGTGCTCCTTGATGATAGGCAAGTTGATATTGTACAATTTTTGTATGTCCAGCACTGAATATCTGTATTCTAGACAAAGGCAAGGGAAAGCAGAAGGCAACTTCACCTCCCAAACCCACATCCCATTCTAAGCTCAAACCGACCCTGGTTTTCAAGCCCAGACCAACCCCCATTATGAGGTCCAACCAACCTCAAGCTGGTCCTGCTCCCAAGGTCAACAACAAACCTGCTCAAGTTGCTCCTGCCTGCAAGGCTACACCAGTCCAAGCTAGTGCTCCCAAGGGTAAAGGTAAGGTGATCAATATGTCGGTGGTCCTGTCATCACCTAAATGGCCGATTCCAGGCCCTTTGACTGCCTAGTATGCATATGTCAACATCAAGACAACACACAAAAGAAAGGCGGCTAAAATCGAGGAAGACTTAAGCGGAAGCACGAGCAATGACAATGATGTTTTTTATCTTGCCATAGAGTATCTGACCTCTTCAACATCCTCCATATGGTGGAGGAGGTATGCACAACTATAAGGAAGGAATTGATCGAGATTGACAAGCATGTGTCAAAGAAGCACCACCACCAGGATAGATAGTTTCATTGCTCAGTCAAATATCATAGCAACAGATACACTTATAGTAGTATGACAAATTTTTAGATTAGTACAGTTTTGGTACAAGAAATTTCTGTCTTATGCAGTTGTGTAAAGACAAGAGAAGTGGATTTAAAGCCACAATCATTCAGCATCGCACTACAAATATACTTTATGTCATTTTGATTGTGTATGTTTGGTCTTAAGTGCAATCTTGCAAAGCTCACCCCGAGGGAGGTCCGGTCCTGCTTGTGACAATCAACTCAACCATTAGTTATATTTCCAGCAATGTTGGCAAAGTTAAAGCAGATGTTTGGGATGCATCTGATGAGGTCCTAAATGGGAGCTGTCTCACTTGCAGGTGAATGAATGGGATCTTGTATCCGACCAGTGTGAGCCGCCTCTATGAGAGGTAGATAAATGATCTGATGCATATCAGCTGGTGTGACAAGGGACATGGTCCCAGGTGTCATTGCATTCCAAAGTATCTAGATATTTTTCAGGCTTATAAATATTCTTCAAACTATTATATTTTTGATCATTCTGGAAAGTCCTTCACAGTCATCCAATTTGGCTAATGATACCAAAATGTTATAGGTGTCATATACTTCCACCAAGCTGTATCACCAATCATTATAACAACCAATAGTTGCACACACTAATGTAGTGCTTAGATCATACTCCAGCATTATATATTCTGTTGAGCATCAGCTGTTGTTTATCTATGCTGCTGTCATTTTGAACTGAATATATATTTCAAGCCCACAGTTATTTAATGTGTCCATAGTATAGCCTGGGTCATGTTATAGGAACAAATGTTCTGAATATCAGGCAATCACTCCAAATTTTTTCAGTATCAGTCTCTATAAGTGAAGACTCTAATTCCACTGATTCTTAGATTCCAGTAGGCCACTCTTTAAGCTTATGTGGGGTTTCAGGAAAGTTCAGCAACCAGTAGACTTTGTAAATGTGGATCATACTGTCACCCTGGCCCATGCAAGTAAAAGACTCAGCTTCCCAAGTAAGATATTATCCTGGATTTGTGATACTGAACCCACACACCCACTGACTGAGTTCTATACTCACTTTATCATAGTCTCTCACAAACTGAGCTAACTTAATCACTCAAAAAATTTACATACTAGTAGACTCCAATATTTTACCTTGTAATGCCTGAGGGACAACTCAGCAAGGTAACATTCAGACACCCAGGAAAGGCCTCATAATGATACTTGCCTGGGGGAGGGTCTCTTGGTCCCATAGGGACGCAACATATGAACAAACAACTAATACGACATTCAGACACCTAGGAAAGGCCTCATGAAGGCACTCACCTGGGAGAGGGTCCCTTGGCTCCATAGGGATACAATGTGTTGGACAGATAACCAAGATAACATCCAAAGGTCCTATACAGTGTTGAACAAGAAACAAAAGTAGATAATATAGAAACTTTCCATCATTCAAACTCAGATTCAATTGTTTTAGTAAATATGAGCAGTACATAAGCAACCAAACCTTATACTTCCACATAACTAGGCAATTAAAAAATGATAGCTAACTAATGAAAATTGTTTAATTGTAAGTTTTCAGCTCTAATGTAAATCAGATACTGTATATAGAAGTATCCAGCCAACTCTTTGACCTAAACAGCCTTTCTGACCATATAATTCATAATATGCTTGTATAATCCCTATATCTGCCCTGTCAGATGAACACTTGCAATGTATCATGTCTACACTATTTTTTTGTGCGTGTCACTATAGTTTAATCTGGTGGTTGAATTGTAGATACATTTCTCAAATAATAATAAGCTGTGGTACATATAAATGAATCACATTAGATATTCAGACATTGGTGCAACTGAGTAAACTAGAAGTAGACTGTTATATAGGCCTGGCTGGCACCTTAGACCAGAATCTGATCCAACTCATCTTTCTCAATATTTCTAACTGATCTATTTCAGCTTACTGTTCCACTGGGTCCCAATAAACAATTATCTGAGATGTTAAGACATCATTCCAATATATGTTTGGTACTGTGATCACCTCACTTGTGGATTCCGCTGCCCTTATCACACTGTGCAAGGATCTAAGTTCATACTCAGAGGAATCTGGCAAGTCAAACTGCTACCATTAGAGATAAATTAAAAGAAATCAAATAGAAGCTTACCTGTGACCCAGACTCTGATGTCATGGCAGACTGAGTGACTCTGTTTGTATCTTTTGCCTTGCCTTTGTCTTTCTTCTTGAATTGGTCCTTTATCTGGTTTGTTCCCTTCCCTTGGGCTTCATTAAAACTTGAGGTGACTATATCTAATGGCCTTATAAGAAAATGAATGTTCAATAGTGACACACACCTCTGCAGTTCTGGCTTTCTTGGATTTCTGCAAATCAGCAGGTGCAGAAGGCTGATTATTAAGTGAGTTTACATCCTAGGGAAGTAAAATGAAAAGCTTACTGCCAGACACTTCATGGATTCAGAAACAGTAGCAAGTTCTATAGGCTTTGGAAGATTCTTCTGAGCTGTAGCTTTAGCCTTCTTAATGCTGGCTTCTAGTAGTGCCAGGGCAATATCCAGATATTTCTTCCAGCTCTTCTTATCTGTCTCTACTATAGGACCAACATTATTTTCATTATACTTAGCCTCTTTTTCTACCTTTGTCTAATCTAATAACTCACTAGATGTATCAGGTAAGAAACCATCCAGTGATTGTATGACTGGGTCAATTTTGGGTGACACTGACCAACTTGCCAAATCTGTACATTTGTTTATAATGAATGAGGCTGAATAAATTAGACACTCACCAAAAATTATTGATATACTTGGTTCATTAGTAGAATTTAGTGGTAATTAGATAGTATCTGAGGGTGATATCCTGCCTATATGATGTGTTACTTGTGCCTATGAAAATAAAATGCTGGAGAACCACTTTCACATCATTTTATTGCATGTAAGCATGCCCTGGCTATGGTAATGAGCTATAGATGAATAGAATTGGTCCTGAACCTCATCAAAAAAGGCCTTGTACAGAATGTGCAAATATGCGGATGCTTGACAAAAATTTGCTATGATTCTTGCACCGAAGCATCCTGAAAAAGACACATATGACAAGGCATACATAACATGCTGTAGAAATCTAAAAATTGGTTTGAATGAAGCAGAGATGTAGATGGTGTGGTAGTGAGATTTTAGCATAGGAAAACAGTCTAGAGATTCATCATAATCCCTACAATGATAGAGTGTGGATTTCTAATCTTTAATTATCTCATTAGCCCTCTTCCAGTGATAGTTGAGATCTACCATCTTGACAAAAGGAGTAGATGACTACATTGCATCATTGAGAAAGCAAAATCATGGATCACTCTGCTGATATTGATGTCATTATCAACACACATATTTTAGCTCCTACTGTTGATAACTGTCTGCAAAGTTAAGAGATTGTCAACATGGAGGGTTTTCCTTTGGGAACCTCGAGCCGTTGTGCTCTGGCATCGTGTGGAAGGTGATCCTCGTGTCTAGCGCCTTTATAGGCGTCTGGCCATCGTCGACAGTCGCACGAGGTATCGTTTGTTAGTATCCCTCTTTCATAACCCAAATCTATCATATCCTTGCTGTTCTCCCTCATGGGATCCATTACTCTGTTGTTCTAAATATTTTTGCCATTAGATTTCAAGCTTCGAAATGACTTGTGACAACAGAAGCGACAATACAGATGAAAAAAAATGTATCTATTCTATGCTATGGAACCAAAGTTGAAGTACTTGTGGTAGATAACACCTTCATTATTTTGGTTTGCAAACCACATAAGAGTGAGTGATACTCTGCTACAGTAATTAAGATTTGTAAATTCCCTTCTTTAGTGTCCAGTCTATTACTCAAATAGTTGACAGAAAAACTTATATAGATCATCTAATTATGTATATTGAGAGCAAAAAGTGAACCTTCAATATAATTAACCACAATGGTTCATTTATATTTGTGCCACTATGCCAATTTTCGTGCCAGGACATTAGACATAATGTGGAAAATGCTATTGTTTGTAATTGTGGATGACATGCAGAATTACAAGGTGGAAAATATTATATAATTACATGCAAATGAGTTTATCACATGATATTATAATATAGTGGGTCAAAGCAATCTGGTTTGTTTGACGTTCACTACTCTGTTATTATACAGAAGTTAAGAACCATGTTAGATCTGATGGAATGGGAGGGTGCACCTGGCACCAATACTGGTGATAGCCATGTGATTATTGCAAGTGCATGCTTCAGGCCTTTCACTCTCACTAATAATGCAGATCCTAGTTCTACCACTGGAGCACCACTAAGGGCTTTCATATCTGCTGACAATTCAGGTCCTAGTTCTAATGCTATCACACCATCAAGGGCTTCTGCTTCTGCTGATAATCCAGGTCCTAGTTCTAACACTGCTGTGCCAATAAGGGCTTCCACTTCTGCTAACAATGCAGGTCCAAGTTCCAACAACTCCCGTGTGACACACTCCAAATCAGCCCACAACAATGCTGCTAATAATTAGATCCAGGAGGAAGAGAGTAATAGTGACACTGATGATGATAAAGAAGATGACAGTAATAGAACATCTACTGTTGCACAGGGTAGAAGAGGTAGGAGAGGCAGGCAAGGTGGGAGAGGTGTTGAAGAAGCCACAAGAGGGGGGGCAAAATAGCTACCTGCAGCCTAGGGATAAGTTGTGAAAGGCAGATGACACCCAATATTGTGTGGTCAGTCCAGCATATAATGAATTATTGATAAATTCAGTAATGATTTTTTTCCAAATGTTGATGATGACATGGATAGGACACATTGAATGGTTGTACTGGAATTCACTTATGACTGATTCTCTTAACAGATGTTGATGACCAAGTTGTTATAACTCCTGGATGTTAGTGTATTGTTTAGATTGGTTAATTTACTCTAGCCCATCTGCATGAGGGAACCCCAAGATAAATATGAATAGAATCTCTCATATATCATGCCTATGCAACCTAATCCCCTTTTACTTCATGAACCCCATGTCTAACAATCCTTCTAGAACACCCAATCATACAGCTAGAATCATACCTAAACTCCAGCTGAAGGCTTAACATGTTCATCTGAGCATTAGAATAATTCTCCACTGTGGTGAAAATATTGAAGCATTCAGGAATGGATAAATAGTCTTGATAATTAAGTGTTTGATGATTGGAAATGACTGAAAGGGTATTAAACACGGATGCCCAGTACTAGAAGGTTTCAGACATCTTTGGCAGTTTCTTGTTTTCTGCCTTTCCTCCAAGGCTTACAACTCTGCCTAGTACTACTCCAGATACATCACCTTGAGTACTGCTGATGTAATGGCTGCCAGCCTTACAATGGCTTTGAGGATTTTCTTAGAGAATAATTCATTTAATAATGCAGATACCTCCAATAGATTCTATGAGATTGGTGAGCTCAACTACCAAAATTACTATTCCATCAGATCCTATCTTGTGTTCCTGTTGAAACCATGCTGGAGATAAATTGATGCACCCAGGAGGTGAGCCAACATCTTCAGAGCTGTGTTTGAACCACTCCGGATTGGTTCGCCAATTGCCATTGACCTTTACACTTTTTTTGAGGCTCAGAGTGAGCAAATTGGCAGCTGCCCAAATTTCCTTCTATGGGTACCATTTGATATTCAATATCCATTGAGTAACAATATATATTACACACCTAGGTTGTGGCTGTCAGGGTGTTGTAAAGAGTAAATCTAGGCTGGGCTCTACAGAATGTGAGTCTCAAGTCCTGAGAGATGTGAATGTGCTTCGTCCCAAGAGACAACCTAAAAACTACCTTGATAAAAATGCAAGGGAAGTCTTATACAGTCAGAGAGTAGATAAGATATAGGAAAGTAAACCTCTAATGTTCGTCCAAAGTACCGAGATATTATTCCGATGCGACTGAAGGTCATCCAAAGCTGCAAAAGTGGTGTCCGGAGTAACACAATGCTTTCTGAGGTTTGTGAGAGCTGTCTGAAGGTCAGAGTGTGTTGGTGTGTTGATGTGTCAGTATGTCGATGTGTCAAATAGTATAAGACTTTGCGAAATGTCTGAAGTTCAGAACTATGCTAATCTACCAGAACTCAAGAATAAACGAGATGCAGAAATTGGCAGTGGTCTAGCCAAACAATTGTTCCAAATGAACAAAAGATCAATTGTGCAGTTACAATTATACTGAGGTGACTCTACTAACTATGACTCGAAGTACAGGAAGTGAAGTGAAGTATCAGTAGCCAGCCAGCAAGATTATATCCTATTTCCGTGAGAGACCAGAATCCATAGGCAAATCTAGTAGTGAGATAAGCAAGTCTGAACCTATGTAATAAGCCACAAGGCAAGCAGCAATGCAAGTATACATGTAATACACCACAATGTGTACCATTTATACGTATTCTGAGGCTCCCAACAGGATGTCAATGGAATTTGTCTGTGTAGCACTAAGATATAGTCAACATATAGATAGAATAAGGGAAAATGCACCAGCGAAGTCAAAAGGACGAGGATAGGACATGGTATGGTAACTCGTGAGGTTCGGACAGGCCTTGGAATACAAGGACTGTCTGTGGAAGGTTTGGACAAGTGCACATGGCCTTTTGGAAGGTCAAGGGAGGTCGAGGAATGGTATGGGACATAAGTATTAGATTGATTGGTTCTGAGCCCAGCGCTGCGACCATCATTACATTGGGAGTAATAAGGGGGTTGCAGAGTGTGCAATTGGACAGAGTCCGATGCAGGGTACAATAAGGAGGATGGCTTGGACAATTTCCGGAGCTGGAGGAGCAATGAGGAGGGATCACTTGGATGATGTCCAAAGCGAAAGTGGGGACAAGGTAGACTACTTGGACAATGTTTAAAGTAGAAAGGAGAAAAGTAAGGCTATCCAGACAATATCCAAGATAGAAGGAAGATGATGAGGGGACTAAGTCCAGAGTATCCAGAAATAGGGGTAGGAGTGGAGGTGGGTTAGTCCTTTGGAGATGGAACTCATAGGGAACTCAGATTTGCGACAAGAGATGAAGCTTGAGTCTATGGAGAAGGGAAACTTGGTTGTTAAGTAGCAATTGATAATCTAACTAAAGTACTACAAGTATTTTACAGGTTTATAAGTACTTCAGAAAGTGCTGTACTATTGGTAAGCAGAGTGTAGACCTGTGTTCTGGTAGTAGTAAAACATTAGTACAGATATCATGGAACTTGGGAGATGAGGACACAGTACAAATACCAGTGTATAGGGGTTGGACAGCATTTTCGGATGGATATATATAGGTTAGTGGAATAAGTGAGACAGAGATATCAGAAATATTGCACATAGCTGATACAAAGTCTGAAGCGCATATGTGAAGCAGATCCAGAGGTTCAGAAACTAATAGATGAGAGTTAGACAATGGATTCAGAATGGGTCCAGAGGTAACAAATAAGGGTGGAAAAGTGTTTGCTTACAAAGTCAGTACCTTTGAAGTGAAACAAGTGCAGGGACACTGAATCCCTTGAGATTACATAAGTTTCTCACTATAGAGACTTGTGACATTTGAGACCAGCTTCTTATTATATGTTACAAATTGACCAACTATGAGTTTTAATCAACGTCATTGTATAATTAAAACCATGTCTCAACAGAGTATTGTATATTCAAGAGCATAGTCCAAAGCAAAGAGCAAGTTCAAAGAGACAGCTGACATGGAAATGAGTGAACCATCCACCAGCTCAGAGAGTATCAAAGATATTGTTGACAAAAAGGTCGGTCTCTGCTCCGCTTAAGCAGCTCAAGCTTTCAGACAACACTTCTAAAAGTAAAGTCATTCTTAGAAGAAATCGTCTATTAATGACTTTAGATCTCAGGCAAAAATGCAAAAAAAAAAATGCAATCACCCCATCCAGCCAAAGACTCAAAAAGGCAAAGGCAGCTCCAGACAACATTCTGCCAGCTCCAAGAACACAAAAGCAAAAGGGAAGCAGTGTCAGAAATAGAAACTGACCTGCAGTCAAATAACATAAAGTACAGAAATCTGTCTACATATCCTGATTCCTTACTCAGAGTACTAGTCCCTTTAGTGATCAAGCTACTCATATCCATTACACCAAAAGATGTGATTTCTGCTGCAAAGATTCATGGGGATGTGCATGTAGGACCTGGTGTGGTTTTGGACTTTACTATTAGAAGACAACTCAGAGTAGGACTAAAATATCTGCTATTTCATCCTTATGACGACTCATTGATTGTAAATGTATATAAAGACTTTTGTCAATGTCTATGCTGGAAGATTTATTTCATGAAACAAATGACATTGGCCAAACTTGATGAAGTTTCCAACGACTATGACCCTGACTATGACTTACATTTACTAAGAGAACGGAAAGCCAATAAGTTAGAATTGTACATTGAGGCGGGTCTTGCTAGAGGGAAGGAGTTTGTGAAACAACACATGTCCTGCTTCAGGTCCTCAAGTGAGATCTATAAACCTTACAAGTCTCAGTTCCTAGATCTGACTTGTCTTGAAGCCATGTTATCTGTGTATAATTACATCATAACAATGACTGACAAGAATCTTGGCTGTGCGATCATCACGAGACAATGGTTCATAGATGGATGCAAGACATATCTTGATGATGGAAAGAATTATGAAATTATTTCTCTGGCGGAATGTCAACTCATCCTTGATGATGCCATAACAGCAATTTGGGAGCTCACTGACCTGGCAGAAGCTGCTGGAGCAACTGAACAATTGTGCAAATTTTTGATATTGAAATGTCTGGTGTAATGATGGTCGTGGCACTGGGCTCAGAACCATGGTTTTTCATATTCATGTCAACACCCAAAACATATACGCACATGTCTGAGCCACTCTGCATCAGACCTTCGGACATTGCATCATACAATCGCACTTCACGTGCACTTGTCCTGTCCTTCCAAATTAGCCTCACTAGGTGTGTAGTTACTTGGTTTCACATTTTCTAACATTCAGACCACTGAAGGTGAATCAACTAAGCTGTTGGTCAAATGGTAAATGCAAGGGGAGGGACACAAGAAGTTGATATAGTGATCAGTGTGATGCCTAGTCTGCTATGCTTGCAGGGACAAGCACATTCGATCCAAGGGGAAGCAAAGAAGACAAATCTACAGTCGCGCAGCAGCTGTGCAAAGTGAGCGACGTGCACACGAGGCGCGGGAACATGAAATGCAAAATGCAAAATGCAATGAGCAATAAATGAGGGCTCAATGAAAACAAAAGACTGCTAATAAATTCTAAATCTGGCTATGGACATCATGAGGGAACTCTACTAAGGTAAGGAGTGGTGTGTTCCTCTAAAGGGTGAAAAATGTGGACCTATATATGTGTCTCACTAAGTGAGCCAAGTGTGAGATAATGTATGTAATAAGGTATGTAAGTCAGGTATGTAAGTCAGGGTCGATGCTCTAATATGGTGCCATATCGAATAAAAGTGAAAATACATACCAGGGAGACTTTCTGGACAGTGGGTGGATGCTCCTGGATGATAGGGTGATAAAAGTGCAGGAAAGCGAGTGATGCGTGAGTGCAAAAACATTGCGTGAGGGTCGTGCGTGCGGAAAAGCATCACCCAATATGAAAATAGCTGGGAAAAGGCTAGGGAATGATGCTGCAAGTTGATGCTGCAGACCTGGGTGGTATGCACTGAAGTATAACATGTTGCAGACCCGCAATAGTGCGAATCTCTACACTGCATTATTACATGTCCGCAGCACCTCATGTTTTATTACATAGATTCTTGGATCTGAAATATCACTACTATTTTTGCCTGTAGTATTCCGGATTTATACATACTTACTTAAATACTCTGTAGTGACCCATAGTAATTATCATCCAGTAGTTAGGAGCCATTTCCTGACTCTGTGGATCACCCAGAACATTTTCATAGTCCTTAGTTGCATTGCGAAATATTACCATTCTTTCACTATCACAAATCTGCCATTTGTTATACTCGCAATACTGCTCGCAACCTGACACTTGTTACATAGTTTCCGACCTATACTTGTGAAGTCCAAAAGTCCAAAATCTCAGACATTACACTTTGGCTTCAGACATCAGATAAGTACCCTTGGACATCTTTGGATTACCTTTGAACATCATTTCATAACTTTGAACATTCATTATTTGCATTACTGATGCATTTATTCTACTAATACCATATAGCAATTCCTTTAGGATCAAACATACTTGTTCTGCAAGTATAGCAGACTAGGTCGTGCAAAAGATCTACCTAAATATTGTTGTCTAGGTAGTACCATTTCTGCTAAGCCCAGCAGAGATATACTCTTTACAGTGAGCTACCTATGCAGCTATAGTGGAGTAGGGATATATTTAAAAATGGTGAGACACTTCTGAAAGTGTGCACACAGTGCTCTACAAGCAAGTTAAGGTTAAGAATGCAAACACTGTACTATAGAAAGCAACATACCAAATATATCTACAACCTCAATTGAAAGGTTTTCTGACACATCATCTGAGAGAGGAGAGTGTTCATAATCTGCCTTATACCTCAGAAGAGCATCTGTTAGGTTGTTGTGTTGAGAAGCCCAGTCTGCAACTTGGTGTGCAATGCATTCAGAGTGATCATGGGTATCTACCCTTCTGTTGATGGTTTCTGAGTGAGTGCATTGCCCACAAACAAATAAGCAAAAACATACCTTGGTTGAGCTATTGTAATTTGCTCTAGTTGTTTATAAAGGGTGACTTCATCTCTCACATGGCTGACAGTGAAACCCTCTTCACCAGGAGGAGGCAGCATAGCATCTATGTTCATGTCATAGGCTGAAAAGTCAAAGGTATTGGATGGTGTTGCAGATGAAGAGCCTGGTCTGCTTTGATTGCTCTCAGCACCCAGTAGCTGCTCGTGTTCTCTTAAGGGAAGCTCTGGAAGACCATAAGTATGACTCTAACAAGAAGAAATAATTGTACTCTTGAGAAGTAAGGCACAAAGCTCACATGCATCTTCTTGTCATTGATGTAAGGCTCCAACATGAAGTGTCCTTGGTTTGGGGCTAATGTGGACAACACAATTGCTGGAGACACCACCTACAGAGTGGCAGATTTGCATATTCAAGGGCAATGATGAAGCTGCAGATATGGTTGATGATAAGAAGGGTATTGAGAAAGTTTTTTACATACTATGGTGATTTATTGCCTGATTGCAAGCAAGTTACACAACAATACCTCAGTTGTTATTCTAAGATGTAGTTATACCATAGAGTAGAAGAAATGATAAAAAAAAACTGGTGGAAAAGAGGATGATGTATGAGCTCATTGTGGTAGATGATAAGCTCAAGGGTGGTGGCACTGTACTGCTTATGTGAGGTGACAAAGTTGCCAAATCGAGCCATGTTATTAAATAAACCAATGGTGGCACACTAGTCTCATCACCAGCCGCCTTGTCTTGCATGAGAATTATGGTGGAATGTAGCTCAGACAAGGTGTCTGGTAGCACTTCCTGCAAAGCCAACAGAGAAGGCATTCAAACACCGACTACAACCAAATTAGGCAACCACAGTATTAGTAAGGAGGCAACTCCAGAGTATCAAATGAAGAAAATGCTACAAAAGAACAGATTCTGCAGTTGAGATACATGAGCGAAATACATTCTAATATGTAGTGGGACATAGTGAAGTGATCGAGCAAAAATCTCCCTGCACAATGATTCCAGTTTTCTCAAAACTTCGTAAGTTTCAATGTGGTGAAGTTGACCTGGACTATCTCGCACACCACAATGAAGAAAGTCTTGGCCATAAACCTTTCACATGGCAACTTGAGGCGGCTTCTGCAGTTCTCAAGGGTTACAGCATTGTGCTTGATGTTGGAACTGGGAGTGGCAAGACCATCTGTTTCTATCTGCCACTGTTAATAGATAAAACAGAAAGCATTGGAATGGTTGTTTCACCATTGACGGTGTTGATGATTGATCAGGTGTGACAACTTTTATATCACTGTAATGCACTCTGAGAGAGATGTGTAAGGCTGAGAGCACTAGCTTGAAAATGATTGTCATCTGTTCAGACATTTTGCAGAGTGTTGGTGCTAACAACCTGTATGCAGTAAGTAGCTATGCCTGTATTTAAAGGGAAAAGTTGGAATAAAATGACTGACTAGGATATTGTTGTGGGACATTTTCATTGTGTCATTGTCTCACCAGAGGTTGCTATATCCAAGGAATTTTGTACTGCTGTCTTATAAAAATCAGCTTTTAGTCAGCATCTCTGTGTTGTGTGCATGGATGAGGCACACTGTATCAGCCTCTGGGGTGGTACTTTCAGGAATGACTATGCAGAACTTGGCGTCTTGTGTGGTCATCTGCCTGCAAATGTCCCGGTTCTTGGTGCATCTGCCACTTTCCCAAGTCATGTCCTTGATGATGTCTGTGCAAAGTTGAAGATTGCAAAAGATCATGTTGCAGTTCGGATGTCAAATGCACGTCCAAATGTTACTCTGTCAGTCTGTGTCATGAAGCATCCAGAAGAATCAAAAGCCAACCTTGGGTTCACTATTCTGCCCAATACTACATCTTTGCTCGATATTCCAGTTCAGTTGGTATATTGTAATGACCAAATCACAACAGAAGATGTCATTGATTGTCTCTGAAAGTGGCTCCCTGAAAGAGTGTCATATTCTTCAGTAGCCTTCTACCATGTGAAGATTGGAACCAAGCACAAGCGTGAATTAGAAGAGGGCTTACAAATAGGAATCATCCGCATATTGGTTTGCACAGACGCTGTTGGAATGGTGAGTGATGATGCTGGTGTATAAGTTTTCATTGTAACTAAACCTACCAGGGATGTGACATGAGGAATATTGAACAAGTTGTCTTGTGAGGTCTTCCTCCCTCTTTCTGTGCACTAGTTCAACGTGCCGGGAGAGCTGCTCGTGACTTAACCCAACTTGGCAAGGCAGTCCTTATTGTTCCTACAAGTGTGCAGAAACAGGGCCTGACAACAGAAGATGTTTCTGTTAGCATAAAGGCCACAGTTACTCAACGTGAAGCAGAGAACTCACTTGATAATGACACCAGATTAAACTCAACAACTCCGATGCCAGTGAATGGCATGGAGATCACCAATGGCAATGAGGCTGTACTGGTTGGAGAAGGTATCTGTGTCAGTGGTGGAAGTGATAATGAGATGGACAAATGTGATGAAACCGTCACAACAAAGTTAAAAGTCAAGAAAAGGGGGCGTGGCACTTCACAGAGTTGCAGCAGTCTTGAAGCTTGGTACCTCACAAAATATGCGAACACAACTGAATGTAGACATCAAGTCTGGGATGAATTTTTTCTCAATCATACCAAAAGTATGTGTATGAAGACTTACATACATACATTCCAGTCATTCACAACACTTGTTGTCCAGAAAGGCTTCTTTACCTGATAAACACCACATGGTGTCCCCTCCCAAACACTCGATGTTGCGATAACTATACTTCAGAATGTTTTCCAATCGAAGCTATCCAGCTTGACAAGCTTCCTAGGCTTAAAGCAGGGAAGAAAAAGAAGTTCCCATCTGAACTTGAGGAACTGATATGCACATGTTTGCGAGCCTGGCGGGACAATGAGCTGCTGCAAAAGATTTACTCTGACTGTGTCTCAATTTCTGGCCCTACACTCATAGGAGATGAGATTATTGACCAGCTTGCTCCTCAACAGTAGGGCATTATGGTTGAATAGAACATTTTCAAGAGGCATGTCATGCTTTGATGCTGGTTTCTGATGCAGAGCAGTGACTTAAACAGCAGAACAAAGTTCACGCTGGACTTTTCATGTCATGCAAACAACTTCATCATACTCCTTGACATTGCTGACCCACTTGTCAAGGGTGTCAGCCTCAGAGCATATTTGGAATGCATCGAGAATGTTAGCAGAAAGGGTTAATATGAGAATTAGCTCCCAAGTTGGCCAAAATGGTGCAAGCTGCTTCACTTTCCACCTGATGGATATGGCCTTGCAACCGAGAAGACTGTTAACCCACCACAATGACCATGGTGATCTACTGTTTGCAGTACCCCAGTGCTCGTTTGCCACCATGCAATCAGTAGTGAGTTTGACATGAAAGAGGCCAAGCTATCTGTGAGTCCATTGACTGAGATTATTGAAGAGATCTGAGTCATCACGATGAAATGCTGAGGCCTATAAAAATCATCATCTGCTACTTATCTCTAGTGAAATAACAAAAAAACAATACCTTGTCGAGAAGCGAAATAGTCAGCTGTTCTCCAGCACAAAAGATGATACCATGCTTTTTGATATTGTCAGTTGTCATTTTGAGTGACTTTGTAATGATGGTGTTAATGACTTCAAGTGTTCCATCAATACTTGATTCATCAATGTGCATAGCAGGTAGGGGGATACTGCTCGGATTTGTGCACAGGAATCGGAAGCATGGATGGCGGTGGTAATATTATTGGCAAACTTCTTATGGAGAGCAGGAAATTTATCCAGTAAGATATCGCAGATATGCCATAACTGTAATCCTTCAATTTCCTTTACTTGGTTTGGTGAAGGCAGTGTGTCCATAGGACCAAAGTCCATGGCACGGAGACAAGTGGTGCAGCATGGAAGAAGATCAAGAGAGAGTTTGCCATATGATACATCATATAAAGGGATGAGGGTAGCTGTTGTGCCATTGTCAAAATGATCTTTGTAGTCTTTGTGTTGTTCTGCCACATGAAATACAATATTGAGATTGTCCCACACCAATAGGAATGGACATGTTTTGATGATCGCAACAATTTCCACTGCACATTCCTCTCCCAATCATCTTAATGGTGCATAAAGCCTTGGTATACAAAGATGTGATCCTAGCATGATGGAGGACATCAAACATGGACTGAGAAGCCCCACATGCTAGCAAGTACACACACATTGTGGTCTGAAACTCATTGCTTTGCTCATTATGAGCTTGTGCAAGCATACAAATAACAGTAACCAATATCTGTGTAGGTGATCAGAGTCAAGGTTGCTCGCAGGTCACATTGTGATTTGACATACTAAATCTCAGTCATGTCGCTCTGATGAGTGGCATTGATCAAAACTGATATGCCAGAGAAGTGTGCAGAGAACAGGTGCAAGGTGCTCTGCTTTTTGAAAAATTCTCGAAAGAGACCACCTGCTCAAAATTTCTGATACCTGACATGAAGCAGGGTGTAGAAACTCAGCAAGCTTTTGTCCTTCACTTGCGAGCAATTCAGCTATAAGCGACACAGCCCAAGGGTCAACAATATCAGGACATTGTTTTTGAATGCTCTCCAGAAGCAAATGTCCATGAGTGCCCAAGGTCTGTGACATATGAGCAGAGTGTTATTGATCATTTGTGTTTATCAACTCTAACATAAATTCAGCCAAGATACTGAAGCCTGCTCCCTTGATAGCTTGTAAGGCATTTCTGAGGCGCTGGACACAATTGTCTTGTTCCTTTTTGGTTGCAGCTTCATAATGTGCTGCTTCTTTCATTTGACTTTCAGCAGTAAACCTTGCTCGCTCTGCTGCAACCTCGGTGTCTGTAAGTTGATGGACTATGTGCCTAACACATTTTGTCGGAGGTTGATTGGGAGTAGAGATGTGGAACATGAAATTTTCATTTATCACCTTGCATTTGAGTGAGGTCATCATTGATGCAGTTATCAATATGAAGACATGTTGCATCGTGTATATGAGGTATGCGTCAGTCATTTACATACTAAAATAGGAAAGATTGGACATTGAAAATGTACTGTATTCTGTTTGAGGAAAGTGCTCCCAGTCGCCTTACACTGTATTACCCAGCACATCTTCTTGTCACTGTTGTGTAAGGCGACTGGTCACAAGTCTAGTGGCACACTGCTGGTGCTATATACTACATACATAAGGTAGAAAAGCTAAGTACAACTCTATAGAACCTGCCAGTGCTGCATAGGAATGCCTTCAGGCTTAATTAAGTGGTTCTTCAACAACTGTGAGGCCACTTTACTAACTGGGATATGTGGGAATAATAGGTGCAACACATCCAGTATGTCAAAATATGGGGTCTAGCTTTCATATCAGACTATCAAGGTATGTCATCGAATTCTATCAACAATATATTGACCAACATACCCTCTTGAAATTCCAGGGAGCTCAAAGCTATTGACTGACTCCCAAATCTTGACCCATCTGTGCGTGTATTACTATGTAAGACCTTATTCATGCTAACTCACTAGTGTTCCACATAGTTAGCACTGTAAGCCAAGGTAATGATATCTTCAAAGATAGTAACATTGAGGGGGCTGTTAGTGAGTTTGAAACGCAGCACAGTTGTAGTTATTATTGCGAGTGGTCAGTTTTTGGCTTACATCCTATTACAAGAACATCTAGATGCTTGGGCCCCCACCATTTTTCTCCTTATCCTCCTCATCTCAGCCCTTGTATCACACCCTTACCCCGACCTTGCTCTTGTTATCCTCGTCATCCTTGCATTCCCCTTCGCTCTCTACCTGTCGCTCCAGCAGAGCCAGTACATCTGGCTGGACTCTTTCTCTGATGAAGCATATCCATGCTCCGTTTCACCCAATGACAGATCCTGTGGACAGTCCCTTTTACCCTTACCATCTGAATGGTAACCTATGATATGATGCACGCTGCATTCCCTTTGCCCTGTTTCCTTTCTTGATCTATGACTCAGTGCGCAGTTGCACAATTGTGCCCCTGCTTGTTTCACTTCCTGTTTCTGATCTTTGACTCATTTCTTATCTGCATGTTCTGGTTCGCCTATGACTCACCTCGAATGTGCCTTCCTTTTCTAGTATCACCCTTTGACCAGTTCCTCTTCCGGTAGTACAAGATATCATCCACTAATACATTTCCTCTCCTCTATATAAACTCGCTACCATGTATCTAGTTCCTTAACTTGAATCTACTTAGTTCTTGACCTCCTACTCCTAACAAGAGTGATTCCTTCAGCCTAGCCAGCTGTCTATATTCTACTTTCTTATCTGCTCATCGCAGATAAGTCTCTAGTCTCGATCTTTACTCATCGACTTCGTTGTTGAGCAAAGCCCCTGTTATTAGTCGGACTTCTGTCCTTCTATTAACGCAGATCTTACGATTAACCTTCGGGTGTCGTAAGCCTTGGCAGATACACTTATCGTCGAGCCTCGCTTGATATAAGCTACCCTATTTGGACATAGGCATTAAACCTTGCTTGCCAAAGCTTTGCCAAGCAAGACTTCTAACCTTGGGCTAGCCCAAGGACATCCTCGACCATTGACGACACACACTCTGTTTGAGCGTCACCAACAGACACTATCCAAGTCCATAACACATCCTTTCAAAAAACAGCAGGATAGTGATGATGGGGACAACATTGAGCATACTGCCACTGGTAGCAACAAAGGTGGCACTGAGCATGGTGCTATTTGAAAACTTATATAGAAAACTTGTATATATGCAATGTCAATCATGATACTCTTGGTAACAATGTTCCAAATCCTAGAGTAGTGGAAAGAAATTGGTAAAAACAATGCAAACTGATGACTCAAAGGTGCACAAAGTACTCTTGCCTATTGTTATGACTTGGATGGTATCTGTTGGCGACGCTCAAACAGAGCTTGTGTCGTCAACGGTCGAGGACGTCCTTGGGCTAGCCCAAGGTTAGGGGTCTTACTTGGCGAGGCTTCGGCAAGTAAGATTTAACGCCTATGTCCAAATCGGGTAGCTTATGTCAAGCGGGTGCGAGACGATAAGCTAAATCGGCCTAGGCTTACGACACCCGAAGGTTAATCATAAGATCGTCGTTAATTAGAAGGACAGAAGTCCGACTAGTTAACAGGGGCTTTGCTCGTCGACAAAGTCGATGAGTAAAGATCGAGACTATAGGCTTATCCGCGAAGAGCAGATAAGAAGATAGAATATAGACTGCTGGCGAGGCAGAAAGGATCACTCTGGTGAGAGTAGGAGGTCAAGAACCAAGTAGATTCAAGTTAAGGAATATGTTACATGGTAGTGAGTTTATATAGAGGACAGGACACGTATTAGTGGATGATAACTCGTACTACCAAGAGAAGTAAACGGTAAAGGGTATGACCATAAAAGGAAGGCACGTTCGAAGTGAGACACGGGTGAGCTCTGAACGTGTGGAAAAGAAAGTAAGTCAAAGATCAGAATAAGAAGTGAAACACGCAGGGGCACGATCGTGCAGCTGCGGAGCTAAGTATAAGTCGCATGTGCGACTGCGCATCGAGTCAGAGATCAAGAAAGGAAACAGGGCAAAGGGGATGCGTCGTGCATCATATCATAGGTTACCGTCCGGACGGTAAGGGCAAGGGGACTGTCCACAGGATCAGTTAGGTGGTGGAACGGAGCATGGGTATGCTTCATCAGCGAAAGGATCCGGCCAGATGTACTGGCTCTGCTGAAGCGATAGATAGAGAGCGAAGGGGAATGCGAGGATGACAAGGATGACCAGGGTAAGGTCGGGGTAAGGGTATGATGCAAGGGCTGATACGAGGAGGATTAGGAGAAAAATGGTAGGGGCCCAAGCGTCTAGATGTTCTTGTAACACCTATTATGGATGCATGACCTGACTAAGGGAGCATGGCTGTTAGGCTTTCCATACTCTAGTCCCAATTAAGTTACCATTGGTCAAGGTTCATACCAACTTTTCTGCTAGGTTCCTTTATCCTCTAACTTGCATTCTA